AATGTGAAGTTGGGTTATTTGGGAGTCTTTCCCCACTCCCAGGTCAACAATCCATCTCAATTAAACAGGGCCTCAATGAAGCCTTATTTCAGGGCCTCAATGAAGCCTTATTTCAATCCGTTCTTTCTGTACTCTTCTGTACCCTACAGCTCTATATTGATCCATGGGCTTTACAACAAGTGAGACAATCCCACCTGTTGCCCGCAGAGCAATTGATATTTTTCTTCTGTATTAATAGTTTTCATCTTTTTAAAAATGCAGCAGTAAAGGCTTGAGTTGTACTTTTTTAAAAGTTAAAAGCTTCATTTCATATGTTTTTAAATCTTATGTTTCTCTGCTTTAACAACAGCAAAATGAGAGCTCTTCATAACTCCATAGCAAAAATTTTGGACAGTTTCGTGTTTTAAATCCTTTCAGAGATCTGTAACGCTGATTAAAGAACAGAAATGGGTGCCAGAAAAGGAGTGCCACTGTGAAGCTACAAAGTTTTTTTTAATGTATGAGCTAATATACATACCATTTGACTACCTTTAAATTATTTTAAGGTAACTTCAGAAATGGTTGTCACTTAAGAAGAAATATGTGTCTTTTAAAAAAGAGAGAAACTATCCCTCCCATCCAAATAATTTGCTCATGCATGTTGTCAGTCAATAGCTTTTTCTCAGGCTTATAGAGCTGCTGAACAAGAAAAAAAAATGGCATGTATGGGCAGAGCTGTGGTTGCATAACTCTTTAAGGCTTTTCCCAGCGTTGGATTAAGCCCCATTTCACACCCAATGAATTTTAACTTCTGCAGAGAAAATTGCATGAATACTGCATGTGTATAATACACATTTATCTGCTTTTGGCACATTGGGAGTCTATAATAGAAAGAATGAGGTACGCTCATCATATGTGATGGCCTAAAAGAAGTTATATAATATTTTCTGCATGGAAATGGCTTCCTTGTGGAATATTCAGCTTGTAGAATACGAAGCAGGCCTTTTACAGCAGTAATGAGGAGCGTCTCAAAGGTGCTAATGTATCTCTTACTCTGAGTCTACATGAGCTATCATTTTACTGAATTTATATGAACCTGGGAAACGGTCTGAAAGCAAAATACTTCTGAAATAAATGGTATAAGATTGAATCTGGGAAAGATTCATCACATGCTACCTGCATAAATGTGGATCCATCCAGCACTGCCCTGAAGGGAACACTTTCAGTGTGTGAGACTAATTTGATATCCACGCACGTCCTGCTCTTACCTTCCCAATGTAGCCTTCCAGCAATGAATTGGTTTCCTTACAAGTATGTATTCTTTGTCTGCTACTGGTTCAGCTGCAAGATGGCAGGTTTGAATTAGCAAGTAAACCCAGACCTTGAGAATAGGCTTGACCAAGATGCCTCAACACCACTTACATTGTTGTTGGCCTTCTGTTGCTATGTATAAGTGACAGTGGCTGGGATCTCATGAATGCCCTTGCATATTGGAAGGTCCTCTAACTGCATGGGGAAAATTTAGGGGGCACCAGGTGAAAGAAAATTGGCCAAAAATAAATAAATCTCTTCCCCTTTTCCATTAGCAGAAGCACCCACTGGATCACCCTTCCAATAGTGCAACAGCATCAATCGCATCCCACCCTGTATGTGTATTTGCAGTTACTTTAGATTGAACCCCCAAACACCAGGTGGAGACACATTTTTGCAGAGCAATTTCACCTAAAATGACATTTTGTATGTTTTTCCTACTTATATGTGCATTTTTATGGACACTTCACACCACTATATGCAATTTTGTGTGTTACTTGGCTGGAGAAGTGCATTGCTAAATTCAGAGAAGTGTGAATTTTAAAGCATGGCTGTGTTTCCATCCCTGTATTGTTTTGATAAGTGCGCATGCAAACAGTGTGGTGTAGTGGTTAAGAGCAGTAGACTCGTAATCTGGGGAACCGGGTTCGCGTCTCCGCTCCTCCACATGCAGCTGCTGGGTGACCTTGGGCCAGTCACACTTCTTTGAAGTCTCTCAGCCCCACTCACCTCACAGTGTTTGTTGTGGGGGAGGAAGGGAAAGGAGAATGTTAGCCACTTTGAGACTCCTTCGGGTAGTGATAAAGCAGGATATCAAATCCAAACTCTTCTTCTTCTATCCCTAATGCTCCCCCATCTCTAATCTGCCTGCTTTAAAGGAGGCAACTGAGCAGGGCACTATGCTGCCACCAGAACCTGCTCAGGCAGCATCCGCCCCGGAGTATCCAGAGGCAGATTCTGAGGATCCTGAACATGTGAACATACTGCCCTGAGATTAGGGGTGGGAGAATGTGACCCAGTCCAGACCAGGCTGTACACAACAAGCTTCCAGATTGTGAGATCCCTAAAAGTGGAGCTTTCTTTTCAAGGTATTGTGAGTGGGAACTTATGTATATGCACCCGAAACCACTGCTGGAGCCAGCAAAACACTGATAGAGTAAGATTTATTGGCACTGATGAAGTGAAAGTGAGAGGGCTGTTAATTATACCCATTTGCATTTGAGCAAGCTAAGGCAAAGATGTCTATGCTAATTTCAGTCTATAAATTTAGTGTGTGTGCACGTGTATATATAAATCCAAAGGTCTCCTCCCTTTGCTCAGTTGGCAAAATTGCATCAGTTTCTCTCTTTGTCTTCCTGAACTCTTCCACACCCAGATTTTGCTGAAAGCCAGAAATATCTTTGGTCTTCTGTCCTGTTTCCCAGACCTAGCATTGACACGAGAATCTTAGAAACTGGCATAATTTAAGGTTTAAAAAAATGCCTTTGATTAAAAAAAAATCTCACTTGGCAGTGGGTAGAATTAGTTGCTCAATGCTCACGCCCGTTGCTCATTCCTTTGAGTCTGTTTTAACTTGTCAGCAAGTGAGTCATGTTGAAATGTGTTTTGCAACCCTTGCTCAGAAATTTTGCAGTGCAACCATTTGGGTTGATAAAACATGTTTGAACATTCCCATGTGCCTTTCCTCTGGTGACAGGATTGAATCATGCTGAGCATGAAAAATCATGTACCGATACCTGCATCTTAGAACATGTTCTGCAAGAATGCATCACTCTGAAACAGAGTCTGGTAGATTTATATATGACTTATTTCATTTCTTGGTGGAATTCCGTATTTGTCTGATGACCTCTTTTCTCAGTCCACTGTGTTGAACATACTGCTTCATGTAGTGCTTCACACAAACAAGAGTTTGAAAAGAACTCTTCGGTTCTTCGTTTTGTCTTGCATCCTTGACTGTACTAAAATGCCTATGTAAGATCGCAGCTGCAACATAGAAACACTGTGTTGTGGTACTGTAGCAAGGTTTTTTGTAAGACTCTTGCCCTTTTTCAGGCATTCAGTTTGACCTTATGAGCAAAAATGCACCAGCAAGGCCTGTCATGGGAGACACAGGGCAGACTCCCAGGTTAATGTATGATTGGCACTAGTCTAAAGCAGAGCTCTCCAAACTTTTCATATTGGTGACACACGTTTTAGACATGCATAATTTCACAACACAGTAATGCAGTTTTACAGTGGTACCTCGGGTTACAGACGCTTCAGGTTACAGACTCCGCTAAGCCAGAAATAGTACATGGGGTTAAGAACTTTGCTTCAGGATAAGAACAGAAATCATGCAGTGGCGGCAGCGGGAGGCCTCATTAGCTAAAGTGGTACCTCAGGTTAAGAACAGACCTCCGGAACGAATTAAGTTCTTAACCCGAGGTACCACCGTACTAGCAAACCAGAGGTTAAACTCCTTTCCAGCCACGGAAAGAACATGGGAAGCATTCACGTGACACACCTACACACTGCAGCCGACACACTTATGTGTCGCGACACACCGTTTGGAAAGCTCTGGCCTAAAGCAAGCTGGCTTACATGTAGGATTTCCAACATAGCGATGGGAATCCTTGTGAATGTCTCGCCATATTTATAAAGGAATTCTGAAACAGCCTGCAAGTGAGGCAGAGAACAAAATCAGAAGCCTCTTTAAGCAGAAGAAAACCCTGAAGAACTAGGAGGACAAGTTTTGGCAGATCCCTAGATCTTATGCCAGCATCATTATGCTTTTCCTATGAAGTGCTGCCTCAGCAGAACAGCTCATTTCAACTCAGGGAGTGGGGAGTTGGTGTGGAAGTGAAGGAAAACACCTGGGAACTTCAGTCTGTATCCTGAGCTTGTGTTTCTTCCTCCCACCCCTCAGGTATTTAAGTGGGAGGTACCCACCCAGATGCATGAGCCAAAGGGTTCTTGGCCCCTGGCTCTTCTTGAGGGCTTGATTTAACCCTTTTAAAAAGTCCCTTTGATTATGCCTTATCAGGCTTGTATTGCTGGATTCTGTAAAAAGCACTAGATATTGTCCAGAACAGCATTAGAGAGATCCTACTAATCAAGCTTTCAAAGCAGAGACATTTTTTCCTATCCACTTACTGATTTTTTTTCCATATAGTAGGTGGTGTCAAATGTTTGAGGTTTTTGGGATACATGCAGTTTTATGTTCTGAATGATTTAAGGTTGCAGCAATTGTATTTCTGGTATAGAACTATACAAAGTTGGGAAATATCCTTTTGAGGCTCATGTGTTGTCTTTTCACACATCCATCAGTTTGCTGCAATGACTACTGTATACCTTCTCCATCCTATCTGTTCCATTTACTTCCAAATAGACAGTATATTAGGCAGCTTACCATTTTAAAAGCTTCTTTCATCGTTGTGATGAAAAGTGTGCTCTAGAAAACCTGCAGGACTTACAAACTGCCCAACCATGTTGCCAGTGGCTAGAAACTGGGCCTAGTAAATCATTATATCTGGAAAACAAGGATATTATATTGCCCAACATCTATAAAATGGGTACTGGTTGCCATCTGGACAACTTAGAAGAAAGAAGTAGCTCTACAGACTAGGCAATGAATGAGCCCCTGGTGAAACTCTGCCCATATTTGCAACAGTACCTGCCAGTGAGCATCAGACAGAACACATAAGAAATAAGCAAATTCTATAGTAGGTCCCTTTGATTTTGAAATAAAAGCAACTTTATTACTCTTGTACAAAATGTATTTAAGATACGAAATTAAACAAGATGTTTACACAATGAGGCAGTTCTTGAGAAGAACGTCATTGGGGAGAGCAAATCATTTTTCATTTTGAGTCAAAGCATTTTGTTGGTGAGTTAAAGAACATAAAAGATGATATACACCTATAGCCTGTAAAGTTATAAATACAAATCTCTCAACTTTACATGACAATCATATGTTATTTTACATTTTTATCTCTACAGGCCAGCAAATTTTATAATTCTGTGGATTGCCTGGTACAGGGGTTCTCACAATTTCTGCTGTCAGGCAGCCTTTCCATATCAAGCAGACTGCCACAGAACCTTGATGCAGTTTAAAGAAGTATTTGGCCACATTCTAGGGTACACGTGATTCATGTAGGATGCAAACAAGGTCTGTTATGCTCCATTTGAGCTGCACACTGCAATGGAAGATGGATAGTGGTTGACACCCTGACTTTTAGAGAGGCTTATCCACCATTATTGGTCCTCCAAGACTCTTTGATAAACAGATGCAGCTAGGAAAGGCACCGTATTTGCACACCGTAGTAACAAAGAAACATTACAAATAACATAGTTAAATTAATGCTTTGTTAAATTTAAACAGATACTTGTCATCTTTGGGATTCTAATAGTTTGTACCCAAAAGCAGAGCAAGCAAATAGGGAGTAACTGGTTGAAGAGGCAGAGGAAATAACCCAGTGCAAAATGCTAAAAACAATTACCTATTAATATGTTGCATTACTTTACAGCACTTTGCCTCAGCGCTCAAAGGACTTTACACAGAGTGCGTCAGCATTAATATGGAGGGCACTATTAGCCCACCAGTTGTAATCTAGGGATCTGAGAGATATTGGGTTGCCTCAGGTCATTTAGTAAATTTACAGGTAAGTTAAGCTTTTAACTAGGCACATCTCACTTCCAACTGCTCAAAGCAATCCTAACCCCAGATCCACTGCCTTGAGAAGGTCAGGACATGTGAGTGCAGATAGATAATCTACACCCGACCCCTGCCCAACAGCACAAACCAGCAAAGGTTTGCTAGTGGCATATCATCCACTACTTCATTCCCCACTTAAGATTGCACTCTTCGTCAGAGAGAGATAGCTTAGTTGGTAGAGCATCAGACTCTTAACCTCAGAATCATGGGTTTGAGCCCCACACTGGGCAAAAAGATTCCTGCATTTCAGGAAGTTGTACAAGATGACCATTGTGGTCCCTTCCAACACTATGATTCTAGAGTTCCTTTTATAAACATGAACTAAATTAAGGAAACAGAAAATATAGTGTATGATTGGAGTTCATATTTTATTTCATGGCGTTTTGTATTTAGAAGAAAACCAATAGAAATAGCAACATTTTTCTTAGTTTATACTGCAATTGGCTTTTTGCAATTTATATTGTTTTAAAAAACAAAATAGATTTGTAAGACTACCTTGGTTTCAATAAATACAGTCACTGACACAACTCAGGATTAGTGGGGGGTGGATAGTGACAAATTAGGGACCCAAAGCCGGTCTCCATTTTAAAACCACAGAAAACTTCTCAAAGTAAAGTATTCTTCTGGAGACTTCCATCTTCTCCAATAACTTTGAACAGGTTCTTCTTAGATGTTTAAATGTTACACAAATGAGGGGAAAGAGCTGAACTGAAACCTTCTGTGATAGGTCATCAGTTAGTACTTTTATGCCATACTGTGTTTTCTTTTCAGCAAAAGCCCCTGCATCAGATTTATAGCTGTTGTGACTCAGTGCAACACCCATTAACATTGCAACATTACTTTGGCAGATTTAAACTGATGGGTAAGCTAGCCCGACATACAAAAACTCTTACTCAATAAGGCGTAGCTGCTACTTTTGCAAGCTTGCAATTTAGCAGAAGTAGTTCAGAATACTATATACTTAATTTGCTCTTAGATTTTGCTTTATACATTGTATCTTACACTCCAAATAATTCATATACCAAACAGAGAAGCCTGTATTTCTGTTTTTACTTTTTCTCAAAGCTTAAAAGTAAACCACAAAACCCATGATTTCTCCATTTTCTTTTTATATTATTATTGCCAGAAAAAAATACCAAGAATGTAGTATTTGATACAGCCCATTCATTCATCTTCTTTCTGTTCCATCAGTTTTTACTTCTTTTGCTTTGTCTTTTGTATGGGGGCTACAATCTACCTCAGGTTAATCAGACATCCATGTCCCACTAAAGCAAATGCAAGAAGGTACTCATGTGTAAATTAAATCCCAATTATTTCAATGAGACTTCATCATGATTATAAACTGGTTAAGGGCTCTGATGTTCAAAGTAGGGCCTGTTTTTTAATAACACACCCATGTAAGCCAGTGAGTGTTAAGTGTGAAGAAGTGACTTCAGAAGCCTGTGCATTAGAAACCCAACCCCTGAAAATACCCTGAACCTAAAAGCTATATTATTGGTAAGTTAAGGCCTTGTAATGCTTTGCAACATTTTAAATATCTTCTCTGGATTCTGCAGATCTAAAGAAATATGTCTATTGCAGAAAAGGCGTGAAGACTAATATGAGATGTACTAGGAAAAAAACCTATTTAAAATAGACTATATACCAATTTCACCAAAGTAACAGGATCTTCAGTGTTTAAGATCCTTAGTGCACCAGAAGAATCAAACTCGTTATTCTCTGCTCAATGGCACTGACATGAGCATAATAAAGCACAAAAGAAAAGCCTAAAATACCAACTTGTTGAGAATAAAAGCCTTTCATTTTAGGTCAATTAATTTCTAGCAAAGAAACAACATCTTTTTTATGCTTTTTTAAAATCAGTTTTTTAAATGCATATCTTTAAATCCACTTGATTAAAGAGAAGACTATGATGTGTAACATCAAAACAGCAGCTACAGCACACCTCCTTCCCTTTATTTACAATTCAAAATTTCCAATACATTTCTCTTGAATTCCTAAACAAACTGTATGTATACAGATGTATTAAAAAGATCAGTCAACGTTTATTCCATCAGAACCGTATACAATAGGCACATTCATGCATGTTAAATGCAAAGCACCAGTCACTACGTGATAACACAGAATCAGCACAGATCATACCTTTGTTGCTCCAAGTTCAGTTCCCCAATTTTCCTGAGATGGGAGGAGTCAACAATAAGTAGTGCCTGAATACCAGCAATTTTCTCCAGTTCCTTTCGTAGTATTTTAACACTCAGCTGTATTAGAGTGGCAAATACAAGTATTATACTTTGAATTAATCTAAAGTCTTTTGGGTGGACTTGGCAAATGTTTTCAATGTCACATTTTAATTTCTATACTTATTCCTCCAGTGGATTTGAACATACAAACTATTGCTGTCAGATTTGGTGAACACAAAACTTCAGTACAAAGAAAAATGTGTACATATATACATTAAAACATTTCACTCTCTTCCATCTCTATTTACTAATTTAGGAGCTTTGGCCTAATTAAACTCACCTAGCAGTCCATACAGCGTAGCCCTCTCAACACCAGTATCACTGCAGCTGGTGAGGTTGGAGCTGTGCCAGGTGAGCTTTGCCAGTGCACCTGCACGGAATGACCTCACTACCACTGTGCTCCATTCATGTATGCTAAAGCAATATTAGTGTTCGCAGGGCCAGCTCCCCTCTGCCAATACATATATGCTAATAATCAGTGCTATTTTTCTAGAAAAAGAGGTGCCGGAACACACCACGAACACCTCCCTCATTCTCATAGAATGGCAATGGCGCCCACCTGAGAGGTGGCAGAACTGAATTCTGGCGAGTTCAGGATGAAAAAAAGCCCTGCTAATAATGAATGCATTCTCTGAGTATCAATCATTACATAATCAAAGCAACACTGTCCATACTCAAGGAGGAGGTACTCATCAGGTTAGTGAATATGCTTAAAAAGAAAAATGTAGAGGGAGAATCAAATCGGCCCAATGCATGCCTGCTCAGTAGCCACAATAAGCTGTGTTTTGGGGGAACTGGGACTGTAGGGGGGGTATGGAGTATTCTAGAAAAGGTCATGGCTGGCTGCAAATTTTGTTACAGATCCCATTTTAAAAAATACTTAGAAACCCTGTTTTTCTTAAGAATGTAAGAAATGAATAACTATTTTAACATTCAGCAATAGTATTTAGCGTTTATTTCTATAAAACTAAAGGAAAGATTCATATGAATCAAACCATGCTTGCTATAACCCAGACCCAAACAGCCAGAAATTTTTGAAGCTCAGTTCTTAAAATGATAAAGAATGCATTTTGCCTCCCTGTAACGGTAGATGCAGAGAACACTAGAAACTCTGTTGCTATTTTGAAAAGTTATGTGACTACAATATTGACTGTACATTTGGTTTAAAAAAAATACTTTTTGGTGTAAATCTAAGGCAGTACACATGTAGGTAGGTCAAATAGCACAGAGTATCCAGAGGTTTAAGAACAGAAAGTTTGATACTGACAAACCTAATGTCAGAATGTCTTCTGATTAACTATTCCCACGAGAAAAGTGTGGGGGGGAGAGAGAGACATAAAAATATTTTGTATTCAAGTTGTTATCCTGTGGAAAGGGCGATAATTCTCTGCATTGTTGTCAGCACATTTATCTCTTTATACAGGTTTCTGCTAATGTCCTAAACTTTGGTTCCAGCTGATCTAAAAAGTCAAGCGCCTCTTCATCTTGCTGATCAGTGCAGCAGCCTACAGAGCCAGCCAACGATCCTCTTCCTTCATAATTATATGAAAGGACATAGTCTTCGGAATGCTTATGCTCTTCATCCTGTCCACAGAGATATACCTTCTGCATAGGGGGGGAAAACTGGGTGTTACTTGTTTTCTTAAACTAACCTGAACATGACATAAAAATGATTTCGTGGATTTACCTTTCAATGTTTAATTTTTAATCAGAGTGTGTCCTCTAATGGGTTCCTATATACAAAAAATGCACATGATTGGTCTATATCATTCATTCTATGACGAATTTAACAAAATCAGACCTACTGATCACATACGTAATAATCAAATGCAATGAACTTCCTTATCAGTTTTTAAAAAAACAATGTTCAGATAAATTGGGGGTGGGGACACCCTAGTTATATATTGCTTATTACAGGGCAGGCTCAGATTTAGGAGCCCAGTTCATAACATATACAGTTTCTTGGGCGACATTACAGCCATTACTATCAAACGTGGTCAATACTGGAGGAGTAATGAGAGATGAGGTCAAAGCAGGAGAGAATCACTACAGGAAAAACAAGTTAAAACAACACAGATATACGAAACAAATACCTGGTCAGGTTACCTTTTCTAAATCCAAACACTAAAACTAAAGGATTGCTTTTCACATTCCAAGCTGCAGGGTGATTTCAAAGTAAATCCTAAACATTTGCTCAGAAAATATCACCTATAGTTGCAGGCCATTAATATTATATCCAGCTAAGAAGACGTGAGCTCTGAATAAAAGTATGTTTAACAGTGCTTACCTCAGTTAGTCGAGGGTGTGTAAAATTTTGCCATTCTGAATAATTGTATCTATATGCATCCATCGCAGATTGTCCATATCCTCCTCTTTCTAATGTCTGATGCCCCATTTTAACAGAGTCTAAGGTGTGGTGTCCTCCGCCCTTGACTGATTCCAGTGTCTGGTGTCCCTTGACCATCTCAAAGCTTTCCTGTCCTCCAGTTTTCACTCCAAGAGTTCCTTGATCATAAGTAACCATGTTTCCTGTTTTCACAGGAAGTATATTGGGGTCCTAAAAAGAAAAGAAGAAACAGCAAAAGAAATACATTAGGGTGCTTGGGAAGAAGGAATTGGACATTATGAGAAACCATGAGAACAAGGAATGCCATTTGGATTTCTGTATTCCCTGCTGGGTATTCAGTCTTTCCAGTAGGTATACAATGGAAGCCAATCCAATTAACTATCCCTGATTTTGCTTAACATCAAGTAATAGCTCCTGTTTATCCTCCTCCACTTACATTTGTGACAGAGATAGGCAACTTCTGTGGCCCTGGGATAAATGGAATTCAAAATACCCCAACTCTGAAGTCCTCCCTACACACACAGATGTTCAGGATTGGAGTAATTGTTGTCTGTTACCCACTGCAAAATATCATAACTATTTCCCCAGTGGAGGATGAACACTCAGAAAAGGAAATGACTCAAATAACCTTAGCCTAGAAAGTGCAGCTCAACCTGACCTGTTAAATGGGTGTATGTGCATAAAGAAAACTTGAACTGTTCAGTGTCTCATTTTCTTAGCTTGAGCCATTAAAATACTTTTAACTGAAATAATAAGCAGCTTTCCTTAAAGCAAAGATGGTAGCTAATACTAAATACACTTAATATTCTATACTTGTGTGCATGATGTAACATTTAGCGAAGTTCAGTTCTCTCATCCAAGCTAGTTAAGAATAAAGTGTCAAAGGCTTATTACCATCTACTATAAGAATAAGAATCCACTATACACTGTGGTGTATATATGAACTTAAACTCTGATTTAAAAATTAACACAGTAATCAGCAATACGTTACCCCTATTTTTTATTCTTGAGATTAATTGGCTGAGATACCATGGGATTTATATTAATTCCAGCATTCAAAATACAACTAATATTTTCCCCCAGCACCTTATATATAGTCTCTGCTTTTGTCCCATTCTCCTTCTTTATCTCCCTTAAAAGCCAAACTAATAGCTTTTGAAAAGCATGTATATTGGTGGCATTTAATTTCGAACGTGAGGCAGTCCTGGTGCAGTGCTGCTTTCCCAGTACAGATTGGGAATCCAATGCCAAAAACTGTCTTCCCCATTACTATTTGTTCCCTAGGATTGTGACATCATCTTTAGGGGTAAATAGCAGCCAGGAGGCTGATAGAATACCAGTGCAAGGCCAGTTTTTGTTTTTTAAAAAAAGTTGTTTAACGCAACATATATTTTGTTATGTCTTGTCATTCCACATAGTTAGAATGCCTTCACTCTCAGATCTGTTCCCATCTAGCCCTCTCTGCTTCAGCATTTAAACAATATTAAAATCTTTTCACTTTCTCAAATCAAGTTCCCTCCCCCTCCTTCCACTTGCTCTGAAGCCGTGTGTGTGTGTGTGTGTGTGTGTGTGTGTGTGTGTGTGGCACCTATTGCCCAAGAAATAATGAGCAGATAAAACAACTTACCATTACTTCTTCACCAGGTGCTTCAGTGTTTGAAATGATCAAGTTCTGATTAGCTAAATCATCACACACATGCTTACTGCTACTCACAGGTGCAGCGCCACAACAGCCGCAAAGTGTTATCAGGATTACTGGAAAAGCGGATGGGGAGAGGAAAAAGAATCAGATACAATAAGGCATCAGGGCATCTACATATTATTATTAGCCTTTTATTTCTTAACAATATTTTTACCACCCTCTTCCTCCAAGATGGCATCATCAGCAGTCTATGCCCTCCCCCCACATTCATCCACACAATAGGCTCATGAGATAGTTTAAAAGAGAATAGAAAATCAGTGGCCCAAAGTGACCTAGCAATCCCTCAGTGGATGATTGGGGATTTGAACTTGGGTCTCACCAATCTAAGTTCAGCACTCTTAACTACAATCCACACAGGTTTTCTTTATGAATGCTCAGACCCAGTGTTTTGGGGTAAAAAGTGAGGTGCTGGTATTCATAACTTGATAAAAGTGTTGCGGGTTCATGTCTGCCACGGACAGCAAAAAAGAGGTGTGGCAGTACTCCATACCAGTGAGTACCATCACAAAAACCAGCTACTTAGACATAATATATATATATTTGCTTCCAAGAAAGCTCCAGACCAGTTTCAGTTGAACTTGCTCCTAAGCAGTATGTGTAAGAAAGACACAGAAGTGCCAATCACTCTGTTAGAGTAAATGAGCAAGTCAAATAATGCATTGGTTAAATACTAACAGAACTGGCATCAAAGGTTGACAGGACTGGATACTTGCCAAGAGCCCACCCTCCGGCAAGGGTGGACCTACCAACATGAAGCAGCCTCACTGAGCAGGGGAATGAAGGGAGGGTGTCTTGCCCAAGGGCCTGGCTATGACAGTGAGTACTTCCCTGAAAATCTACCTCACCCAGTCCATATTCAGTAGTGCACTGGTTTAATTGCAATTGACACTGATATAAGTCACCTTGCCATAAAATGCAGTTTAAATACTTAGAAAATACAATATATTTCTTTTTTTTTACTATTCAAAAGCAACCACCACAAACCACTGCAGTATTTTAAGAATCAGAACAAGTTTCAGCACTTCTCTCTAGTTAAAATCAAGGCACAGTACTGTACATATCAGAAGCAAAAGCCAAGAGTAGCCAGATAATCCACTGGATGTCTAAAAATCATTTAAATGCACAATTTTATCCAGTGGAAACCATATGAGCTGGAAGGAAATAATTAGGCAAAGGGACCCCAGCCCCCTGCTCCACCTTCCCAAATGTCAATTGCTTGAATTCTAGATTTCATATATAACATACTTACATAATAGCAACAAGGATCCCCCAATCAATGCAAGGATGGCCCAAAGACCAAGAGTCACATTAGGAGTCTGACGTGCAACCGGTGGCCCCACCCGTGGCCAGTAACGGCAATCACTAGGGGTGGTGCAATCACACATAATTACACGAACTTCAGTGATTCCACCTTTGCCTGCACGATCAGTTACCATCACAGGGATCTCGTAAGCGCCAAATGGCAAATTCTCTGCTGGTACCAGGTATGCAGAGTTCTCTGCCAAAAACGAAACAAAAACACAACTCAGTGACGAGCATTATTTCAAAATCATTAATTACTGCAGATGCAAGAAATTTAGGAATGCAACACACACCATCATGTTGTGTCAATTTCCACTGTGGGATCATGCGGTCAGGAAGAGAAAAACTGAAAGGGGCTCCATGTTCAGGTAAATCAGCATCCACAGCAGTAAGGCAAACTGGTTGTCTGTCTCTGCAAATTATGTACTCTCTCTTGGGAATCACTGGGAAATTGTCGTTCTCATCTAATAGATTAACCACTATTACTCCAGTGCCTGTTTTACCACCTAGGAAATAACAAAGAATGAGTTATAGCCTTACAATTTAATGCTGTTTCCATGATTTAACATATCTTTGTCCTACTCATAAGTTACACTTCTGAAATTATTAATTTTACTATTTCCAACAGCAGTTCACAACAAATACTTGCAAGGAAACTCACCCAAACAATGGAATCTGAGATGGGCTCAATAAGATAGCCTGTGTCCAAGATGGATCCCACCCCTACATACTCAATGTTAATTACAAGGCATTTCCAGGCTGATGTTCCATTTTTCGACTAGCATTCATGAGGAAAGGCAATGCTTTTTTCTGGGGGTACGCTGGGGTATGCATACCCCTAAACATTTTGTGAATCTAAGTTTGGCCTCATTGAGGGGCAGTATTTCAATATGAGTAGGAAAATATGAGTACCCCTAAGCAATTTTTTAGGGGGGAAAAGCACTGAGGAAAGGCATTGCTTTTTAAATAACAGAAGAGTGAACCGGGTCCTTCCTTTCTTTGACACAGAGGCCTGGGAAAGTTGTGTGCACCCCTAAGAGCAAGGCATGTGTCCACATCATGTAAATGGACTGAAAGCAAATCCAGAGGCTTGGGATATTCATAAAAGACTTTGAGCACCCATGCCAGCCCCTCTGGAAACAAATTAATTCCTGAATGGCAATATTTTCTTGTAAAGGATGGCAGTTATATTTTTATACCAATTTATGAGGGGAGCAGTGCTGCCTGAATCTTCCCTTGCTTTGTAAACCTCTATGTGGATTTCATTTTAATGTGTTTCATAGTTTGTTGATGTTGTGTAATATTCTATGTGGCCTTATGATATACATAACCCATGTACAAATTTGTTTTAAAATGTCAAATTAATTAAAGTATATATAAACATTAAAAAAACTATTAAGAAACCTGGTTAAGAAAATATCATGGCTAGCTTCAAACATAGTTAACACTGGTCCCAATGTTAAGCTTAACCATGGTTAATGCTGGCAGGGGGGAATCCACAATCAACAAAGGAAGGCCAAGGAATGAATGCATGGGTCTGTAGGTTAATCCTAATTTCTTAATTGTGGTTAAGCATTCAAAGGCATGGGATGGCATGAGTACTGGCTCTAATTGTTCATTTTTTAACTTAGTTTGAAAAGGGTTTGATAGTATAGACAAAAGTATTATAAAGTGATCATACTGAGCAATGGTACACCCAATAAAAAAAAAAAACAAATAAGCCCCACCCCTGGCAAAAGAAAAACAAGACCCAAAATGATGAGCCCTGGGACTAGCAGTGTGATTTCCCTCTCTCTCACTGGAGTCAAGGAACGGTTGAGAAAGAATAAATGGAAGAAAAAGCTTCCCCCGCATATACACACTTCCTGCCCCAGCTGAAGCTAGCAAACACAGCTTTGGATGTGGTATTTGCTCTGCCACATACATATTCAGTAGTTTTGTAGGCTACTTAATTGAACTTTGTAGTCTATTTATAGTATGTAATACTCACTCCTGTCCGTTGCAGAGACTGTTACGTTACACTGGTAGAGCTGCATTTGTGGTTGTTCCCTGTCTAGGAGTCTAGTGGTTCTGATCTGACCTGCGTTGTCAATGGTGATCCAGTTACAGGGATCATTTATTATTCTATAACTGTTAGGAATAAATACAGCTGTTAGAAACAAACACCAAAATATATGCTTTATTATATCTTAATGCTTTTTAGGCCTGGTGCAGTTAAATAAGCTGGTACAAATCTCTGTGTTGCACCATCACACAGCAATAGATTCTCAAGCAGCCTCATACTAGGTAGTAGTCTTTAGTATATACGTAAGACATTTCTATAGTTCAGAGCATTTCCCTGCTGTGCTGGTGTCCAATAAATTTAGAGTATACTTAGTTCTTCCAACCTGCTCCCCACTGACATTTCTGGCTATACTCCACAAGGATGGCAGTACCATCAGGCCAGCATAAAACTCACAGAATGAACCCAGTACCCCCATGTACTCCTATGTAACAGAACAAGGTTTGCTTGTGTAATGTGCATAAAGCCCCCAGTGTGGTGGTGCAACAACAGAGGTACAACAATGTTTATCCATCACTAGTAACAGCTGGCAGATTGGGATAGAGCAGCACTGCTTGCCTGGCTTCCCAACATGGAGGTCATTGCTTTTAACAAAGAGGGGAGGGTGAGGTAGGAGGGAAGTTTGGGCAGTGCAGGTACAGTGGCAGAGCCAAGCCAATGCTGCTGCCATTGAGCTTACACCTACTGACCTCATTGCCACATCACCCCTCTCCCCTGGTTATAAGCGGCAAACTCTCCCTTGGAAAGCAATGCACTGCCTGCTCCCACCCTGCTCTGCCAGCTGCTACATCTGTGAATCAGATGGTTGTATTAATACTAACACTAATAGTATAACATGAATTAGGCAACAAAATACTATACATTATGCCTTCAGAATTTCCAGTTTCTGGGTCCCTTGCTGTGTACTGGCCAACCATCGTTTCAGCAGGCAAACATTCCTTGATGTTCAGAAAAAATACACAAGGATCAAATACAGGGCCTTCGTCCATATCCCGCACTTTGACAACAACGACGCAAGTACTTGTAGAAACTGCTCTTGAATTTGGTGGGAGGAAATAAGGTGCTTCATTATTTACAACAATTTCCAACTTTCTCTCCTTGTTTCTTTCGTAGTCTAGCCCCTGTAAATAAATAAATGTGTGTGTCAATTGCAAGATTTTTCTAATATTCACAGCAAAAACAGACAATTATGGAGGGATGATTCCCTATTCAGAAGCAAGTTGTGGGTGAATTGTCTCTGCCTCCCAGATAGGTTTGTCAATGAAGTAAGGGTTTTTATTGGCTCTTTGTCTGCTGGACCAGAAGCCCACTTCTGGCCCTGAACCTTTTCACTTGCCTTTAAACAAGCATAAGGGGCCCATAGCCTGCAGGCCAAATTAGGTCCATGAAGCCATTTTCCCACGGATGACATCATGGACTCAGCTATACAGCTGCAAATAAAACGTTTTAAGTGTGTTTTAATTGCAATATACAATGTGACACTAGGTGGCAATGGTGAGCCTTATGGAAAATTCAATGTATTTTTGTGATCCACTCTCTTAGCATTTTATGTAAAGATTTTGTGCTTCTGAAAAGCCTGTTAATACCTCCCTCTTATACAGAGGTGGTGGTATTTTGACAACATAAGCAATGGCACTCAAAACCTGAACACTGGGAATGATGGTACAGTTTTACGTAACATAAATGCATTGTGAGTTTCTTACTTTCCCACACATCTACTTTAAAATGAAAAGAATAAAACATCTACAATGGCTTGGTTCACATAACATGCTAAACCAAATAAATAATAATAATAATAATAATAATAATAATAATAATAATAATTTAATTATTTAATATGCTTATATGACTAGGTTGCCCCAGCCACTCTGGGCGGATCCCAAACAAAATAGTAAAAAGCTCAAAAATAAAAAGACTTCCCTGTACAGAGCTGCCTTCAGATGTCTTCTAAAAGGCATATAGTTGGTAATCTGTTTGACATCTGATGGGAGGGTGTTCCACAGGGTGGGCGCCACTTCCAAGAAGACCCTCTGCCTAGTTCCCTGTAACTTCACTTCTTGTAATGAAGGAACTGCCAGAAGGCCCTTCGAGCTGGACCACAATGTCTGAGCTGCACAATGAGGGTGGAGACGCTCCACTCTGGCTTACCACAAACAAGTAAGCATCTAGGCTCTCAGAGAGAAGCTCACAGCTGCTTTGTTTCTACCCAGAACTTCTTGCTGCTGTGCGACATTAAGCTAAGTCAAGGTTTAACTTAGTGTGTCTTCTGAACCGGGGCTTGTGATTATGCTCTTAACTGTAACCAAGATTTGGCTTAGCATGTCATGCAACCACAGCCATTATGTGATCAATATACAGATTGGAAAATCATTGCTGAGAAATAATTATAAATTTAAATTCAGGGACTTCGGTGCTGCCACAGAAGGTCAGAGGTGTTAAACTCTGCTGAAAATTATTACCCACTTCTGTATTGCTCAGTATAATTGGAATTATCATAATACTTATTAAACTATATTCAATTGGATATAGAAAAGCTGTGAAATGTAATTACCTTTTCAACACATAGTGTACCAATATTTGAATCAGGATTTTTTACAATTTTGAAAGCACCATCTTCATTTCCCTTTATAATGTTGAAGGTAGCATGCCAAGCAGGTGTTCCAGGTGAATCTTTGTCTACGACACCGATGTCCATTACTTTTTCGCCAACTGTGTTTTCACTAACATATGCTTCATACTGAAATGAACAAGATTTTCAGAAATTTGTTTCAAAACCATATGGTCACCACAACATAGTTTTCTATGCATATGCTGTCATATATGTTTTTGCAAATTGCTATGGGTTGATAAATTATAGCCTTAAAATATTAATGCTTAAGATATAATGCAATGATGAGATTAAATCTCTGCCAGCAACTGAAACAAAGTGTGTGTCTTTATCCTTCTTATTGATAAGGAAACAGAGTCCAGCTTCTTAACCAGGGCTGATGCAATCAGAATAGAGTTAAAAGCTGCAGGCTTGGACACATAATTATGAAACTCATGCAAATGACAAAAACAAAAGAAAAGAGAGAGAATGCAGAAGATCTTAAAATGAAGAGTAATGTTCTAAGAAGTGTGAAGACAGCAAACATACCATGCTGTGCTCACACATGGGTGCATGATCATTTGCATCATCAACTTCAATTACAACTGTTGCAGTATTGCACAAACCAAAGGGCTGACCTCCCATATCTCTTGCTTCTACCAGTATTGTGTATGTCGTTATTTTCTGAAAAAGAACACAGCAAACAGTATATGAATATAGTCCAATATAAACACAGTAATGGGAGGGGAAGGCCAATGGAACACAATATCCTCTTAATACTGACTTTCTTTAGTCATATTGTAGTAGTAATAATAATAATAATAATAATAATAATAACAATAATCTTTATACCCTGTCCATCTAACTGGGTTTCTCCAGCCACTCTGGGCAGCTTACAGCACATATAAAAACATAGTAAAACGTCAAACATTAAAAACTTCCTGATACATGGCTGCCTTCAAATGTCTTCCAAAAGTTGTGTAGTACTTTAGCTCCTTGACATCTGATGGGAGGGTGTTCCACAGGGTGGGCACCACTGCCAAGAAGGCCCTGCATGGTTCCCTGTAACTTCACTTCTCGCAGTGAGGAAACCACCAGAACTTCACCAGAGGGAACCACCAGAGTTCCTAGCTAAACAAATGCTTTTAAGGCTTCTTATGCAGAAGTCCATCAAGTACCCTTTCTCTCATTCTCACTGCTGCTTCCTGCAAAAAAGTGATGGAAAGAGAGAGAACCTCTCCCTTTTTCCCCGTTGATGAAAGACAAGATAGGTCACCTCCCTTTCTGTTGTATTTTTGCAGGACTAAGCAGCAGCTTGTATTTCCTGCAACAACCTGCCACTAACACAAACTCTCTTTTCTACATAGGATTTAGAGAAGGGAGGTGTCTACGACAACAACAAAATAATGAGTTTGTCAAGCAAGCAAACTATAAATTTCCCAGAGATTCATGCGTCCTCTCCCCACCTCCCCGTCAAATTATGTCTTACTCATAGGCATAATGCTAAATAACAACATTAGACTTTCAATAAAATTACCTCTCTGTCCAGAACTGGATATGCCACAGTAATAGAACCTGTATCTGGATGTATAGTGAACGTATAGGAACCTTGAAGCGGTATAGGATTCTGGCCCACAATTCTGTATTTCAGTTTAGTGTGCAGTGTACCAGGTTCATCTCTGTCTGTTGCAGTTATTTGTCCAACCACGGTACCTGCATACACAGATTACCATTGTAACATTTTTAAGATTATACTATAAAATACTGATCAAATTATCATTGGAGATCTAGCCTAATAATACAGCACACACGCAACCCCTGCCTAAAGTACTCGAAAAGAAAATACAATACATGGTTGTTAACTTCAGCCTTAATAAAGCTTATGGACTGCTGCTTTGCTTTGAAACCTCTCCTTACTTCATTTGGGTTAGTGCAGGCCTAGGCAAACTCGGCCCTCCAGATGTTTTGGGACTCCTGTTAGCTAGGGGTGATGGGAGTTGTAGTCCCAAAACATCTGGAGGGCCGAGTTTGCCTATGCCTGGGTTAATGCAAGGGATTCCAGCCCAAGCCCTGGTGAAATGAACAGAAGATATGCAGCAGTAGATGAAGAAGCCCTGCACTTTTTACGTGATTTTTTAAAAGAAGTAATTCTGAGCTTTCAGTTAACTATATATATTTGTAATGATCTACAGATTTTGAATCACAGAGATTCCTAATGGAGGAAATTGCCTAAGAAAATAATCTAGGTTTCATATTTATCATATTCTGATAAATCTATGCAGGCCGATGTCTAAAAAGTGGTCTTACAATCACTTGCTCCCCATGTATACCTATGGAAATTTGTTAAGTTAGCAATTACATGAAATTGCACCGAATAAGCATGTGCGCAATTGCTGCTGTCAAACGATATTCTAGGCGTACAGTAGGCGCAGATCTTCTCACTGATGCTGTTCGTGTTACATTCATTATGTTAATGACCGTCTAACATTTATCCCTGTCTTCATAAGCAGCAGTTAAATGCTGAATGATGAAAACATGTTTTGATGAGATACAACTTTTATTCTACATAGAAAATAATATCTTTACTATTTTGGAGCAAAGGTTTACCCAGTTACAAACATACACAGATAAATGAAAACACTCTTCAAACTGGACAGACCAGTTATAAATCTGACTAGCATTTCTATCAAGAGTCATTGAAATGAATATGGATGCAAATACATGGTCTAATCTGAAAGCTTTTGAAAAATGTGATGGGAAGGATTATAGCTCAGTGGTAATGCATATTTTGAAAGCAGAAGGTCCTGACTCCCAGGTTCAATCACAGGCACCGCCAGTTAAATGATCAGGGAGCAGGTGATGAGAAAGATTTCTGCCTCAGTCCCTAGACAATTCTGGACTAGATGGGCTAGTCATTTGACTTGGTGTATGTTCATATATATCAATGCTCAATATAATAATAATATGGCACATTCATGCATAATTAGTGAAATTGTATGTATTTGTGTGTTTGCCCATGCATTTATTTATTAGATTACTAACCTGCCCCATTCCAAGGGGATGGTGCAGTCAATACTTTTAAATCCGACACAGTATAGTAAAACAAATTAATATTAACCTACACTGGCTTAACATCTGCCATTATATAACATCCAAGTAAGAAGATTAAAGATCTTAACACTGGGCCACATTCAATGACAGGCAAATAGATGTCTGACTATACATCCAGGTTTTCCTTTTTTTTTCCCCTTCCTCTTTACTGCTCCCCCATCTGCTCCAGATGGTTTGCCAATCCTTCAGCAAAGATTTTGGGAGCACACAGAGGAGGGGAAAGAGAGTGTGTCATGTTGCACATGTGAAGGTTCATTCCACTGGTGGAAGGGCACCATTAGATTTCACTCATTGGATAAAAGTAATTGAAATGATATTATAAAATTTCTAGCTGCTTACCAGCTCTGCAGTTTTCTACAACATTAAAAGCCCAAGTAACTGGGTCAAACATTGGTGGGTTGTCATTATCATCCTCAATTCGGATTACATGTCTAAGTGGTACCTCTGGAGTATAGCCATCTAATGTCCTTGCATTGCAAATTATCTGTAAAAAAAAGAGGGAACACTTTTAGTAGCTACCTACGTAAGGATAATTGGTTTTATTGTAATGAATTGCTATTTGCTTCTGAACAAACACAAGAACTTGCAATGTTTTACGTTTCTTATACTTTAACAGTGAAAGACTGACAGGTTTACAATTTCCATTTTACCAATAGCCATATTTCTGTAGAATTCTTAAACTCAAGTACATTTCTGTGTTTCATCAGAAAGACATCCAAACTTTTTACTTTATACATTCTTCTCCCCTGTCAAACTTCTCCATCATTAACATCTATCAGATAAAGTTCTATTCAGTATCTCAGAAAAAGCTTTGCTTAGTAAAAGCAGAACAAGGTTGCAGATCCTACCATTCCAATTCAAATACTCAAAATGAACAAAGTGTCAATGAACACTACTGATCCATTGTTTAAAACACATCATTTTATACTTACAACACATTTGGCTTCATATTATAATTGTTACAACTGACAAAGTTTGCATTCTTACCTCAAATTCTGGATACTCTTCCCGATCTATTGGGACAGTAACAAAGAGATTTCCTGTTTCCCTCTCAATATAAAAATAATTTAGTGGTGGTTGGTCGACTCCACGACCACTTATAGAATATGTGATGTTGTATTTTTGGGCTGTATCAGAAGACAGCTGTATAAAGAGAATGATGTATGAAACAGAAAAACGTAAGTCATCATACTATAGCTAGTATCTCAGAATTAAAGTATCAATTTGTCTCTTAATTTTCTGGTACCAAAGTTAGTTCAGACTCCTGAAGAACATGACAAATATTTGTTCATTTAAAATCCTTCACCATTTATACAGGAATGTAATTTAGTACACACTGTTTAGGCTGTGAGATCATAATCACACTGAGGCGGTAAGTCCTGTTTTAATAGAACTGATTTTCAAGTGTGCTTAGGATCACTCTATCTGGTACAAATTACTCTCCAGCAACTACTTAGTCATTAACAGTATTGATATCATTGATGTTTCCTTTTTCATGTTCAAGGCTTCTCAAAAAGTCATTAGAATTATCCTAAGATCATAACTTACATAGGTTTCTTCTACTCATCTTATTCATAAAACACATTTGCTAGAGCGTAGAGTGTAATCAGACTGGTTTATTAAACGTTACCTGCTGAATTTGCATTGGGAAAGGTCCTAGTGAGTTTTCCATTATTAGGGTTGGAAGAGGACTCCATCTTCGTTTAGTTCGTCTAAGAACAGTCTCTCCTGTTTTATGAGCCTGTGTTCAGGAAATAGAAACAAACATTAGTAATATATTCTAGTAATTCCTTACTTTTTCCATTCTCCTATACTGTGTTGTTCCTATTAACATTCTCCAGCATTTCACCATGGTATCCATCTTTTTCTCCATGAATTGCTATAACATTCTGGTATGGTGATTTTTGAGTACTTCAACCCTGCATAACTGTTTTCAGTTTTTCATGCCTCTATTTTCATTATGTTTGTGTGTGTTTTTGGAATTCTAATGTCCTTGATGAAGATAATTCCTTTTTTGCTACATCAGTTTTAACTGGGCAATAAAGAGACAGATTCAGCCCTCCTCTTTACCTGAAGTGAGAGCTTAAGTTATATGCTAAATCAAATGTTCTGTTGACAGTCAATTAAGGCCAAAAACAGACATTACAGGAACTGCAAAGCTGCTGTCAAAAGAAGCAGAATTATGTATCCTCCTTCTCTCTCATCCATACTGGAATGTATATATGACATAATCATAATGTTCTCACTCTTTTTCAGTGGCTGAAGTTTGCTTGCAGGGGCAAGGAAACTTTCAGTGCAGTTCTGTCATGTCAAGCATTACTTCTCCCCACCCTAAAACCCCACCTCTTTTTCAGTACCTATAACATCTATATTTGCCTAACGAGGAAGATAACTGAAATGTACTTTGATCTAAAAAAAAATTGCATGTCACTTACCTTTTTTGGATGTGATAGCAAATTGACATGTATTTTCTTTTGCAGATGACCTTGCAAGTCATTAAGCGATATGGTAAAAGCTTTCTTCTCAGAAGACAAAGAAACAGCATTTGTTGTATATACAGAACCATCTTCTAGTACTATAAAATCAGGATCACTTGAACTGATCAGGTCAGATGTCCTAAGATACTGTCTCAGATTTACTGTAAAACAAAAACAGTAAAAACTGTAAACCAAGAAACAAAGCAGCAAAGAACAACTCCCAATTTCATGTCCTAAATTTATATTTGCATGCTTACAATTTTAAAATTTGTACATAGTTGCAGTGTCAGGGTAAAGTTTCTAGAGCATGATCATGACACTCTAGTATGAATCTAATAAGTCGATCTTATCCACCCACAGCCTTCACAACTGGGGGAAAAGGCTATGACTCAAACTAAGAACAATTAAATGAACAAATAGCGAATAAGCGAATGGATAAATAAACTGGTTACAGATGAGAATGAGATGCAAAATCCAAAAACTTATTTAGTAGTTTTGTTGGTTATAGATTCAAAAGCAAGCTTTATTTACAATCAATAATGAAATACATATCCCAGGCTGCCTAAGGCGTGGCAGAGTGCAGCACAACTAGAGGCAGTTCATCTGCTTCAACTGTAAGGGCAGAGGAGCCCTCTTGCACTCCTCTGTCATTTTCTGGGGATGGGTTTAGGGCAGGGGGTGTTTAGTATGCTTAGGGGGCATGTCAGGAGAGCAGAAATGCATGTGATCCTTCAGGTTCAATACTTCTACTTGTCTACCCCTTACACCACCACCCTTTCTGGCTCCACTGATGTCTGAGCCCTGACACTGAGTCAATGAAGTTTTCACAGTGGTGTGGGTGGGGGAATCTAGCATCTGATCTCCTTCTCCAAGGTCAGAGCACTCTCTCTGCCTTCAGAAAGCGAGATCCAATGTTTCCTATGACCCCATGGGCACCCTCCTAAGGACCATAAGATTTCAGCATAGCAGCACAATCCAATGCATATTTATCTGAAAGGAACCCCATTCAGTTGGGGTATGCTGCCCATTAAGTGTGTCCAGGATTGAAGGAACCCCATTCAGTTGGGGCTTGCTGCCCATTAAGTGTGTCCAGGATTGAAGTTGTAAGCTTATGCTATACTGTAACTAAGCATAAGCCCCACTGAACACAGATAGGCTTCCAAAATAATGTGCATTGGAGTGTGCTATAAATATGAGATGGGTTGCAGGGAGAAGAAAACAGAACATCATTGTGAAAGCAACAGAAAGAGGCTCTAGTAATTGTTACTCACATCTGCCAATTAATGTTCCTGCTTCTAGTTTGGAAGGCACATTAAAAGTCACTTTCTTGCTAGCTTCACAAAATAAACTTAGTACCTGAGGAGTAAAAGAATCACATTATTATTTTTTGTTATTTTTGTATATACAGAACTATAAACAATAGGCCGAAATATAGCATAGTGATCTAACCTTATCCATGAATTAGATTGTAATATTCCTTAATATGACTGAAATTTGCACATATACATTTCCAGGTTTCCCCATTAAGAATGGTTGACAAGCCTTCATACTATTTGATGTCAATATGAGGAAGGATTTGAGATTATTTTGATGCAACAACATCTAGGCCATATTGCACTGTTATGTGCACAAGATGCATTTCAGTAAGCCATCTATAAGGTTATGTTCTGTTGATAAAGCATCTTCTGGTCAGCAAACCAGAGGAAAATGGCAGCAAACCAGAAAATTGACACATTAATTAATGTATTCACCCAGAAAATGAAGTTAGGCTCATGTGGTGCCAATCAGATGGCTGGATTTAGATACAGTTTTGACAAGCAGATAAAAAGGTATTTGACAGAGGGAAGTGCTGCAAAGCACCAACACTATTAGGCCCTCTCTCTTCAGAAGGAACTGCTGGAATGTTAATGACATGCAATTCTTGAGAAGTGCTCTTTTAGGGAAGTATTTATGATGGGAATACTGATTTTGAATTCAATGTCTGTTGTTCCAACTGTCTCACAGCTCTTGGCACTGTACCATTGATTTAGCTTGGGGGAGGGAGAATCACTAAATGGGAATCTTAGTTGCAAGGTGAGTTGCCATCTTGGCAGCTTGGGCAACCAAATTTAATTCCAGCATGCCCAGGAACCCAGCAAAAACAACATGACATTTCTCTAGGCAGTCTTCAAATGGGAAAAAAGACAAAAAAATAACAGATGTAAGCTATAGCTGAATGAGCCTGTGGCTGGAATTAACCATGGGAATTAGTTCAGAGATATGTGGGAATCAATGAGATTTCAAAACGTTCCACAAATTGTTGCATATAGTCTGTACCAAGGCTATAAGGAGTTGAGGTGTAATATGCTCCAATGCTCAATTTAATTCCCCAATAAGCAGGATATAGTTTCTTCAGTGCAAACAGCTTTGCAGAACTGTACATTATGGAGCCCCAAATCTAGTCTGGAGTAGATCAACACCCTGTAGATTTGCAGTATATAAGTGCAGTCTGTTCCTGAAGTGGTTGAAGAATGCAAAACAGGACATTCAGTGCCTTCATGTATAACACCTTTAGGAAGTTAATGTGCAATAAGAGTGTGAGCTTCTTGTTCAACCCTAGATACATACACTCTGAAACTACTAGGAATGAAACTACTAGGAATTTCAAGGATGTAAGCTACACCTTCAGCAAAAGTACAAACAAATTATTTTTGTTTGATAAAGGTATAGTCACAAAGTACAGCTGATTGGTATACACCAATATATAGAGAGAGTGAGAGCGGAAAGCTTGTTGTTGTTATCTTTCATTAAGCCATGTAACAAAGGACCTAAAGAACATCTGGAAATTACCTGCATAAAGGCAACTGCATGCTATATGATATATCACACTGCAACAAATCTTTACAGAGAAGACAAACACACTGAACACTACCTTGAGGGTCACTTTTCTCCCACTTGAAAGTCAAAACTAACGTGAACCTGGAATGCACATTTCCTCAAAAGGATCTGTATGAAGATGAGGAGATTGCTTCTTAATCCAAAATTATAAGACTTTCTGATGATTTCATATTTCATAAGCCTTTCCTTCTTCTTTTTAAGTGAACTATCAGTTGATCTGATTTCCAGCTTAATCAGGTGATAAGTGTCTGCAGAAACTATATTGCGTATTTGCCAGTATGTTGTTGGGTTCATGAATGCTGATCATGCATTTCAGAAGCTTGCAAACACGACATGTCAAAGCAACAGGTGGATATACTAGGCTCTTAGGATTTAAACCACGCTTCAAAGGAGGTACTTTGGTGATAGTCTATATATAACAAATCTAGATACACATGATCTGGTTATAGAGGGTCAGCAGCAGATCAAACCCATCTTGAGGCAGTTGTCATCCAGCCCTACCGCCATGTTATCAGATGAATGTGGTGCCACTTACAGTAAGAAGGGCTCATTGGCTCATATACCGTATATATATGTAAATACAAATTGAAGAAGCTTCTGCCCTATGTTCAACAGGCAATAATTCAGCTTGGTAGTTAAGAAAACACACGTTCTAAGATCCTTTCCATTATGATACCGATGGGGAACCTATGAATACAGCGCCCAGAAGTTTTCAGAAATTTATTCCTAATAGCTTTGAGGCTAACGGCCCTGGCAATTCCTAATATTGGAACCCTCACCTTTCACTGGAATCAGCTGATCCCCTAAATCAAGGAGTCTCCAAAAAAACACACACACAAATAAATGTTTTCAATTATTCCTCTCCTCTTCTTATTATTTTGACATCAGTAGACATTGCTTTACTGGAGCAACTAATGAAAGGTTTGGCGTTACTAGACGCATCTCTGAGCATATCATTCTTTTCAAGCGGAGATTTCATTTGATAAGGAACAGATTCCACTGCAACCTCTTCAGTGCCTGAGGATTGTGCCATTGCTACATGGCTAGGAGAAGCTTTGGAGGGAGCCAGCACATGGGGCTCGAGGAAATAAATCTTCACCTGTTGGGACATTTTTCAGTCTACCGTTTAACACAGAAGCATTACTCTCATGGTTCCTCTCCATAGTGACTTTGCCCTCTGTAGGAAAGCTGTTAAGCATCATGTTGTATTAAGTCCATAAGACCAAATTGAGAAACACTGTGATTGTACTTTGTTTTAAAACTATTTTTAATGTTGTGTTTTAAATTGTTGTGACCTTCCCTGGGACCATATAATAGAGACATAAAAAGATAATAAATTAATAATAATAAAATGGCAGATATAACAGAATCTGATAACAGAGGCATAAAAGGAGACTACTTGATAAATTGAACACCTACAGAGTCACAATCACAGAGTATCAAATGTATCTGCTGCTGCAGTAGATTTATCTATATGTACAATTATGGTTATTATTATTATTATTATTATTATTATTATTTAGATTTTTACCCCATCCTTCCATGGTGCTCAGGGCAAATTATAAATAATGGTAATTCACATGGAACTACAGTGGTACCTCGGGTTACTTACGCTTCAGGTTACAGACTCCGCTAACCCAGAAATAGTACCTCGTGTTAAGAACTTTGCTTCAGGATGAGAACAGAAATTGTGCTCCAACGGTGCGGCGGCAGGGGGAGGCCCCATTAGCTAAAGTGCTGCTTCAGGTTAAGAACAGTTTCAGGTTAAGAATGAACCTCTGGAACGAATTATGTACTTAACCCGAGGTACCACTGTACTAGTATTTGGGCGTGGGAAGGAGGGATGCAACAGAATACAAATTAGGAGCACTCCTTTATCAAGCAGCAAGAAAGTGAAAGTGAGGTAATTAAAAGGTATTATTGGGTTTCTAACAAAAGTGCCCAGGAAAATAGTATGTAGATTTAAGACCAATTACCAATTTAAATGTAAAATGGATTAAAGTTTTTAAGAACAAAAGAGTTGACATTTTCCCCGCATTCCAGTTTTCCATTACTGTCTTATACTTTTACAAAAGTCTAATGACGTCACGTTGCTTCATTATTTCTACTCTGGACTAAGTGGGTTTATGACTGTTGCAAAAGATTGTTAAAGGCACTACAAATGGTCTTGGAATTACAGGAGTGTTAATAAATTCAGTATGAGTAAGTCGAAGAGAATACGTCACACCAAACAATAACCAGTTAAAGTTAGTGTAGAGTTGTCTTACTGAAAGCAATTCATGTCAATTTGAGAATCAAGTGTTTCATATATGCAGCACAGTTCCATTCTTCCTAGCTATGTTTAAAGAACATTAAGAATAAGAGAGAAAATAGCCGTGTGCTTCTATGCATGGCCTTTTAGAAGGAAGTCCTACTGAATTCCATGGGATTTACTCAGAGGTGTGTATAGTAGGATTGCAGTCTAAAAATCACTTTGCAGATTTTATTTGTATATTACAATTCAGGTAACACATTCAGCACACTTTCAAACTGGTTTAAACACATACAAACATTCTAAACATTCACAGAATTACCAGTGCCAGGGATGGGATTTACAGAGCTCTGTTTTGTAAATCAAATACTTTAACTCATTGTTTTATTTGTGAAGTTCCTATTTTCATCCAAAAAAAGATAGCAAACTTTTTCTGAAGTGTTTGCATTTTAGAACAATGGAATTCTGTTCAGTAAGATAGGCTTTATTTATTTTAAAGTATTGTGTCACAATGAAAGCATTATAAAAACGGGACTTGGGTGGTATGTATAAATCTTATGATTTCAATGGGATTCAAACATATTAAACATCCTGTTCCTAAACACCTTGTTTGAAAACAAGGTACAATTATATCAGCAGGCCTTATAAGTAATACTGTATCTATAATTGTGAAGTACTTAGATGGAAGAGTGCAAGTTTCTCTATACTGCAATATTAATTGAAACAAGTGGGTTCCATGGAAGTCAATTTGATACACTGTCAACTAATTCACATAGAATAGGAGTGAGTGTAAGCAGTTACTATACATTAGACATTCCAAAAATAAATAATGAAATTAATGCTGTAAAGGCTAAAGTGCAGATTGAATACCATCAGTAGCAGAGGACACTTAAAAAAAAAAAAAGCAGGAAAAGTCCATTGAAGGGGAAGTAAAACCAATCAATTAGGAAATTAAATTACTTGCTATTTCTGGCCACAAATGGCAAGCTAGAAGAGCCACCAATTAATAGTTATATTATTATTAATGTATTGAAGCCAAGGCGCAAGTGAACTATTTGCGTCTTGAAACGAAAATCTGGTAAACGTGCAGGCTCTCAAAATGAATCTGAGCAGCACTCTGGTTGTGCTTTTGTATGGATTACAGAATTAGGTTGACGGCTTTGAAATAAATTAGAATGTTGATTTAATTAGTTTTTAAAGATATCAAAAATAATCCAGAGTGGGACTTAGTCTGAAGCAAATGTGCACATGACTACAGTCATTACTCCAATTTTTTTGATGTTAAGGAATGATACAAACAATTGTGAGAGAAAATTCCGATCAGTAACTCAATACAGTAAGGTACTGGGAGCCACAGAAAGGCTATGGGGTCTATAAAGATCTCAGTAACAAAGGAAGCCCAGTGTTTTTCATAAGTCTAGCATGATACTGGACAAAGGAAGATTATTTTAAAGTAAGGTACATTTCTTAAACTAAAACTGATATAGAGACTCTGGGCTGTGTAAATGAGCCTATTCATATTAACTGGACTATTGCTTACAAAGGATTAGAAGCTCAAATTTCAACTAACATGTCTATGTCTGCACAATCGCTAGTTTTTATAAATTTTAAAAAGGATGTTCACACTGTTAATCATGTTCCCCATTTGTGGGTTGGATCCAGACAAGCATACAGGCAAAGCAGGCCTATTGAAACCAAGGGGACAAGATAGCCGTGGCTTTTATTTCAGTGGGTCTACTCCCAGCATGACTAAATCTGGACCCAACCCATTGTCTGTATTTGACAAAGGGTTGGTAATTTATATAAGCTTCTTTTTTTCTACTAGGCAGCCAGCACTTTGGACAGCTTTAAAGGGGAATTGGACAAATTCAAGAAGGCTATACCCATCAATGTCTTCTAGTCATGATTTCCGTGTGCTCCTTCAGCATTGGATGATATCTGACACCACCATCTGGGGAGCAGGGTACTGTTTCATGTCCTGCTTGTGGGTTTCCCATAGGTGCATCTGGTTGGCCACTGTGAGAACTAGAAGGGGACATTGGCCTGATCCAACAGAGCTCTTATGTTCTTAGATGCAACCTTAGAATTATTATTTGAAACATGCAAATCAAATTCACTGCAATAAGAGTGTACCGCAGCTGTTATTTCCTACAAGACTGACAAGGGGGGAAAATATTTCCAATCTCCTATTTGCTTACAGCTTTTCTGGTAAACATAAACCCATTGGCTACAGAAGCCAAACTCAGAGAACAACAATAGTTTACTGATAGCAAATGGCTAGAAAATTGTTATTTTTTATTAAATCTGTATACCGCCCTATACCTGCAGGTCTCAGGGCAGTTACAACATAAAATCACAATATGAAAACACAAAATACAGTGGTACCTCGGGTTAAGTACTTAATTCGTTCCGGAGGTCCGTACTTAACCTGAAACTATTCTTAACCTGAAGCACCACTTTAGCTAATGGGGCCTCCTGCTGCTGCTGCTGCGTGAGCAGCATCTGTTCTCATCCTGAAGCAAAGTTCTTAACCTAAAGCAATATTTCTGGGTTAGCGGAGTCTGTAACCTGAAGCGTATATAACCCGAGGTACCACTGTACATAATAAAAAAGAAAAGCAACCTAAAAGTCGCCTCCTCCCAGTCTCAAATAATCCGTTTCAAATACAGCAGAGAAATTAGGAAGAAGAGGTCCTGAATTTCCTGTGCCTCTAGAGTGTTTTGCCCCCACTTCAGGACCTCTTCCAGGCAAATATATTCCCAAGTCTAATACTGATATGTAAGCACGCAGATTAAACAGGTATAATAAGCATGCCGTTAATTCTAAACCAGCACATTTCCTTTTCAAAGTGGGAACCATCCCGGGGAAGACTAAGGCAGATCAAAGGCGCGAGTTAATAAGGGCAGGGCGAAACCCGCAGAGCACACAAACGCCACTTAGCCAAGGCGCGTCGCCGATTTTAAGAAGCCTGTCCCACGGTATATTCCATCGGATCCTAACTCTCCCCACCCCCCAAAAAACCCCACAGCAAATTCCAGGACGAAACTGCCACCCTGAACGCCCCTGAAGTCACCGTGTGAAAAAAAAAAGCTACTTGGAAAAAAACTGAGCTCACTTCCGAGTAAACGCGTCTCTCCTTTTTTAAAGGAGTCCATGCATTTTCTCTCCTCGCCACAGCACAATGAAGTCTCCCCATTCCCACTTTTCAAAACTTCAGAGTTTCGCAACTCCTACGAGAACCCCCCACCCATTTTCTCTCTCTCTGCGAATCTGCAAGTCGGAATCTGGGGAGGGGAAGCTTCTCCCAGCTTCGAGCCGCTTTCGAAAGCCTAAGAACGAAAAATTACTTTTCCGTGTGCGCAAATAGCATAAAGAGTCCGGCTTTTTGTTTCTTCCGAAGAGGCGTCCCTGGAAAATCCAGGTGGGCGCTGCCCCCCCCCCGCTCCTCCCCGCCACAGCAGCGCCTCCCGCCCAAGAGCCCCGCGGCACGTCCGCCAGGCCGAACCCAACCAACTTCGCCCCGCAAGTTCCCACTTCGGCGCCGTTACCTGTCGCCGCCGCCCAGACTTCCCGCGCCTCTCTCCCTTCAGCCCACCCTCTGCCTCCCTTCTCCCGCTCCACAAGGCGCGACTCCTACTACTACTACTCACCAGCAGGCCGACGAAGACCCGGAGGCCGGCGTCCGTCCACCAGCCCCCCCTGCGCCGCGCTCTCGCTAGCGGGGCCATGCTGCAGCCGGATTGGGGTCGCGCGCGCGCGCGAGCGAGTGAAGGTGGGCTCGGCGGGAAAAAGAGACCAGCGGAAACGGCGGCGCGCGCGCGCTGGACGAGAGACCAGGTGAGTCTGAGGCGACCCGCCTGTCTCCACAGCAGGAGCTGCAAGGGTGGTGGCGGCAGCAGCGATAGTGGATCAGCAGAGAGGCGGAGACGGTTGTTTTCTCCTACTCGGGTGATTTTTTTTTATTTTTTTTTGTCCTTCTTCTGTTAACTCAAGTCTCCTCCCGTCCGCTGGAGGATTTGCCTCCGAGCGAGGGTGTGGGGCGAGGCGAAGGGAGGTGAGTTTACCTCAGCGGCTCTTCTGAGCGAGCACCTTTAATTAAGTTTCCTTTTCTCTCTCTCTCCCTCCTCCCTCTTTCCCCTCGCCCCGCCCCGCTTTCTTTCTTTCGACTCGGCCAGGGAGTGGAGCGGGAGACGCCCTGGTTGGCCCCGACCCCGCCCCGCTGCTGGGCAGATAGGAGATGCGCGGAGGATTAACACGCTCCTTTCCCAGCTGCTTCGCCACTGACTGTGTCCGGAGAGCGAGACTCGCGCGCAGGCAGAGCAAAGGTGCGAGGCGGCCCGCGACGTCACGGCCTCTGTCTTCAGGTTGCCCTGGACGTCCAGGGCCGCCTCTCCAGGCAAGCCCGGGCTGCTTCCATGCGCGTCTGGGAAACCAGCAGAGCCTCCCACCAGGGGAGACCCTGCAGAGGCAGGCGCCCTCGCCCACACTCACATCAGGAGTTCAGATAGCTGTCTTTAAAAACAAACAAACACCTCGTTCTGAACAGGGAAAAAGTCCCTACGAAGTCTAGTTTCGCTTTTCTAGACCCGACCCGCTTTCAGTGCGCCTATTCCTCTCTCTCTGCTTTCGCAGGCCAAAGCGACGTCCTGCAGCCGCGCCCTCTTTTCTCTCATGGTGCACAGGTTGCTGAGCAGAGAGCACGCACGTCTGCGCCTGGCTCATTTTCTGTTATTAATAACAGAATTATTTGTAAACGTGGATTGAGTAGTACTAAAGAGGATTACTCTCATAACAGACGAGCATAGGCGCGTTTAAAACATTTTATCCAGTACAGACGGGATCTTTTTTAGTGAGGCGAAAGAAACACAATAAAGAAAAATGTGGGTACCCACAGAGAAGCACCTTTCGGGGTGGCAGAACACCACCTGATTTATTAGGAAACTTTTTAGCATTTGAGAACTGTTGCACAAGCATGCATTCTGAATGGTATGGAAGAGTGTATGTTATACTGTAATCTGGAAACATTTTAAAGGGATTCTGTCTATACTATTCTACACCACAGCTCACTTTTTTAGATTATTAATTAACCAACCACCACTGTTTACTTCTGTTGATACAAGTATACTTACTATTTTCTTCTTGATTGCATGGAAAGGCAAACCAGTTGCTGCAGAAGAAAGTAGCTATCACTGAGCAATCATAGAATCATAGAACTGTAGAGTTGGAAGGGACCCTGAGGATCATCTAGTCCAACCCCCTGCAATGCAGGAATATGCAGCTGGCCCATACAGGGATCGAACCTGCAACCTTGGTGTTATCAGCACCATGGTCTAACCAACATAAGTTGTCAGATTCCTGGGTTGTGAAATACCAGCTACTATGACAGGGGGAAAAACTTTTCAGGCGATCCTCTGACACTGCAGCCTTTAGCATACAATAGGTGTCATATTTTGCACAACAGGACAGTTCAAATTGTATTTCACAATGAGACTATCCAGTGTTGGTGTGAATGTGTGTGTGTGTGTGTGAGAGAGAGAGAGAGAGAGAGAGAGAGAGAGACTAAAGGAGCAATGTGATTATGTGTATGAGAAAGAATAAATGAATAGATGAAATAATGAATAGAAGAGAGGAAGGAACTAACCAGAGGCTGGAGGACCCAGAGGGAGGCAGGTTTTTGTGTGTGTGTGAGAGCGAGAGCGAGAGCGCACAGTGAATTAATGAGAGAAAGATTAAGGGTGAGTGGAAGAGAACCCCAAAGGGAGGTAGGGAGGCTGGCCAGTAGGGTTTGGAAAAGCCTATGTGTGAGAGAGGGAGGAGATAGATGGATGGAGAGAAAAAGGGTGCATAGTCTCTTATCTATATAGCCCCTGACCTCTTTCCTCTGAAGGAATGTAATTTTCAACTACAATAAGGTTGCCCACCACCCAGAATTTTGAATTGACAATAATGCTAATACAATGAGAGGTGCCATATTCCCCCAGTTGGGGCAGGTCCATATTTAAAATAGATGTTGCCTATTCCATATCATCACAGCCCTGTTGGAACAGGATGGCCAATAATGCAAACCTGTAGGGCCATCTAAGGAGGGCTATTTCACCCAAATAAGATTATCCAGATCTGAGTTAAATTGGAGTTATGGTACCATAAGAGGTTCATGTTAACACAAACAGAGGGAATTAACCGTGGCAATGAGACAAATACTATTGATTATCAAAGGATTATAGGGATTATAGAGGAAATTATTTGACCCTCTTATAGTTCTGTTGGGAACTCTCTGTGTGTATGTGTGTATTTGCACTTGCCCACCATTATGCAGTAGTTTGCATAGCTGGTAAGAGATGGCGATGCAAACTACAGTGTGTGTGACAAGAAGCAGTGGATGGCCAGCCATGGGAAGCTGCAGAGGGGCAGCAAGAATATGCAGCTGCTGACTCCTCCACTTTCCAGGGTCAGCGGCCCTGCCCCTAGGATCCAGATCCTCTGCAGCTGGCCACCAGTTAGCACCAGTTAGTAGTATGAGGAGTGGCATGGGAAGGAAAAAGATGCCCATAAGCATTGGCCAGCCTCATGATCCATAGTGGCACGAGGTGGAAAAGGACAAAGTGGCAGCCAGCCAGACTCAGGATCCATAGTGTCAGGAACAGCACGAGGTGCTAAGGAGAAGGTCTCAGCTCCCCTGCACTGATCCTTCCAATTGATGCCTGGTGTTGAAAGGTTCAGTGTGGGGTGGGCTTGCAAAATGCAAGCTTTCTCACTTTCCACTTGGGCGGCAGCAGGGGGAAGGAACACAGTTGCTGTGGGAAGCAGGAGAAGGAAGCAGGGGGTGATTCAGAACCTGGGAGGGAGTTGATGAGTTTAGCAACCAAGGGCACAGCCGTGTGTGTGTGTGTGTGTGTGTGTGTGTGCATAGAGTATTATGTTTGTAGCATTTTAATGGCATTTTGTATATTGCTGGTAAAGCTGCCATAGGCATCAACTTCCATGTATCAAGGCATGAAAATGAAAAGTATGAAGTAAAATGTTAATGAATAAATGAACATGCTTTGGAAGACACGGCGGGAGGTGGTGCAGGTGTGTTTGTGTGTGTTTTTAACTAAATCATCATTTTCATTCAATACTAGACTCAGACTAGACCAAGAGAAGCAGGTTTTCAATTTATATTGGATGCATGTGAAATAGGTAAGGCGTGATACTTCCAATATTGTTATTCTACATTACTTATTTTTTATTTTAAAAATATCTATGATTGTTAATTTATCTGAATATATACTGCTCACTGAAGATACAAGGACTAAAGTTTTCAGCCTCCATGTACATGCAGGTGTTTATATGTTTTTAGTGTTACTATTGATTCTGAGGTCTGTTTGCTGTTTTATATATATATATATATATATATATACACACACACTATTTATAATTTCTTCCGAGTTCAGTACATATTTTATTTGTGTTCTTTTACTGCCATTTAAACAAGAATTTAGAATGCTTACCATACTCAAAACTGGTACGGTACTTATATGCTTGTTTTTTATTTCTGAATTGAGCTTTCTCTTTTGTGAGGATATTGTTGAAAGATTCCCTTTTATTTAGAAGGTAGACCCATATACAAAATGAAAACCGAATAAACAATGTACAAATAAATAAAGTCCTGCCTAAGAGATTTGCACCACTTTTTATTTCTCTTTTTATTAATGGTTATCCCATCCATGTAGATGACACACAACTTCTATTTTGTTTTGAGAATAATTACCCATAATAACCTATGTGCTATTCAGTTATTATTCATACTTTAGACTCTATGACCGAATAGACCATGGAATTGGCACAGTGATTTTATAGCACATTCTTTTTTCCTGTCCTGATGAACCACATAGGATTCACATTCCATATAGGAATAGTTGCACTAGAAAGGAGTTGCACTAATGTATCTGCAGAACAATCTATGATCTGTTGTGCTATTATTTTCAATCCTATTATTAAGTACCAGTCAACCACCTGTTATTAATGCAAATGTGGTATGGGTGGGAAGCTTCGGAGTATGCATAGTGTTGCCTGAGCACTATTATATTGGGCATGGATGCAATGTCATAACTGTGGGGTAGCCAGCAAAGGGCAGAGGCAGTTATTGCAAGGGAAGACCTGCACTTGGGTCCTGCTTGCCTGCTTCCTATAGGCATCTGGTTGGCCACCATAAGAACAGGATGCTGGACTAGATAGGCCTTTAGCCTCACCCAACAACATTCTTCTTATGATCTTATGAGGAGCTTCAGCCACTGCATCAATAATTGTTCCTTATTTTAAACAATTATTTGCTGGTTCAGGGTTGTGGTTTTGTGAGCCCAAGGGTTTTTCCCTCAGAGAGAAGCCACCCATTCCACATGGCAAACTGCTTTTGAAATTGGGGTTTTCAAAGCTAATTTATGATATCACATAGGAGTCACTGCTAAGAATATAGAATTACTACCTGAATAAAATTTGTGTAAATGTTGTATCCAATTCTGTCTGCGTACATGGTGCTGTTGTCATTGATAACAAAGTATCATTAAAATATTTTATTGCAATGTTTTTCCAGTAGCTTGTAAGTCTTTCAATTGTATAGATTTTTTTCAAAGTATTGTTGCAATTTCTCTGTAACCACAGTCAGTGCTTAAAAAGTAAATCTCTTTCATAATTGTTCTCCTAAAACAATAAATTGAGAATACATGTTATAGGCATCTCAGAAATCACTGAAAATTATCTGTCTTATATTCTCACATTTACAATGATGGAAGAGACTAACAGTGCAATCCTGTATGTTTCAACTCGGACATTGAGTCAACAGAGCTTATTGACAGGAAAGAGGATATTGACTTGCAGCCTAAAAGTCCGTACAATGCAACCTATAAGACATGGCCAATCATAAATGGCAGCTATCACATAGCAGTTTCTGCAGCCATGATGCCTGGGGAGGAGAGGTTGTTACAGGAAAAGCTTGTGTGCTGTGGTGGCTGACTTGTTGGGTTTGAATGTGGAAAACCCCATAATAAATCCTGACTTGGCTAGGAAGTGCACTTGATGGCCTTTGGTAAACCATTACCTTCCAAATTTATCTCTCTTTAAGGGTTCTTATTAGGTTATAAACACTTTGGATGATGAGTAATATACAAGCATGAGAAGAAAGAGGTGACTACATACTATAATGACTGTCCAACACTGTGGTGGTTTCTCACTATGTTTGCTATGTTAATTGTTTGGGTGACAACAGGGACATTTAGATAGCTGCTCACCTGGAAAGCTTAGGTGTATGTGTAAAATGGTGCTGAATAAGCTCTGACATGTTTTGTGTAATCTCATTTATATGCTTTACCTTTCCATTCTCTGACTAGTCTTGTATTCTCAACAAAGCTTGGCATTAATAAAAGGCAGTCATGGGCCTAGTTGTCACAGAGAGCAGATGGGCTGGTGAACCTATATATGAAGACTGCATCTCTTCAGATTGACAGTAGGGGCCCACATGACTGAATGTTCTTTCCTACACAAAAATTCCCCAAATAGCTGTACCATCATAAGAAAAACAGTAGCAGCACAGAATGTGATGGCAGGACTGTCAGCTTGGCTCCACCACAATCCGCCCCTCTCCCTCTCTGCAAGGGGCAGCTAGAACCTTTACTCCAGGCACCCCCGAACTCACCCCTCCAGATGTTTTGGGACTACAATCCTCATCATCCCTGACCACTGGTCCTGTTAGCTACGGATGATGGGAGTTGTAGTCCCAAAACATGTGGAGGGCCAAGTTTGGGGGTGCCTGCTTTACTCCTTTGTTTTCTACATACCAGACCCTTTTGTGAATAGAAGAGGATTAATTCACATGACACATCTCCCCCAAATGTGTCCTTATCAACACAGTTTTAGAGAACTAGGCCTCATTTTAAAACATGAAAGCTTTAATATATAAAACAATATATTCTTATAGCAGAAGATCAGCGAAGCCAAGTGTGCACAGGCACCCTTTTTATCACAGCAAAAGGATCCCAGCTGCTTTTACGATCAACTATTTTGCCACAGATTGGGGCTATATTAATACATTTCCCTGCCTTTTATAGGCTGTCATCACAAATAAGCACAATTTTGTAAAGATGCAAAACAGGCAGAGTTTTTAATGGTCTACTTAGCTATATTAGTCCAAATAGCTGTTTTCTTTGGTCGTTAAAAAAAGGAAACAGTTGAACAAAATCATGTTTTCTGCACACAAATCACCCATCTGGATTAGGGGCATGGAAATCTACACCATATTTTTAGGGTTTTATCTGCTGTAACTATAGCTGGGTAGGAGTTTTGCCTACAGCACTGAACAGCTCTTATTCTAGTCATCAGCTTTTTCTGCTCTCCGAAACCATCAGCACTGTCAAAGCAGATAATTGGTCCAGCAGGAAAAGCCTCAATTTCAGCAACATGAAAGCAGCCCAATGTAGTACAGTAGAAGACTGCTGTGTTTGCATGCATGTCTGTTAGGGATGACATTTGGGCAATTAATAAATTACATGTAAAAGTGTGCAAACAATGCCTTAAACATCTCTCAAGGCATCTGGGAGCTACACTTTACCCTGTCAGGGTAGTATTTCCGGTATGGGAGGCACAGTTCTGAGTTATGTTCCTAGAGGCTGCAGGGCAGTGTTCTAATTCCTTCTCACTGCAGAAGTGTCATGAGAAGAAACTTTTGTCATATTCTGCTTTCAGCATTTCCCATTATCGCAAGCAGCTTACAATCATAACAGGTCACTTTCAGTCATACTGTACAACATTAATTTATGATGTGACTATGTCAGGGAACTGCCATCGGAGCTAGAGGCGGAGGGAAGGCTCCAGAGGGATGCAGGAGAGGGTCCCAGTAGGGAGAGAGGCAGCCCATCTGCTGGGGAAGGCAATCAGAGTAACACCAGTGGAGAAGGGGGGCAGATGGGGGGATCGGAGAGGAGGCTCCAAGACTCCTCGCTGGAGACCAGCAGAGCGAGTACGGGTACTCCGCTGCCCACACCCTCCCTGCGCAGAAGACTTCCGTGCAGGGAGAGTAGGAGGAGACTTGGCGTCAAACAACTTTTATGCTGGAAAAGGTTCAAGAAACGCCCACTGACGGATTCTGCCAGCGACTGAGACAGTCATGATGCTGGAGGCTGTTCAGTCAGAAAGGGTTTATCCAGGTAACCTCGCCAGCAGTGGCGGCAACTTACGCACGAGCAACCCCTAAATCCATTACAGACTATTATACAGAAGTATATTAATATTTTTAGCATACAAAACCGCTCCTGTTTAAATGCCAGTTTATTTTTGAAAGAACAAAACTTTATCAGATATTTAAAATAATCAGCAAGGAAGAAATATATATATTCAATTAGGCCATTTGTCTTCATCCAGTGAGTCAGGACTCACTGCTGGGTCACAACAGCAGCACTACCATCACCAAATAAATACACTGTATAAAATTAAGAAATGGGCCTCCAAATGCATGTTTAGGTTAAAGGTCTGAAAAGGCTAGTGACCGGGCAGTTCTCAAAAGTAGCCTTGTTGATGAAATGTCAATAACTCTCTTTAATTTCAATCCAGAACAGCACTGATATCTGGAATAAGTGTATGGAAACAGCCTTAATGCATTTTGGTAAAGCTTAGATAAAATTGAGAATATTGGAATATTAAGAAAGATTATTTATGAAAGGTTGCTATGCCAGTCTTGCATACTTCTCTTTGCCAACTTGGTGTCCTCCAGATGTTTTGACTATGATTCCCATCAGTGTTGTTTGGGAATGATGGGAACTAGTAGTAGCCCAAAACATCTGGAAAACACAAGGTTGGCAAAGACTGATGTATTCACTGACCTGAGCTTTGCATTCAAAACTTTTTGAATTTGATTTCATGGCCTCTTAACCTCAGTTTACCATGTTGTGTGTGTGTGTGTTAGAAAATACATAATGCATCTGAAATTTAGTTTTTTGCTTGGTTAGCTGATCTTCATTTTATGCTCAGGTTCAATTACCTTGTGGGCAGGATACCAAATATAGCACCAGGAAATTTTTAGACATATCAGTAGTCCTTGTTATTGCTATGATTCTTCAAGCGCTTGCCCCAAGCCATATAATCTAATCAATATGCAGTTTCAACATATTGATGAGCTCTGCTGGGTGGACAGAAGCCAGAGGCAAGAGTGAAAAAGGATCTGAAAGGCAAATAGCATGTGACGTTTGCACATATTTGCACTCATACACACATGGCATGAGGGCTTTATTTTTCATTTCATTGCAGGAGGAGCTACAGAAAAATAAATGGAGAACCTATATGCTTACAACTGCTGTGTGGACAGAGATAAAGTATGGAGGGCTTTTAATGGCATTTATTTGCTAGTGGACTAGTGCTGCTTTCCAATTTAATCTTATTTCCACAGTTCAGGCTATAAAATCTAAAGGTTGTATCCAGTACATTGTTATGCACATGAGTTGTGTTGATTTCAGTTGGACTTCCTAGGCAACTATGCGCTGGCTTAGTTCAGAACCTTAGTTCAGAACCCAGTACACAGATGATATGTAAGAAATTAAAAGAATATAAATAAGCAATTAATATAAGTAAGAAACTAAGAAAATACTTTAACATGCACACCAGTAGCATTTCATAGTTATTACTAGAAGTCTTTGAAAAGAGAAGCTAAACCAATATTTTCTATTTATCAGACATGTGACAGATAATATTGAAATTGAAAAAATAGAATGTTACTGTTTCCAAAGGGTGTTTTTAAAGATAAGAATGAAACTACATTTTGTTAAAAATGTAAAATTAAGCACCTGAGCTTAAAACTGTTTTGTGCAGTTAGGTCAAATTTCAGAATCTCAATTATTTTTTTTAAAAACCCCACTAAATCAACTCTTTTAGAGCCTACTTAAATAAAAAATGGGGGGGGAGAGAGAGACATGTAAATGGGGACAGCCTACAGTAGGCCATGCTTTCCTTATCAAAACCTATTGGGATGAACTGGGAGGGTACAAGAACATTAATTCATTTCAATGGAGTTAAGAAGATAAGATGAGCCTGCTTGATCAGGCCAATGGCCCATCTGCTCCAGCATCGTGTTCTCACAGTGGCCAACAAGTTGCCTTTGGGAAACCAGCAAGCACGTTCTGGGCACAAGAGCACTCTTCTGTCCTGTGGTTTCCAGTAGCTGGTATTCAGAAGCATTGCTGCCTCCAACTGTGGAAGTTAGCACATAGCTTCCTGTAGAATTGTGCAGGTGGGTTTCAGAACCAATGGAAGCGTGCTTCTTCATTACAAAGGCTTCAACCAATGTCTTAAAAGCAGGCTCCGGCTCATTTAAAAACTCAAGTTCTTCTGATGATGACTCGCCAGTACAGGAGCTTAGGGAACCAACCAGCGATCCTTTTCCTTCATATTTATATGAATGTACATATTCGCCGACACGTTTACGTTCTTCCTCCTGTTCGCACAAAAACACCTTCTGCACGCAAAGAAAGTACATGTTAACCATTTTCTTAAATGCACCTAAACATAAATCAGGGCTTCTAACTGGTTCCTGCATACAAAGAAGAATATAATTCATGTATATGATTCATACTATTTAAGTCCCTTTCTATAAAGCATAACAATGCAGTTTGCATACTGTTTATTAAAGGCAATGATCAGCTTCTTGTGTCAATCTATCCCATACTACACAGGATAGAATCACTGGGTTGAAAGGGATTTTCTAGCCGCCTATTTATTAATATTTATTGTGCTTTTATGTCAGCCTTCATTCAACAGAATGCCTGGGCAGTGAACAAAATACCCCCTTCCTGGGCAGTACAGAACCTGTGGGCTTGCTTTCTTTTATCAATTTCCTTTTAAAATTTTGATGGCAAGAACTAGACAGAGGACTTCACATTTGGCCTGACTAGTGCAGACCAGAATGGAACTCTTTCATCTTGTTTTCCGAGCACTGTGCTGCTATAAATGCAACCTAAGATTGCATTAGCTCCCGTTGCTCTGTCCCAGCTCCTGCCAACCTAGCAGTTCGAAAGCACGCCAGTACAAGTAGATAAATAGGTACTGCTGTGGCAGGAAGGTAAACGGTGTTTCCGTGCGCTCTGGTTTATGTCACGATGTTCCATTGTGCTAGAAGCGGTTTAGTCATGCTTGCCACGTGACCCAGAAAGCTGTCTGTGGACAAACACCGGCTCCCTCGGCCTGAAAGCGAGATGAGTTCTTTACCCCATAGTCGCCTTTTACTGGACTTAACCATCCAGGGGTCCTTTACCCTTACATTTTTTACCTTTTATTAGCCTCCACATCACACTGTGGGATACCTTGAGCATCAGCATTAGGCTCTGCATTCAAATAATGGAAGCATTTGAATAGGTAGGACTTTCTCAGTAGTTGCTCCAAAGCTCTGAAACACCATCCCAAAGGAAGGTGGTCTGGTTTTCCCCACTCTTTGGGCTATGTTGTCTTGCTTGATAAGTGACTGATACTATTTTATACTGCTTGTATGAGGCATTCATTGATGGTATTGACTTGTTTTCTGCTGTGATCTTTACGGATTATGTTTTATCTCACTGCTTTATGCTATTTAGTATTATAACTGAATTTTTAGCTTTTATTGTATTAATGGTATGCTATGAGTGACCTTCGATTCTTTTTGGGGAATAAATTAATAATTGTGGGCCACACAAACACCTCACAAGCACGAACAACATGGATCTTTCCAGTAAAACAGCCTAAGTGTATCAAATAACTAGAGAGCTACAGCCAATATTAAAATCCAGAATATGAACTAACTGTAGCTATTTAACTGAAATATATCACACTACGGTGGATAGTCTTAACATTAATCCAAACATAAACCATGGGAAATCTGTATCAGTATGCTTACTTTAGCTAAATGAGGATTGGTAAATTCCTGCCATTGTGAGCACAAATCTCTGGAGGAACTCCGTATGGGTTGTTTGATATTGTGTAAAGATGCTGTCAAGTGATTTCCTCCACCTTTGAATAATTCTGGTTTGCGATACCCTCTGATATCATGTAAAGATGCTGCCAATAGAGTTCCTCTGCCTTTTACTAATTCTGGCTTGCGATGCCCTCTAATATCATGTAAAGATGCTGCCACGATATTTCCTCCGCCTTTGACTAGTTCTGGTTTGTGATGCCCTGTAATATCATGTAAAGATGATGCCAAGAGTTTTCCTCCTCCTTTGACTAATTCTGGTTTGCTTTGCCCTCTGATGTCATGTAAAGATGCTGCCAGTTTATTTCCTCCACCTTTGACCAATTCTGGTGGGTGATGGCCTTCTCCTTTTATCACTTCCAAACTTTCCTGCTTTCCAGTTTTCTCTGCAACTGTGCCCATGCTTACAGCTGTATTCAGTGTGCTCACTGGAAGTATATTTAGAACCTGAAAAGAAAGATAACAGCAGAATTTTGTAAAAGAAGCAGCAGTTTCTTTTTACCATCTATAGTTTGGGAGATAAGATTCCTGAATTCTCGGAAAAACAGGGCCTGAACCCAAGCCAACTATTTTCCCCATTATGTATACATATCCCATACCAACTCAAAACAGTAACTTGTGGGCCTTACTATCTCCACAACTCAGCAACTCTCTTGCCTGCATGCCATTCCAGGATCCAGAAATACATTTTGCAGCACCAGGCCAGGTCCTCTTATAACCATGATAAAGTGCTGCAGCTAACTTACTGCCCACCATCTTATTTGGCAAGTAGAGTTGGCTTAACTTGACCTCCAAACCCAAGAAAATGAATCCCAATCTTTTCTGAACCCAGAAACGTAGCCATGTTCATTAATTTCCATGTGTATATTCCGAATAAAACTTAGTTGAATACCACCTTATGTTTTGGAATTTTTTGGGTGCTCAGCAGTCTTCTTACTAATCCCCACCCTTCTCTGTCTCTCACTCACACGCTCTCTCACACCCACAGTGCAGGAGTTAGCTCAAATGTACACACACTAAAAAGATAAAACATTGCAAGCATGTTTTTCCCCTTTTATAGTAACACAGCAACTCTAATATTTAGTGCGCACCCACCCACACCCCACTTTTTAGAAAGCAAATGCAGTACGGAACTTCATAACTTTTAGCCAAAAAATGCTACTTACTGTCATTTCTTCACCTGGTGCCTCTGTGTTTGACATCATTAAGTTCTCAAAAGCTGCATTATTAGACGCTTCTCCAGGTGCTTCTCCAGGCGCTTCTTCAGTATTGGAATTTCTTTTATGGAGCCAGTAACCACAGGGTACCATCATCCCCGCTGTAGAAAGAAATACACATAATCTGAGCTTTAGTTTTTAATTATGTGATTCAAAGTCATGCATGAAGGGAACTGAATTTAATAAGTAAATTGTTACATATTTTCTATAAAGCAAATAGCATCGGAGGCCGGCATGTACCTCAGGAAGTGGGGGGCTGGAGAAGTAAATACAATAATCAAAGTAAAGGGTGGCTCCCCATTTGTGAAATGCTCTCTCCAGGGATGTTCAGCTGGTACCTTCATCATACACCATTAGGCACCAGGTGAAAATGTTCCTCTTCAACTAAGCCTTTGGCTGATTAACATCCTATAGCCTTTTAAATGTTTTTGGGGGAGCAGGAGGAGGTTATTGGTTTGGTTTGTTCTTGTTCTTATTATGTTTATTTGTGTCTTTAGCTTGTATTTTTATGCTGTGAACTACCCTGAGATCTACGGATGAAGGGTGGTGTACAAATCTAATGAATACGACTAATAATAAAATGCTATGGATGATTTTTCATTTCAGGGCATTCCCCCCTCCCTTTTCTTCCTCTGGAAGATTTGATAGCTCTGGAAAAGAGGCCTAGTTCTCCCAAACAGCAAACAGTCAGCATGTATGTACAGAATGCAGTTGAGATATGCACGTTTTGCAAGGCCTGTTGGAGATAATGCATATTGGCCAGAGAACATACCTAATGTAGTTGATACATGCGCAATGCCCAAAGCTTGTTGTGGATTGTACAAATTGACCAGGAAATGTGCAGAATTCCATCTTCGTGGACATGTGCACATTTTCCATGGCACCTGGCTATGTGCATTTTCCATTTAACATACCTATATACACAAACATGGGACTAAGCCACCTTAAGTGAACATTTAGAACTCCAAGGAAGAGTCAAGGGAGAAGCAGTTTTGCAACAGACTGGAGTTAATGGCTCATTTTGTATATCATCTATAAGAGAGAGATATACTTACACAGTGATAATACTGATCCAAGGACTGTTGCAGCAATGCCCCAGGGACCAAAAGCAGATTCTGCTTGATATGGAACGCGATCTACAGGGATTGCCCCATTCTCCAGAGCGGCGACTGTGCTGCGTTCAGAACAATTACTTGGAATTTCACAGTCACAGTAGTGAACTGTTATTTCACTTATTCCACTGTTACCTTCATTATCATATATCCTAACAGGTATTATATAATAGCCATAGTCAATATCTTCCACGGGTGAAAGCAATGCTGATTCATCTGAAAAACAAATTGTGCAATGATGAACATTTTTACATTATTTGTTCTCTTAGCTACTGTTATTATTACAGAAGTGGGACAGGGAAAACCATGTACATACCATCATTTGGTGTTAACCTCCATGTTAAGCCCATTCGATTCTCTATTTCAAAATGGAAAGGTCCAGTGTAAGGAGGTAGATCGGCATCAAAGGCCGTAATACAAATTGGTGTTTTGTCCTTACACATGGTGTAATTCTTTGTTGTAATCACTGGGAAATTGTCATTCTCATCCATGATGTTTATCACAATTTTCCCTTGGCCTGTTTTACCACCTGGAAAATGGAAGTTTTTCATGATTTAATGCTGTAAATAGTCACACACTGTCACAGTAGCAGGCTTCAGCTAATCTGTGCAAATATGTAGTAGTGGAAAAAAGTTCTGCCCCAAATATAGGAAATTATAAGAATTTTTATCTCTCTCTCTCTCATGGATTAAAGCTAGCTTTTAGACTTATTTCTGTGGCAACAGGGCAACAAACTAGGAATTCAATTCAGCAACAGAAGATGGAGTTTGGCATACGACTCTGAGGAAAATGCAACCTTTCTGGTATCAATTTACCAAGTGAATAAGTTTAGAAAAAAACATCTGAATTAAGTTTTTCCTATCCGGGTCTACACTTAAACAAACAGCAAAAACCAGGGCTAGGAGGGGAATAGTGCTTTTTTTAGGGGGATACAGTGGCAATGTGGTCTAAACCACTGAGCTTCTTGAGTTTACAGATCATAAGGTTGGTAGTTCTAATCTGTGTGAAGGAATGAGCTCCTATTGCTCTGTCCCAGCTTCTGCAAACCTAGCAGTTCAAAAGCATACAAGGGTGAGTAGATAAATAGGTACCGCTGTGGCAGGAAGGTAAACAGCATTTCCATGCAATCTGGCTTCTGTCACAGTGTCCCATTGCACCAGAAGCCATTTAGTTATGCTGGCCACATGACCCGGAAAGCTGTCTTCAGAAAAACATTGGCTCACTCGGCCTGAAAGTGGAGATGAACGCCGTACCCCATAGTCGAATTCGACTGGACTTAGCTATCCAGGGGTCCTTTACCTTTTACCATTTAGTGCTCTTTTTAAACACTTACTGAATTATCAACAAGATTTCAAAATATTTATTCGCAATAATGTCTGTACTGCCATTCAGAAAAAATAAGCAGCATGAAATTGATAAAATTGCATTCATAAAACAAGTACAATATATGTGGATTTGGTATTATTTAATTTAACCTTTTTATGATTCAGTTTACTGGGTTTTTCTGTTATTTCATTTTCTTCACGGTAGCAAGCTTATTATATATAAAATACAGATGGAACCATGATTTATATCCATATTGTGAGCTCACTGATGTCATAGGATTAGAGTTCTTTTAACACTGTGGTTTAAAAGAAAGATACAAAATACTACTGCAAATATGTAGATGGCATAATCAGCAGTTTACAAGCATTTGTTACTCACTTTGGTCAGTTGCAGAGACTGTTACAATGCATTGACTGTATTCCTCATTTAATATATCTCTGTCTAAAATTGTAGTGGTTATCAGCTGTCCTGTTTCATCAATGGTGATCCAGTTGCATGGGTCATTTATTATTCCGTAACTATTGAGAACATTTTAGGAGGGTTGTATACCATTAGTACAATGTGATAATATAAACCAATTATAATTGTTCCCTGTTTTTAACCACAATCTATAAACCAGATTACTGTGTTATAATTAAAAGTGTACCTTATGCCTGTGCTATCTCCAGTTTCTGGGTCATATGCTTGATAGATTCCAACCACTGTTCCTTTTGGGAAAGATTCCCTTAAAGTTATAATATATTCAGTGGCAAATGTTGGCCCCTCATCCACATCCATAACTTCAATCACAATTGTGGTGGGGTTTCTTGATGGGGCTCTTGAATTTGGTGCTAGGATATAAGGTGCTTCATTATTTACAACAATTTCTAATCTTCTCTCCTTGGAAGTTTCATAGTCCAGTCCCTGGAAACAAACACATTTCTGTTAAAACTAACACAATATTTATTACTGGGTTGCTGTTATAAACTTTGAACAAATATGGTAAAAATAATGTGTGGAATCCAATGGGTGTCACTCTGCTGACAGAAGACATGCATAAGCAGAACAGGGAGGGGGAAATTTTTTGGTGATTTCTCTGGCCAGGGACCCTGCAGAGTAGATTAAGGGGATGTGGGCTGCATAGGGAGTCTTCAAAAATTGCCTCCCTATTGGTATAGTGAATTCCTTCCATTAGTGGAATGACACCTTTTGGATTCCACACAATGGTTATCAATTGGTATTTTGCAATTTCATTAAGTTTCTTGCCACCCTTCCTTTTCCTCATACTTGCTTATTTCCCCCAAATTGCATAAACCATGGATAAATTTCCTTTAGGGGAACATTTCAAGCTTGGGAACCCTTGGAAAATAGTTACAAATATAACATTTCAAGAACAGCCTTTCAGGGCTTAAAATTATGTTGCATACCATCAAATAATTTCAAAAAAAAAACTCTAGATGATTCCCATTAGTAATATACCTTTGTACCACAGGTAATTTTTCCCCATCTGCATTTACCTTTAAAACAAGTAAACACCCAACATTTCTCTCTTGATCAATATTCATAGAAAAAGCATTATCTTCATTTCCTTTTATAATTGTGAATTCAGCCAACCATGAAGGAGTCCCAGGTTCATCATTATCTCTTACAGGAATGCACAATATTTCTATATTTTCTTCGTTTTCATATATTTTCACTTCATACTGAAATGAAGTTTTCAAATAAGCAATTAATAAACACTTCTAGAACAGTGAAATGATTTTCCAAAAGCAACAATAAAATACTTTAACTCCAGTGGTGAAGCTGCAGAGTTTCAAGCCTTGTGCAGATCTGACACTACCAGACTTGAACTGAGCCACAATTGGGAATGGCTAGCTCACTACAGGATGTGATTGTCCCTTGGTGTTCACGTATACAGTGGTACCTCGGGTTAAGAACGTAATTCGTTCTGGAGGTCTGTTCTTAACCTGAAAATGTTCTTAACCTGAAGCACCACTTTAGCTAATGGGGCCTCCTGCTGCCGCCATGCCACCAGAGCACAATTTCTGTTCTCATCCTGAAGCAAAGTTCTTAACCCGAGGTACTATTTCTGGGTTAGCGGAGTCTGTAACCTGAAGCGTCTGTAACCCAAGGTACCATTTTATTATTAATTTCCTGTTCATTATCTTTGGAGATTAGACCACATCCACTCTTGAGTTGATACTTTACCCCTAGGATGGGAATTTGTTTGCATCTATGCCTTGTTTGCATTTGTATCTTAGTTACCATAGTAATAGGACACACGTATCTCTTGTTTTGGTGGCCTCCTGGCCACACATGGTAATAGCATTCCACTCCCACCTCTTCTTTTTTACCCACATGTCTATATAGCTGCAAACTGAGGTTAACCCTTCATGCATCTAACAGAGTAGAATCTGTTAAACACATACTTTTCTACTTAGGGACTTGGGCTGCAATCCTATATTCATGTACCAGTGAGTAAGCCCAACTGAATTTAATAGGCCATGCTTCTGGGCAGATATCTATAGGATTGCACTGTAACAAAGCTATACTTTTGAAAGATTAAGAGGAATAGAATAGTCTGGGCAATTATTCTGTAAATACATATTCCATCCTGATAGCCAGGGAAGGAATTCTCTATAGTTAAAATGCAAATAATTGTATTTTTCCTCAATTTAACATTTATTATGATTACATTTACACCATAGGAAATACTGGCTGCTCAGGAGGTACCCACATTTTTTAAAGCTCTGTTGAATTTTAACAATAACAAACTTACCACATTTTGTTCTAATTGTGGAGCATTGTCATTTACATCTCCAACTGTAATTATAACTTTTGCTGTAGTGCACAGACCGAATTCCTGGCCTCCCATATCTCTTGCTTCAATTTGTAGCGTATACTCTGGTGTTGTCTGCATTAAAAGGAATATATAAACATAATTTCCCTGTTCTGATTAAAATCACCAGGATTTTATGAAAAGGAAAACCAGAGACCATGGGACTGCCCAGTTCTTCAGATAGTTACACGTTTGTATAATATTGACCAAGATGGCGGATGCTGCATTGAAAAAAACAGCTTGGCATTGTTTGAGCCTACAAAATAGCATTATGAGAAATAAATGCTTTAAATGATCTGTTTGCAACATCAAACACATCTCCTTGTTTTTTTAAAAAGGGAGCAAGAATGACTTCACATTCTGATCCTAAACAACAATTGCATGGCGATGTACCCATTTATTTCCCTTATAATCTACCTTTCCTCTAAAAAGCTCCAAGTTGCCCTTCTTAGCAGAGTTTCGGCATGTGAATAAAGGCTAGGTGCACAGGAAATTTACCTCTCTGTCCAGATGTGATGTTACCACCGTAATAGAACCTGAATCTGGATTTATAGCAAATACCCTTAAATTCTGATAACTTTGAAGATCCTGGGACACAATTCTGTATTTCACTTCCGTATGTAAGGTGTATGGCTCATCATTGTCTGTTGCAGTCACTTGTCCAACTAGCGTCCCTGTATGTACAAAACATCATCTTTAAATTTCCAGCTTTCCTTCATAAGATAGTTTTAAAATAATTATTTAGATGTGGTGATTTTTCACTTAATCTAAACATGTAAATCCAGGCATATATGTCAGAATGCTTTTTAAAAAAATCACTTTTGTATACCTAAGTATACCTATTTTAAAACATCTGTAGAGAAATATAACCGTTCTTAACATTTGATCAACGAAACAGATATATCTGTCTATGCATCTTTCTATATTCTTATTTGAAACAGATTGGTTTCCCCCGCTGTTGGGGACTTCCTACTGCATAAACAGTGAAGTTCGTTATTTTAGGACTGCATTGCTGAACAGTGGTTCACCACCCTTTATTTGATGAGAAGCCGAAGTTCTCCTGCTGGTTATAGCAACAACTCATTTGGGGAGCAGGTACACTCTGGAGATGAATTTACCAGTATCATGCTTACTCATCATCATTCTCATCGGTTAGAGAGCAATTGTGGGAAGCAGGGAACCTACTGTATTTGTAGGGCTTGTAGACACCTGGAAAATCAGTATTTTAAAATGCATGGGGAGGCTCCACAAGTATAGAAGGCTCCCCATTTCACACAGTTGCCCTCTAACTCATGGAGAGCAACAGGGGGTGCCAACTTGAATGAATTATGCCCTGCATAATCGTTTCACATGATATGTTGCATGGAAGCCATTTGGATGGCAATACCCATAAACCTTAGGGGCCCCTGACCCCCTCAAATATTTTACTAGGGGAGCAAAGACACACACCCCAGCCCCTAGGAGTTGGCTCCTATCGAGAGTAACAAGAATGATGGCTATGAAGATGGAGGTAGGCCTCTCATCCCCGTGTGACTGGGGATGGGGGCTGTCATATGATTACTCCAACCAGAATCAGAATCCTTGAATAGGGCTATATGTAGATTATTATTTTTCGGAACTCAGATATAAGCTCAGAATTATAGCAAATAAAAATAATATGGAGCTTACATACAATTCACAGCACCTCAGTTTTTACTTAGTACTTTAAAATATTGCTGTCTAAACTAAGCATGATTTATTTAAAAAAGAAAAGATTTTTAAAATTACCAATTCCACAGTTTTCAAAGACAAGAAAAGTATAAACGTCCTGCTCAAACACTGGGGCATTATCATTATCATCTTCTATTCTAATTATATGCACAAGCGGTATCTCTGGTGTATAGCCATCTGCTGTCATTGCATAGCAAATCAACTGTATAAAAAAGAGCAAACAAACAAACAAACTTTTATTTGCTAGTTGATCTGAAGCAGAAAAAAATATATATTTTTAACAAATCAGGATACAATTACTTCAGTCCAAGTTTCTAAACAAGAATCTGCCAAGGTGAGCAGGCTGTTATATGCTGTGTGTGGCCTTTGTGGTGAGCAGTCCACCTGTACATCCAGAAAAGCATGGGACATTGTGTCTCCGTGATCTCCCAGAGTATATGCATTTAAAAACAGACATAAGGATAGGCTACAGTTGAGTTGGACTAAGAAGAAGAGAGAAAGGAGGCAGGGACATGAGGTAAAGTGGCATAAGAGGAAATGGACAGAGTCCAAGAGCCATGTGAAGGAGGTACAAAGGAGTTGTGCGTCATACAAAGTGAAGTACAGAGGAAGCAATGGTCAAATAAAGTAGTCCATTGAATGGCCTGGGAAAGAAGGACTTGTGCAAGGCAATTGTGTGTTCGAACAGGGGCCTGAGGCAAGGAAACAAATAAGGGACTAGGCACCGCCATTTGGGCCATGGAAAGGAGAGATGAAGGAAGAAGGAGATATGGGAAAGATAGGAAAGACCACATGGGAACAGTGAAGGGAAGGTGGGGCAAGTACCTTTTTGCTGGTTCAACTATAATCCATCTTTGTAGACAAGTTTTCATATATATCCCCATCAATTGGCACTGCACCTTGAGTGTTAGTATTTATATATTTATTATTGTAGTCTCCTCTTTACTGAATGGTTATAGGAAGTACAATTTTCATTGAAATCATAAAATAAAACCACAATACAGCCAATGACAAAATATCAACACAGCAGCCCAGAACAACAGTTTAGGAGGAAAGACATCTAGTCAGTCAAATGCCTGGTTCAAGCATCATGTTCTTTGTGTCTGCTTGCCTGTTCACCTTTTCCTGAACTGTTTCAGTAGTATGAGTGGGCAAGTGTTATCAGAAAGCTGTGAAGCAAAGGAAGATAATAGGCTGGGGTGAGGGCAGGCTGGTTGCTATCTTTCATCTGTAAGAAAACCCATAAATGCCTTCTCAGGTTTCCTTGAGTGCCTTGGTACTGCTAGCAGCCAGTAAATCAGTCTTCTCCCCCCACCTATTTACATGTACAGGAACATCTGGCTCTGATTGGCAAGTTGATGCTGTGCATGGCCTGCTGATGATTCTACATGTTGCTCACCAACCAAATCCCTCTCACCTTCTATTGAAGAACTGAGGACTAATGTAAACATTGTGAGGCTATCAAAAACAGCTTCTCTGTAGTGGATACAGTGTTTGAAAACTCATTTCCCTGCGTGTTTCCCTCAATCATGCAGTTACCTGTCAAAAAAGTAACATACAGACAGCTGCAACAGATAATTGTTGCATCTGTTCATTCATTTTTAATTGTTTACCTTGAGGAGACTATACTGCAGAGGGCCTTCTTAGCAGTGGGGGCCCTCCCTGTGGAATGCCCTCCCATCAGATGTCAGGGAGATAAAGAATTACACAACTTTTAGAAAACATCTGAAGGCAGCCCTGTTCAGAGAAACTTTTAGTAAAAGAAATACCATGGATCTGTCCAATTGTTACTTATCAGTAAATACGTAAACAGAAGTCTGAAACCCATACCTGAAATTCTGGGTACTCTTCCCGATCGATTGGACAGGTAACAAATAGATTTCCAGTGTCCTCCTCTATGTAGAAATAATTATATGGTGGCTTGTCAACACCATGACCACTTATGGAGTATCTGATATCGTATGTTAGGGATGTGTCGGAAAGCAGCTGTGTAAATGCAAACCAATTTGAAACAGAAATAATAATTAACAAAATCTTGTTTTCTTGTCTATTTATTCAGAATCCCGTTAGCAATCCCAAGATGCAAAAACAAAATATTTACACATCAATTCAAATATTATGGACACAGGAAATAAATGTTTCATGTGATAGTAGCTCCATGCAAAGTCTAAAATGCTTGTGACTTGCTTACCATGTTCCTGGTGAGAGTAGGGAGAATTCATATGATTAGGCTGTTCCACATAGCTAGTTGCTTACAAATGTAAAAGCCTTATATTGAACTCCCATCAGACTCAAGCTGTTGTTTCCTTGGTACTTCCAGGCAAAAGCTGAAGCATTTAAATGGATTTCATTCTCTGGTGTTAAATAGCTGACTTTAGATATTTACATTGCAATTACAAGCTTCTTCAAAAGATGTAGGCAGAGACAAACTGGTTTCCCTAATCCCAGATTTCTGCAGCAATGTATATATCAGCAGCAGTGATGCAACAAACAATTCCCCCAGACAGATGAGTTTACCAGATGGGGCAATCATTTATAGACTCAAATGATGGGTTTAACAGTAAAGTTCTTGGCTGCCTAGCAAGAATTGGGGGGCAGAGAGTATGCTGTGTATCTGAAGGCTTCAATCATAGTTTCTATTGATTGAAGTTCTGTTACTGGTCACTTATAACATATGCCAAGCTGCTCAAAAATCCTTGACTGATAATTTGAAAAGTAAAAATGAAGAGGTGAATTTAAAACATACCTGTTGAATTTGCATTGGATAAGGTCCAAGTGAGTTTTCCATTAAAATAGTTGGGACAGGAGCCCATCTCCGTTTAGTTCGTCTAAGAAAAGTATCTCGTAAATGTCTTGCCTTTGCTATTGGGACCTAGGAGAACGGGAGAGATAACTAAGCAAACAACAATAGCAATCATGAGCAGTATTCAGCCAAGTCATACTCAAGGCACCTAAATCCATTGATTTCAATGGGTCTCCTCTGATTAAGTTGGATGCCACCCTATGTGTTGCATCACTTTATTTTTCAGTCCCTCTGAGTCTATCTCTCTGCTAGAATTACAAATATTTTAACAGTTAATAAGACTTCCTGACTTCTAGGATAATTGTAGCATATGGGAATAGTAGCATTCTTATGTCACGTGAAACAAATCTAGTATTTTTGTCCTAGCGCTATGTCCATTAAATTCTTTTTTTTCTTCCATGTTGAATTTGTATTATGTCATTGATCAAGGTTATAACTTTCTATTTTTATCTGTGCTTTATCAGTTCTGTTTTTAGTGGAATATTTAGCAGTAATTTGGGAGAAGATTCCAACAATACACATTCAGATTCTGATCACAGAGTCATGAAAATTGTCCTTCAAAGTAAAACAGCAGCACTAAAAGATGAGGAAGAAGTGAAAAGAGCAGAAAAAAGCAGGATAAGATGCAAATCAGATATGCTTACCTTTTTTGAATGTGTGAGCAAACTAATATGTATCTTCTTTTGTTCCTGTTCATGATTGCTTTTAAGAAATATGGTGATGATGATTTCATGGGAAGTCAGGGAAACATCCCTTGTTGTATACAATGAGCCATCTTCTTGAATTGTGAAATTGGGATTGTTTGAGTAAATAATTTCAGAATGATTAAGACACTGTTTCATGTTTACTGTAGGAAAATATAAATTTAAAGGACTAGTTGAAAAATAGTTTACAAAGACGTAATTCCAAACAAAGGTGTCTGAAACTATATTTAGTGCCAAATCAAATTTATGATAGACAGGCAGAGGAGTCCCCACTGCCCTGGCCACAAATTGCTTAGCTGTTGATGGCACAGGTGATCTGGGCACTCCCCATAGCCTATTGTCCTCCAGATCTGTACAATTCGCATAATATGTAGGATAATTTAGGTAACCTTAGAATTTGAACTCCAGAATCTGAAACAACTCGGGTTAAATTTTAATTTGCCTATATATTATTGGTTTTCAAATAGTACATATTTGACAACAACAGCAATAACACATTCTTGGATTCTCACCTTGGCCGACAAATGCCCCTGCCTTTAGTTTATGAGGGACATTAAAAGTTACTTTCTTGCAAGCTTCAGAAGATAAACTCAGTACCTTAAAGAGAGAGAGAGAGACCAAAACATTAAATCATTCTTTTTTTTCATGAAGCAACAAAATTATTTCAATACAAACTTTGTATTGATTGGCTTGTTATTTAAATTCTAAAAGTATTCAGCAGTTAGTTTGCTTTGATAACAACAAATGTCTACATCAGTGGAACTGTAGAGTTCTCATATCCCAATCCTGTATTCCTCATTCCAGCAAATTTCTTTGCTGACCCCAAATTCAATAGACCTGTGAATTGTAAAGGGTTCAGCTGAGAAGCAAAATGTCCATTAATAGATCTTGTATATCTTCAAAATATATGTTGCTTCAGGTTCCTTTACACCAAATAAGAGACTCTACTAGAAGGCTCTACTAAAAGTTAACACACAAAGAGAGAGAGAGAATTAAACATATTAGTAATAAAGTATATTGTCCTTGGAATTTTGCAAACTGCTTAGAGATTTTATTGCAGTCAAGTGATATACAGTGGTGCCTCGCAAGACGAAATTAATCCGTTCCGCAAGAGTCTTCGTCTAGCGGTTTTTTCGTCTTGCGAAGCAAGCCCATTGACGGATTAGCGCTATTAGCGCTATCAGCTGTTTAGCGGCTATTAAAGGCTTAAAGGCTTAGGGGATTAGCTGCTAAAAGGCTATTAAAGGCTATTAAAGGCTTAGCAGATTAGATAAAGGGGGAGGGGAAAGCGAAAAAAATCTCAGGACTCGCAAGGTATTTTCGTCTTGCGAAGCAAGCCCATAGGGGAATTCGTCCTGCGAAGCAACTTCAAAACGGAAAACCCTTTCGTCTAGCGGTTTTTCCGTCTTGCGAGGCATTCGTCTTGCGGGGCACCACTGTACTGTATAAATGTAGTGAAATAAATAAATAAACTGGGCTTGGAATATGGAACAGTTTCCCTCAAAACTGGAAAAAAAAAACTCAAGCTTGATCAACAGACCCCATCACTCATATTCCTAATTATATTTTCAGGAATGCAACAGTTTCCCCCAGCCCAGTGAACCCCTTAATTCCCTTCCTTCTTCCCATGAATTTACCATCTGTTTGCAAGCCATCTCCCATTTGCCCACTAACTAGGTTTGGTGTTCCTACAATGGTGAAAGAAGAGGGGTCATGAAGCAAGAGTGACAGGAGTGTATCTCCCTCTTCACTCTTTCTGCTATGCTTGACTTGCTGCTATGGCTGTTAGTCAGGAACCAGGGAAGAATGGAGAGGGACCCGCTTCCTTTTTCCATTCCACCATTTCTGAAGCTGCAAGTGGGTAAGGGAGTCGGCAGGAAGCTGGATGTATATTCTACGATATGCAGTATCTTTATTGTCATTGTCCCATGCAGAACAATGAAATTGAAAAACTACATAAAACTACATAAAAACTACATAAAACTACATAAAAACTACATAAAACATTCAAAAACCCCTCAAAACTCTGAAACCCCATTTTAAAATACACTATACTATAGAGACCCCTTATGCTGCATTTAGAACCAGAATTGCATTTGCGTAGAAACTGTTTCTCAGGCGGCTAGTCCTGGCATTTATAACCCTATACCTTCTTCCAGAAGGCAGAAGCTGAAAGAGATCATTTCCGGGGTGCGTACTATCCTGCGCTATCTCTGCCGCTTTCTTATGGCACCTGGCAGCATAGATTTGATCTAAGGTGGGAAGAGTGCACCCAATTATTCTCTCTGCAGTCTTTACAACCCTGGATAGCATTGGTTTTTCCCTGGCCGTGCAGCTCCCAAACCACACAGAGAGACCATAAGTTAATACGCTCTCCGCAGTGCAATGGTAAAATGCCATCAACAGGTCCTTTGAGAGATTGTTTTTCCGGAGGATTCTCAGAAAATATAACCTCTGCTGTGCTCTCTTTTGTAATACTTAGAGAAGAACTTTGGAAGCCAGACTTCTTGTATCATATTTCAGATTAGTATTACAAGCCACCAATATTTGTATTGCACTTGCAAGAGACATCATTAAAGCAAGCAAATGCAGGAAGAGAATATTAGTTGTGGTATAAAGTAAATGATGTATCATTCAGCATCTAATCACATTCAAGATGTGTGAATGGACTGGGGGAAAATATATTGCAAACCATGTGTTACAAAGTTTCCCTTTGTTTTATTTATTTATTTATTTCATAATATTTATATACTGCTTGCTTGTAGAAAAAACCTCAGTGGTTTACAAAAAGGATAAAACAATGAAATTATAACTAAAAATTATACAACTGTAATTTAAAACATAAAAAGGTTAAAACCACAATAAAAGACTAAAAATATTAAAACTCTTACAAACTTTATAAACATCTGCACTAGCTGCAGCTTCAGGATCAAGTGTGAGGGAAGCCCCCACATAGAGCACATTGCAATAGTCCAGTCTTGAAGTTACCAGCGCATGAGCTACTGTGGCAAAGCTTTCCTGGTCCAGAAATGGCCGTCGCTGTTGAACCAGCTGCACTTGGTAAAAGGCACTTCTAGCCACTGCAGCTGTCTGAGCCTCCAGTGACAGAGCTGGATCTAGAAGCATTCCCAAACTGTGAACCTGCTGCTTCAAGGCCAGCCCAAGTCATTTTGGCACCTGAGGCAAATCACAAAATGGTGGCCCCCTCCCATCACCAGGGAAGAAGAGGGAGTGAAGATCTACATCAGGAACAAGGGTGAGATAAATAGCAACATTGGGAGCAGGGTGGAAGGAGACCAGCAGTGCCTCCTAGAAGGGCCACTGTGGAGGAAGATCCAGCTTCCAGTGAGTATGCTGCAACTGCCAGTAGCACTATAGCAGCAGCAATAGGTGATTCATTCCTCGGAGACCAGATCTGTAGATCCTGCCACCCCCTTACGTCTTGTTAAGAGGGAGTGCAACCCCATCCAAGGTAGGCCATTGGCCAATTTCTCAGACCCAGGAACTACTCACCCACAGTGCCTCCACATTGCCAAGATTCAAGTTCAGCTTGTTCTCCCTCATCCATCTCACCACAGTATCCATGCAGTAGCCCAGGAACTGCATGGTCTCTCTTGATTCAGATGTTATTAAGAAGTAGAGCTCAGTGTCATGCTGATGGCATCTCACTCTAAAACTCCTAATGACCACTCACAGTGACTTCATGTAGATGTTAAATAGCAGTGGAGATAAGTGCTATCTCCCAATGCTACTCTCTGAACTCGGTCCCAAAGGTAGGATCAGAACCACTGTACAGTGGTACCTTGGTTCTCAAACACCTTGGTACTCAAACAACTTGGAACCCAAACACTGCAAACCCGGAAGTAAGTGTTCCAGTTTGCGAACATTTTTTGGAAGCCAAACGTGCTCCATTTTGAATGTTACACTTCTGATTTGAGTGCCGCACTTCCATTTTGGGTGTTACGCTGAGGTCTGTCTGTTTTTGTCATTTATTTTGCATTTTTATTTTTGCGGCTTTTTTGTTTTGTTTTTGTGACTGTGTGGAACCCAGTTCAGCTACTGATTGATTGATTGTGTGACTGCAGTACATTGTTTATTGCTTTCATTTTATGGATTAATGGGCTCATGAGATAGTAAAATTCATGTTAAATTGCTGTTTTAGGGGTTGTTTTTAAAAGTCTGGAACGGATTAATCCATTTTGCATTACTTTCTATGGGAAAGCACACCTTGGTTTTGGAATGCTTTGGTTTTGGAACGGACTTCTGAAATGGATTAAGTTTGAGAACCAAGGTACCACTGTAATATGGTGCCTCCAATTCCCATTCCCTGGAGTTGTTCCAGGAGGATACCTTGGTTGGTGGTATCAAATGCTGTTGAGAGATCAAGAAGCAGCAGCAAGGTCACACTCTCTGCAGAGGTCATCCATCGAGACGACCAAGAGCAACTTGGTTCTGTGGCCTAGATAATCTGTGTCCTCCAAAAATGTGCAGCTACTCCACCACAGCCTCTATCACCTTCTCCCAAAAGGGGGTATTTGCAACTGGTCAATAGTTTTTCAATCCAAAGGCCCAAACAAGGTGTAAGAGTCAGACACAAACCTGTAGATCTCAGCCAAAACTAAAAACAAGCAACCACTGCCCCACATTAATTCAGAAGTTGTACAGTCATATATGACCTATACCATATGCCTTCCTAATGGTTTGAACTGACTGAAGTGAAAGGATACGAGTCTTTTCCTGGAAGTTCCTAAATGTGATGATGTGCATTACATATTGCACTCCTGTTGTGACTCTGACATGGCCAGGTTTTCCATAAATTCCTTATCTCCATCTTTTTGTTTTATTTTATTTAGTACAAGTTCTAACACCGAACCAAATTTCTCCTGATATGTGGTCTGGCCCCAGTCTCATTTCCTTTGCCTCAGGGGTAGGAAATCTGTGGCCTTTATTGGCTACAACTCCCATCATTTCTGACAATTGGCCATGTTTATTGGGGCTGATGGGAACTGGAGCCACCCTCTCTGCTTTATCTTCTCATTTTTTATTTTATGTAAATAGAGTAACAAAACAGATTCCTTGTTCGGAATGACCATAAATATCTCTAGAGCAGTGTATCTGCAATCTTATTATTAAATATTACAAACCACTTCCAATACATAGCCAGGATAGGATCTCAGCAATAATTTACTGACCATAAATTCCCACAAGAAATAAATACAAGAGAATTTAACAAAAACAGAAATTGTCCCGTCTCCCACACACACATTTAACTAGGACTTTGCCCAAAGAATCAAATAAAAACTCATTTATTTTAGCATAATCCTTATTATAATATTTCAGTACAAATGCAGAAACAATCCTGCTGATATTATCTGTCACTGAGTATTTCCCCTTCTAAAAAATTCTAAAGAGAGCCAATACCTGATGCAAAGAAATTAATATAGAACACTTAGAGCACAAGTCTATTCATATCTACTCAGAAGTAAATTCATTTAAGTTCAGTGGGGCTTACTCCCAGATAAATGGGCACAGGATTTCAGGCTTAGACATTTTCTGTGATGGTAAGTTTCCAGACCTCTCAAAAGTTTGTTGATATCAGCGTATTAAAGTTCCTTAAATCAAAATTAATATTCCTGATGCTGGAGCACAGTGATTCCATTAAACTGTACCAAACAGTTCCATGCATCAACTACTTTAAATGTAATCAGCTTATTAGCATACCTTTTTAAAAACAATAAATAGGACCCCACAATGATCTTTAGACTTTCAGTGTTATTTTGACAATTAGAAAGGCATACTGGAATTGTTGCAATAAGTTTAAATAATAATAGCAACTGTTTCGTATTCAGCATTGCCAAGAGTCAGTGTAAGGGATTTCTCCTGTACTAAGACATGCAACATATTTAAAAATACATCAGCTACATAAAATAAAGCAGATGTTCTTTATTTTAGCACATACTATTCTCACCATACTCCAGAGAACAGCTCTGTAATGGCCGTAGTCTTTGGCAGAGAATAGTTAAATACAAATATCTACATAGATTTTATTTGGTCCCTTTATTTCACGATGAATTCTGGCTACTTACTATTGATAAACAACCAATTCAACATTCTGTTCTACTCACCAGTAGACTGAAGAGAAGCTGTAGCCAGATAGCTCTACATAAGATGCTGCCTTTACACCATCTTGCAGCTAGTAGCACCATTTCCAGTATAGAAATTAAATGGGCTGCAGGGCTTTTCTGGCTACTGACTTGCTGGGTCTGGCGATAGTCCCCAGAGGAGTCAGGGTGAAAGGAAACACTGCAAGGCAGCAGCAGCGAGTATATGGTGCAAAAAGTGAATGCAACTTTCTTCCTTTTCTTCCCTTTCACTTAAAGCTTTTGCTGTCTAAGAAGGGCCGGGTTATTAATTCAGCTCTCTTGCTAAATGTCATGGGGCTTGTCCTGAAAGAGACTTGTGGAACGTGCTCTATTTCATTTCAGACTTTCCTTGCCCTGGTGAAATGCTGGGGGAGAGGGAGAAGTTGGAAGGATTGGGCTCCTGGGCTTGCCCTTCCCTTCCCAATTGCTTAGGACTAAATTGTTTTTGGTTTCACACAAATAATTCTTGGTTTCATAGAATCTTAAGCTAGAGGCTGAAGCAGTGAGCTTTCAGCCAAGACCAGTGCAAAGATCCTGGCCTCCCCATTCAAGGACCATGCTCCCCAGTCAGCTTTGTCTCATTTACCGTATCTTTCTTGATTGCCGGGATCCCAATTAAATTAATATAAACAATTCTTTTCTATTTATAGAAGAAGCTCTAGCCTTCCTTTTCATCACCAAGGGTTTTCAGATGTCCTTTATTCAAAGAATATTGATTAATTTAAATATCATCCTTATAAACCTATTGATTTGTAAATGATGGTGGGTGTTCCTTTCTTCAGAAAAGAGGAGCTTCAGAGCACTAACTAAATCAACTTTGGTGATCTTTCCAGATACTTTGGATAACAACTCCTATCATACCTGGCCATTGTAAAGGGACTTTGCTTTTGGCAGTAATATTATCAAAGCACAAAATATTCACAATTCCATTTGTTATAAATGTAAGAGGAGAATGAAATTTTATTCATTCATATAAATGCACATATATCCCACTTTTCAATTGAATGAGCTTGAATTTGTGGTCGCCGTGCAAATAGTCAGGAATCCTTTTATAGAGAGTGTGAAGGTTTTATAATACACTAGGGGAAACTATTTTCCAGGAAGAATAACTATGGTTAAAATGGTATTCATACCAATATTGGTTTTTTTAAAAATCAAGAATTGGACTCTTTCAGTTAGGATAACAAACCAGCAAATCAAAAAGGGGCAATATCTTATATAAAAGTATATCTAAAATAAGGGGGGGAAACAAGCAAAGGATTTATATGCTGAAGAAATAGGGGTGGGTTGTTGGTTCTAAATGTGAACATCTTCTATGAGCCATGAATGCTACTTTAGTACACTGGACATGGACTCCAGATTCCTCAGTATTGCAATTTTAGGAGAACCCCTAAAATCTCCATTGCATAAAACACTGTGAGGGGATAGAACCAATTTACCAAAATTAACAAAAACTGTTTAATTTCACATTGATTAAAGGTATGGCACTGTAATAAGTGGTTATTAAGCATGCACATATCTCCTTTATAACCTGTTTTGGATTATCTAGATTCAGATAATTGCTTTAAGAACTGGAGAAGGAACAAACACTTAATAAAAAAAAATGACTGACTGCTCTGAAATTAAAAGGTACTGTACGTACACACACTTGGCAAAGCAATCATGGTTCAAATAGTTTTAGACAAGAGCATTAACATTAGAATACTAGAGAATAAACCACCTGTAAACCACGAGACCCATTAAAGTCTGGTCCTTCTCAGATCTCACAGGGGATAGAATATAGTCTGCCTCAACCTGTTTCCAGGCAGATTTTTGATGTCACATCCTTAAAAATCTGCCTGGAAAAAAACATTTAAAAGTACTTATTTGGTGGCCGAAATCTTATATGCATCTTTCATCCCTCCCCCATTTTTTCTTTAAGACTTTTGGAATAGAGTGAGCAGCTTACATACAGGGCTTCTTAGCCCCACATGCCTTGCGTGAACATAGAACAAGTCCCACTAGGGATGATGGCACTAGTTGTTTCTTCACTCCCATGGGATTTGCACAGAAAAATCTTACTTAATTACTTGCACAGATAATTTGCTTATATTAAAAAACACATGGAAGGCTTCTTTTTTCTCCAGAAGTTAAATGGCCCAGTAAAATACTCTCTTTGTGGCTTACATATCTTGCCTCCTTTTTTTAAAAAAAAAAAGATCAAAATTGTACAAGGAAGCTAAAGAGGGACAAAAGTTAGTTTAACATCAATATAAAGTATAAGTTATGCAAATTTTTACATTTTGAGGAAAGAATTATAACTGCAGTGGTACCTTGGGATAAGTACTTAATTTGTTCCAGAGGTCCGTTCTTAACCTGAAACTGTTCTTAACCTGAAGCACCACTTTAGTTAATGGGGCCTCCCGCTGCCGCTGCGCCGCTGGAGCACGATTTCTGTTCTCATCCTGAAGCAAAGTTATTAACCCGAGGTACTATTTCTGGGTTAGCGGGGTCTGCAACCTGAAGCATATGTAACCTGAAGCGTATGTAACCCAAGGTACCACTGTAAAAGAAACTTTCAAATTACAAGGTTTATCATATGTCCAGTAGGACTATGACCTTTAACTTAATTGCAAATTTTGGTGATGGAAAAATATGTGATATCGTATGAGACAGTAAAGAATAGAATGAATGTATATCATCCAGATGTTCCAATATTTTCAGCTAAGGCATATTATAAATCAACCTATACTTAAATATAGGCATTTACAAACAAAATCTGAATTTCAGCTGTTAATTACATGCCCTAACTTAATGAATCTTATAAGCAAATGGTGCACAAGCCAACTAAGCTTTACTTAACTAGCACTGATAAATGCAAGAGATGTGATTCATCTAAGGCAGATTCCATGCAAATTTTCCAAGCCATTTGGAAAAATATGTAGAATACACTTGATAGGCCAAGAAGCTCAGTTACCACCACATATTTTTCATTTAAAACACACCCATTTGCTTATTTTGCAAGAGTTATGTGCAAAAGAAAGGCATATATCTCTGAAAATTACTTGGTTAACTTGCCACTCACAAATAAGGAGATCTGGTCCAACCCCTGCAATGCAGGAATCTTTTGCGCAACATGGAGTTCGAACCCACAACCCTAAGATTAAGAGTCTCATGCTCTACTGATGGTGCAAGCGTCCTGAGCGGTACTGTATGTGGTTTTCAAAGATCAAAAGCAGAACTGCCTATAATCTTGGAAAAGTATTGGAGGACAAGTGAGGTCCCTGCAGGCTGGAGATGGGCAAATGATGTCCTCATCTTCAAAAGGGGAGTGAAAGAAGACCCAGGTAACTACCGACTGGTAAGCTTAACATTGATACCAGGAAAGATCCTAGAACTAATGGTTCCTCAACATCCTGGAAAAAGGGGACAGGTGAGGTGCTGCAGGGTTCTGTCCGGGGCTCGTGGTGGTTCAACATATTTATAAATGGCTTGAATGAAGGTATTGAGGGGGTGCTCATCAAATTTGCAGATGACACCAAACAGGGAAGGGTAGTGAATGCCACAGAAGACAGAATTGGGATTCAATATGACCTTAACAGATTGGAGAACTGGGCTAAAACTAACTAAATGAAATTTAATAGGGACAAATGTAAGGTTCTACACTTAGGTAGGAATAACCATCTGCACAAATATAAGATGAGAGACACCTGGTTTGCCAGTACTACATGTGAAAAGGATCTGAGGGTCTTAATAGACCACAAGTATAACATGGGTCAACAGTGTGATACAGCAGCAGAAAATGCTAATGCTATCCTAGGCTCCATCAACAGAAGAATAGTGTCCAGATCAAGGAAAGTAAAAGAACTCTCTATTCTGCCTCAGACCACACCTGGAGCACTGCTTCCAGTTCTAGGCACAACAATTGAGGAAGGATATTGACAAGCTGGAATGTGTGCAGAGAAGGGCAATCAAGATGATCAAGGAAACCAAGCCTTAAGAAGAACCCTTGAGAGAGTTGGGTATGTTTAGCCTTGAAAAAGGGAGACTGAGAAGAGAGATGGTGGCCATCTTCAAATATCTTAACAGCTGTCAGGTGGAAGATAGAGCAAGCTTGTTTTCTCCTGCTCCAGAGGGTAGGACCTGAATCTATGGCTTCAAGTTACAAGAAAGGAGATTCTGACTAAGCATCAGAAATAACTTTTTGACAGTAAAAGGTGTCACACAGTGGAATGAACTCCCTCGGGAGGTTGTGGACTTTCCTTTATTGGAAGTTTTAAAGCAGAAGTTGGATGACCACCTGTCATGGTTGCTTTAGTTGGGATTCCTGCATTGCAGGGGGTTGGACTAGATAACCCTTGTGTCTCTTTCAGCTATGATTCTAAGTTCCTGTACAGTCTTCAAAGCAGCCCTACATACAGCACACTGCAGTAATCCAGCCTGGAGGAGAATCTTGCTCATCCAAGGCATCTTGAACAGACATTCTTTATTTGTATTACAACCAGCTAGATAAGCTGGTTCGTTTGATTTATTGTTTGAAGAAGAGGAGAAAGAGGTTGAGCTTCTCTCCCAATATTAATTTATTCACTGGAAATACTGTGCTTATGACTTATATAGAACTAAGAGCCATGTATGTCATCTGTATCTGAAGACTCGAAAAAAGGTGTGGTTCTGTGTATATTATTTTACTACCTTCTTTGACGTGTTCTTTGCAATTGATCCATATCCTACCTAAGCTCAAACTTGCCTGTGCATGTTGGTTTCAGCACAGATTTCATATTTATTCATTTAGATGCTTTCTGAAATCATTATGATACATAGTTTGTGCCATGAATTCCTAATTGTTTGATGATTCTTGCTTCCTATCATTTATATGAGACTAGCAACAACAGCAACATTCCTGCCATTATGACAAGAAATATGGAAGGTATTTGCCTGAAGTTCCCTGCCCCAGATTCTCTCTAGTGAGAACTCATCACCTACTGTCAGATGTGTTTTTCAACCTCTACTTCAGTGCTCCTGGGCACAGTGCTTAATTTCCCATTCCCAGTGCTTAAGACTGGAGAAAATAGCACTTCCCTCTTGCAACAGGAAGAATGTATGGGGTACACTAGTGAAAGAGATCAAATTTGCTCCTTGCTTCCTAGGGATCCCAGATATTATCATATGTTCCTGTCTGCATAGCCCTATTCTTGGTTCTGCATAGCCATATTATGGGCTATGATTCTTCATCATAGGATACTAGAATTGTGATACTTCTAGAGAATGGTGGAATACTGGGGATTGGTGTTATACATATAGATAATACATCTCTTGTGGACAGTCTTTATCATCATTAAAAGAATAGTTGATGGCTCTTATTGTCATATTTCATTTCTTTTTGTTCAGTAAATCTTCATAGTCCATACACAGTACATTGACATTCCACTCATAAGCATATCCATTTCTAAGCAAGTACCATTGAAGTGTGTGTGTGTGTGTGTGTGTGTGTGTGTGTGTGTTTTGGACTGAATATGAAACCACAATATTGATTTTAGGATTCTGAGCAAACTAACATTTTGCGGGGACATGTTCCAGAAGACTTCACATCAGGAAATGATTGATTTGGAGCCTTCTTCCAGGAGAGCCTTAGATAACTGAGACTGGGTGTCACTAGAAATCTGTTTTCTGTGACCTTCTGTTTTGTGTCTACAAAATAAATGCAAGAAGACATGCATAATTTTACCCATGATAAGCAGTCATTTCATAGTAATGAATACGTAGGGGCTTGGAGCCTAACAACTGCAGGCACAATTCTACTTATGCAGTGGGTCTTTTCCACATCTCTGGTGCAGCTCTGTCTGAAAAGATAGAATGGCATGCAATGCAGTACAGGGGGTGCAGATTATGGGAAGGGGGGCGGGATCAGAAACAATAGAAGACCTTTGCATAGCATCTACAGGGCTACAGGTTCCCCCAACCCTGGTCTGTAAAGTAGTGGGATGCATACAACTCAATCAATAATTTATTAAGAATAAAGCAAATTTAGTACCACTAACTCTAGTAGGTCTAAATGTCTGACCAAGTTCAACACTAAATTCAACACTGGAACTTTTTTATTGCTTTCTCTATGAGTTAGAAGATGCAGTCTCTAGAGCATGTGTGGCTAACCTTTGCCCTCCATGTTTTGCTGGACTTCAGCTCCCATAATCCTTAACCACTTGGCATTTCTGGCTGGAGCAGTTGACATTGGAGTCCAACAACATCTGGAAGGCCACAGGTTAATCACCTCTGCTCAAGAGCCTTTGGAGCAAATGCTGGGTGAAAGTAAAGCACTGAGCATCACTATTAAGGGCATTTGCTAAATATAATATTTATATTCACTTTTCTGTGTGATTGAGCCTGCAATCCTATACACATTTACCTGAGGGACTTTTTTCTAAGTGAATATGCATAGGTTTACTCTGCGCTTGAGATAAAAAAAGAGCACATGAGCCTATTCAGGGAAGAAAGAAAGTTAGCTATAAAACTGGTACCCAACATTAGGTCATTCATGTAAAAAAAACCTACTTCTGTAATAGGAGTAATCCAGTACTTTTAAAAGTAATACAATACCTTTAGAATTTCTCCTCTGATAACAGCAGTAGCAACAGCAATACATTAACTTGCATTTTGCATCAGTGCATTGCCTTAATATTGTGTTTTACAATTCTTTTAAGGCATAGTTCTAGGATGATGAAACAGGCACAGCATTACTGCAGTTTCATGATCTGGGTTCATGTCTTATGTGATCCAGAACCATTCTACTACAACATAATACAGTACCTTTTGGAAAGGGAGCTCATTTACATGAACTCCATGTAAATTAACATTAACCCAGAAGGATTATAGAACCGCCCTTTTTCTTAAACACCAGTCTCACCCTGGCCTGTCTCCATGGATTTTGAAAGTGAGGAAAGTTTCAAAATGTACCTAAAAGGAGCAAAGAAAACTAAAGCCAAACAATAACAACAGCAACCAATAACTGTCAGCTAACCTTCCAAACGTAACATTACATGAACGTTGAGATTTATGTATTTTTAGAATAAGAGGATGGGGACAAGACAATACAGAAACATGACAGTTAATAATAATAATTTTTAAAAATAAAATCGTCTTTAGGTTAAGCAAAGAGCAGAAGAGCAGGTTAGGCCTGCCCAGAGAGTTGCTGCTTCTTTTCCTAATCTGGATTTGTTTCATCTACTGGGTGTGTTTGGATAACTCAGCCCTTAAGGAGATGGGTGTGCCTCATTCCATCCAGTAGAAACATTTCTAAAGGAGCAGTATAAGCAAGAAGGGGTGCTTTTTAGACTGCCTTGCTTTGAAGGACCATGACTTTCAGGTTGGTAGTGTCAAAGCTTGAGAAGGCCAACCTCATGACTCAGAAAATGATGTCTAAGAAAAGAAGGTAGTAATATTTTGGCCTGGCTGCAAAGGAAAAGAAAGACTTGCATGGTATCCAACACACCCTGTGTTCATTGGAATCAAAGGGCAGCTGGCTCAATTCTGCATGAAGATTGCATTTAGGTTGTTAGAACTTCATATGCTGCGTGAATTTGATTGTGGAACCTGTAAAATTTGATTCAGGGCATTAGAACTTCATCATTGGTAGCCATTTTAGATCATTGAATCATAACCACCCAAGACTTCAGATAGGGAAATAGTGACACACCTGGAGCACCATTATATGAAAAATTGCTGCTGAACAGCCAACTCTCCTTGTAACATGCCTGAAGGCTCTACTCTGCCTGTTTTCATACTGTATTCTTTTTGTGTGTGCAGCATCCTGTCCTTCCATGATTTACAGAGGGTGAGTGTCCTTTGAGTTAAAGAAATACCAGAAGAACATGTGCCCCACAATTCAACACTCTCTATAGCAACTACAGCCCTGAATGAACATAAGAAGCTGTGTTATGCTCAATCAGGCCATTGGTCTATGTAGGTCAGTATTGTGTTGGAAGAGTGGCCTTCAGTCTAGACCCAAGACCCGCTTCTGACTCCCAAACTGCAACATGAGACCCACTTTCACATTTTCTTTATACATAATAGTGCTAATAATACATATTATTAATACTAAAATGGCAAATCACAAAGCAATATACCTTAGCAATACTACTAAATGAAAAACAGTTCTGCAATGTGGCAACGGAAAGGAGCGAGCATGTAGTTGGCAAGAAATATGTATCTTATTTTAAAATGGCTCAGGCTTTTCTCCTGCCACATTGCAGCACTTGTGGACATTGATAAAATGAGTGCATCTTAGTCCAGTCCCATATGCAATGCTCCTCTGGTCTGGTCAGCTGGAATCCAATGTGGCTGTGGAAGCTTTGCTGTGACCCAAATAGTGTTGCCTTGCAACCCACATGGTAGGGCCTCGTGGCCACTGCTTGAAGCCTATAGTCTGCACTGAATGGCAATGGCATTCCAGGATTTCAGGCAGGGGCCATTCCCAGACTTTACTTTGAGATGGCACAGATTAAATCCGAGACATTTTACATGAAAGGCAGATAGATGCATTGCAACTTCCCCAAAAAGCAACGTGAAATGGCAGCCTTCTCTATCATGGCAGTCTGGTTACAGAACTCCTTCCCATTTGTCCCCTTCATCATCCTTTTATTGCCAAGCAAAGGCATACTTGTCCCTTCCGGGAAGGGTGAGCTAAATTCTGTTTGGATCACAGCAGGATTGTTTTGTTTATTTGTTTGTTTTTGAACTACTGAGATGGTAGTGTTTATGGTTTAAATACATGTGTTATATGATGCCGTGCTGTTGCATACCACCTTGGAATCCCTTGAAGGGTGGTCTAAAAATACAATATGATGTCCTGTATATGTTAATCCTTGCACTCTGGTACATCTAAAAAACCCAGCTCACCATTTCTTTGCCTTAGGTCTTCAGGCGTCATTGGATTACAACCAGCATAAGGCCACCCTAGGTAAACCCCAAAGAACAACAATGCTGGCAACTCAAACAGACAACATTTTAACAAGGCATCTCTAAAGGGGGGATTTATCAGGGATACATAACCAGAAAAGGGGCTGCTGCTTCAATCTTTAAGAGAAAAAATGTGTGTGTGTGTGAAAATAAACTGTTTCAATCAGTACAAAACAAATCACAAAACATAAAGTAGGGTGAAGGATTATTACAAATGAACTATACTATTACCTCATCAACTGGAAAATGAGCAAGCAAACAAATAAAATATAGCTTGTTGACAATTTCAAATTAATAAGCATCTTACTTACAGCTTCCAGATTACCCTTTACTTCCTCCCAAACCAACAGTTATTACCATAACCACAAACAAGCATATGTTGCAGAGGGGAGGGACAACCAACTCCTGTATGTTCAATAAAGCAAAGCCATGCAGCAGTAAACTTATCCTGTGTTCACTGTGTGCTTTGTACCCTGGCAATTATCACCTTTTGTGTCTCTACCAGGGCAATGTGCCACAACTTTTTATATCAATATTCAAGGTCATTAATTTGTAAATCTTCCCAATGCTTGGCAATTGTGATTCTCACTGGCAATGAAAAGCGAATTATCAGTTCCCTGTGGTCCTGCTCCAATCTTATACCTTATTATCTGGGAACAACCCTCACTTAACTCAATCGGGCTTGCTTCTGAGTGGACACAAATGATAGCACAGTGTGTGTAGTGAATAGGAACTCTGGAGATGTAAACTGAAAGTTCTAAGGCAGCTGTTACACTCAAAACTTCCATCAGCTCCAGCAATGGTAAGGCATGATGGGTATTGTAGTCCAGGAACATCTGGAGGGTCACAGGCTCCCAATCCCCATCCTAAGGATTTATGTATCAGAAGTTAATCTCAGCAAGAACTCCCAGATCTCAGCTGTGGAACTTACTTTTAATTACAGGGTTCAGAGAAATGAAGTTAAGGATACAGAATATAGTTGTTCCAAATTCTGAAACACTTTCTCCCCTTTCTGAGTAGCATCCATTTCCCAGTCATCTGTGGTTAGTTCTTCCTGGTCAAAGGATATAGCTTCTCAGCAGACTTGAGTTCTTCCACACCTCTGTGTAACTTATTGCTATGTTCTGAATCTAGAATAATCTTGTTCCAGGATCTGATCTCACTTTTGCAACCCCACCTGATTCAAAAAAAGACATCGCGCCAACCTTTATTCCCCAACAAATCCAAACCCTGGTTTGATCAGGAATGTATTGCTACAAAGCGTTCTTTGCTGGAGAAGTACAGGAATTACAAATCAGCGAACTTACCCTTGCTTCCCGCGGAATGGTTCGAAGCCAAACGTAAATATAAAGATCTGATTAAAAAGAAAAAACTTCAGGCACAAAGGGGGGAGTGGCAACGTTTATTAGAGGCCTCTCGAAGGAAAGACTCAGCCACTTTTTGGAAAATAGTCGCGAAAAGTTGGCAAGACTCCCCTATTGAAATTGATTATACTATAGCAGTTGGGATTTGGGAGGCTTACTTTCTATCTTTATATACATCAAATCAACATCTGCAGGCCCTGCCCCCAGCTCCAAGTGATATTGGCGCCAAATGGCCCCCAGTAGCAACTGAAAAGATCTATAGGCTCATCCAATCCCTTAAACCTGGAAAAGCACCCGGCGTAGACAACATTACACCGGAACTCCTTAAGGCTAATGTTGAATGGTGGGCCCCTGTGCTAGCTGCCCTATTTACCAGCATAGATCAATCGGCCACTATCCCTGAGGACTGGGGATTAGCAATCATCATCCCTTTATTCAAGAAAGGGAGCCGATCAGATCCGGCTAATTATAGGCCAATCAGCCTCCTAAGTATCATTAGCAAATTGTACGCTGCCCATTCTTATTGCTATGTAGCATTCACTTTTGGAGTCACTTCCAATGCTTAAGCAACAGAAAAGTGCTTAGGGCTTGCTTGCAATTCCTGAATAATGTGTAATGTGTGGAGTGTCAATTCATGCCTCATGAGATGAGCAGGTTCTACATGCACCCCGAACACATTTCAAGACAGGGGAGATGTTTGATTCACCATGGCACATGCTGTGCAGGAAGTATGAAAATAAGATAGGCAGGTCACTAGGGATGGATGAATATGTCAATTTCGGTTTCTCTAAGTTTCTCATTTTTTTAAACTTGCATTCAGATTTCCACATGAGCTTGCAGTTTTGGTTTTTTAAGGGTTCTCATGAAAAAAATCATCATCAGTGCAAACTTTTCCTAATATACAAATTTATGTGCAATTTTGCCTAGTATACATATTTTTGCAAAACCTTTTTTTCCTGATAGAGTGCATTTTTGTATGTTTTCACATTTACATGTACACTTTGCACTATTATATGCATTTTTGTACACATTGCTTGGCTGGAGAACTGCACTATAAAAATGAAGAATAGCAAATTTCAAAGGATTGCTGTGTTTCCATTCACATCTCGTTTCAGAAAATGCAAGTTAGATAAGGTCACCTTTACATGCAAATTTAATGAAATTTCTCCCCCATTCCTGCAAACACTGCTTGTTTGAATGTGTGAAGTTGGAATGGTTTGTGTGGGTTTTTTAGATGTGATTCCTCTGCTGTATGATGCATATTGCTAGAAAGAAAGAACAAAACAGCAAGGTACAAAGGGTTGTATCCAGTCTTAATCCTAATCACCCATTGAAATAAATGGACATGAATAATTTAGGACTCTTTATTTCAATAGGTCTGCTCTGAATGTAACTTAGTTGGGCACAATCCAAAGTATAACCAAGGGTTTTCTTAACTTCTCAGAAATAAGAATCTGTATATCTCTATTCTCATCCATACACAAAAAAAAGCCATGCTATGCCCACCATATGCTCTCTTTCCTTTACATCAGTGGCAGTGGGACAGTAGTGGAGGTACATGGAGTGATGCAAGGGGTGGAAAATGTCTCTTGTCATAGTAATCACGTGAATCATGTAGTCTTAGTAGGAAGCATTCCCAGCTTCTATCACAGTGATTCATTTAGTACCTGAAGGCTGTGGGGCAAAATAGTTCAATCCCCTTCTTTAATCATGCCCCAAAAAAGCTTCACAAGCATACAAAACACTCCTACTAGCTAATAAAATTGTCCTACAATAACCAATTGTATAGTGCTCAATTTTAATTGCTGGGCACTCTGTATTTGATCGCATACCACTGTATTAATTTTTATATCATCCTTATGAATAATGTGTTAAACGATACTCTTTATGATGAGTTCCACACAGCAAGTCAGGTCATGCCAATTTGAAAGCTTGGACCTCACCAGTGATGTGGTTTCTGAGGAATTTCAGAAGCATAAAGAGCAAATGCATACAGTTACCTCTAAACCAGGAAACTATTTGATGTATCTACATAATTGGTAAATAATGAATAAATGATGGGCATTAAGAAGAAAACATGGAGGTCCATATTACCATCACACACACCCCAAAATAAAACCAGTACAGTGGCAACTACCATTCCTTTTATAGGTGTGGTCCAACCATCATAGGCTGCCAAGAGTTCCTAGTTCCATATGAATCAGATTTATATAATTAAAAACCCAATTGTCATTTCTACTAACCAATATTATATTTATTACCAGCTAGTTTGTAATAAATGTATCAAAGGTTTATGTCATCAAAAACCAAAAATGAATGGCCATAGCCAATGATACATTTACCAACTTATCAAGGTTTGCATAGTTCAAGTAATCCTTCATTAAAATTAGTAATATGCAGTAAAATTCAGGTGGAAGAAGGGAAAGCAGAGGAGGTACCTGGGTACCTGAGCTAAGCAACTGATCGTCATTGTTACTTTATGAAGAAACCACAGTACAAAAGAGCTAAACTCTTTCTATCTGTGCATTTATAAGCAAGCGAACAAAACAATACCTTACCTTCAAAAGTGAGGACCAAACCCCACCTGTGTTAAAACGATTGTTTCAGACTCTGAGAACAAGAATGAATTATGGCTTGACCACAACTTAGCAGTTTAAAAAGGAAAAAAACAACAAGTAACATTGGATGGAAGCTTAGAGTAATCCCAGTGAAGTAAATGAGACTACTCTAAGCATGAGAAGGTTCAGATCTCAGGCAGAGCAATCCTAATGGGATGGGAAGTAGTGGAGTGCTAGACCCCAAGTCCTGCTGGTTCTCATAATATAGAAGGTGGGGGCAGTGTTTTGTTTTCTTATTGCCACACCACCTCCAAGCTGGCATAGTCCCAAGTGACCAAGAATAGGCCCCCTCAGAGGATCTACAGGATCCAGTTATCTAAAGTCACCACCACACCACCCCATCCTGAAACACCCTGTTCCAAGCCTTTCTGCCAGTTACTGCCAGCAGCACTACCACCAGCAGAGGATTTCTACCCAAGTGGGCAAAGCTGGAAGAGTTCCAGAAGCTGGAAGAGGGGCACTACATGCCATAGCAACACACTTAGTAACACATAGTAACACACAACCATCTGCATTTCCAAGTGTATCCAATGTCACAATTGCCTTCATAATAAGGGGTTAGTATTTCAATGTTAAAAGGAAATGAAAAGAGTAAGAGATATTGCTGTGTACCAATAAAGAATATTTTAACATTCCTTTTCAGTGGTTAGTAGGGAAGTGTTTCATGGTTCAGCCCTATTTGCTAACATGTAGAATATCATGTTATCTACTGGAGTACAAGCTTCCATTTCTATCACGGTAGATAAATGGCTGTTTCCAGATCTGGTTGTCTGACTTCTAATCAGAATATCTCCAATTGTTTCCTTATTTGAAAACACAGGAAATTGGTCTTGGCAGCTCCTTAATGCTCTAGCTATGTCAATATCTGTGGCTGATACAAATATGTAGGGGTATTTTTAGTGTGTGTTGTGCTTGGAAAGTCTAGGTGAAAATATTTATCTCATCACACAATGTGGGTGTTGGCATGGACAGCTGAAGGAAAGTTAAATGTTTATCCAGTAAAAACACAGAAGGTTGTTCAGTAACTGCTGCTGTTTGATTTTTGTTGAACAGGAAAAATAACTGATTTCCATAAACAGCATTCTGTTCCTTGTCGATGTTAGACTTGGCGGCAGAACTGAAGATTCTGAAAATTAGATTCCACTGAAAATTTGACACTATGACAATACAGGCATTGCTTGATCGCAGCTTTCAGCAACCTGGAGCTCTCCAGATGTTTTGGACTACAAAACAGGGCTGTCTGGGAGCTGATGGACATTGTAGGTAGGGATGAAGAAGAAATTGGATTCAGTTTGCATTTAAAGGTGAGCATGCTTACCTTGCAAAACAATAAGAGATGGTTCTTCAAAACTTGCACTTCTCCAAATTTTGCAATGCAGTTCTCCAACCAAGTAATGTTTAAGGTAAAGGTAAAGGTACCCCTGACCGTTAGGTCCAGTCACGGACGACTCTGGGGTTGCGCGCTCATCTCGCTCTATAGGCCAAGGGAGCCAGCGTTTGTCCACAGACAACTTCTGGGTCATGTGGCCAGCATGACTAAACCGCTTCTGGTGAACCAGAACAGCACACGGAAATGCCATTTAGCTTCCCTCTGGAGTGGTACCTATTTATCTACTTGTACTTTTACGTGCTTTTGAACTGCTATGTGGGCAGGAGCTGGGACCGAACAACAGGAGCTCACCCCATCACAGGGATTCGAACCGCCGACCTTCTGATCGGCAAGCCCTAGGCTCTGTGGTTTAGACCACAGCGCCACCCACATCCCAAGTAATGTGTACAAAAATGCATATACCTGGGTAAAGTGTGCATATAGTAGCATACAAAAATGCATTATATTAGGTAAAACCGCTTTGCAGAAATGTGCATATTAGGCAAAATTGCATACAGTTGTACCTTGGTTTTCAAACAGAATGCGTTCTGGAAGTTCGTTCGACTTCCAAAATGTTCAGAAACCAAGGTGTGGCTTCCGATTGTCTGCAGGAACATCTAAATGTAATATAAGTAAATGAATAAATAAGTAAAAAAGCCTGAAGATAGCTATACCCTCGTTCATGTCTTTTGTGCTAAATGGAAAATGTGAGGAGAAAACTAAGCAAGCATCTTGCAGAAAAACATCCTTTGGGCAAGGGTCACCAAAGGTCAAACCAGATTTGATGCCGTTCACACAATTAGCAGATTGCATGAGTGGCTTTCTAAAAGTATATTACAGTTGCAAGGAGCTTTCCCCCAAAGCTAATAGCAGACAGTGGGGGGGGCAGTCAACCAGTGGCCAAGGGTTAAAGCTCTCCTACCCTCATGCTGTGGTCCTGATCTGAGCACTCTCGTTCTTCAAACCTAGCATGAGGATCCACCCTAATTAGCCAGATATTAAAGCACATGTGCTTCTTAAGGAAGACATGTGTGCTAAGCACCTGTAAATTACATAGTTCACACTTTAAGATAGCTATGAGTTGAAATACACAGTTAAATGCTTTATTGACCATGTTTCACTGAAAACTAAACACAGGCTTTAACAATGCAAACCCCTAAGCCAACCTCTCTGCTATGTGTTGCCAGCATTGTTTATCTGCCAAGCTGCCTGAACTAGCTAAGACTCGTCAACCTCTTCATGAGGGAACATGTGTAATCCATCAAGCACCCCATCCACCCTTGCAGAAAACAGGACTATCTTCAAGCACTCACCTGGTCCCTGCCTTTTCCAAGAAAAACTCCCAATGGAACAAGCTTCTCAGACATTTTAATGTGGCAAACAATACAATCTGATATATAAAAAAATACCTATCTCAAAGTAAACCTTTATTTCCCAAAGAGAGAAGATAGACCACATGGTAGTTCTATAATCCAGAAGACAGTCTACTGTTTTTAATGTTTGTAAACTGCATGAGAGTAGACTCACAGGTGTTTGAAGTGTCCAAAGTTACTAGTTTACATATCTGGCAATCTGCCTATCTATAGATTTTACTTTTGCATTTTTCAGAAGCACTACCAAGGATATTCATACCACACACCGTTCCACTGAAGCTCCTCCCTTGAGCAATGCAACTTAACTCCTCCTAATTGCTGTGTTATGTTTACTGCACAGGTTTTCATCCTGACTATCTAGTCTTGCAAGCTACCAAGTGCCAGCAGTTACTTTTTTTTTTAATGGAGGCAAAGAGTCTAGACAACGCTCCCTTCAAGAAATTAACTTGGATCTTATGTAGAAATGGCAAAGGATTATGAGTCCTTTAGAAAGAATTGACAGATGTTAAGGTAGTGAAACTAATGGGCATTTCCACTGAAGCAATAGATTCCCTCCACATACACATTTTCATTGGAAGCAGATTTAAGTCTTATGCATCTTTTGACACATGTAACACGTCATAGATCTTACACCCAGTAAGTGCAAATGTCAGCTATATATGTGTCCTTACAGAAACTAGTGGCACAATATACACTGTCCAAGCTTATGCCCCGGAGAGGTCACTATAGGGTTTGACTTCATCCCTGGAGGTACACTCCATTGCCTCTCAAGACAGGCAGATGCCAACAACATTTGCCATGAAATATCTTCTCATTTAAAGCTGTAATTATGGAACAGTCAAATGTCATGGACTGTCATTAGATGCAGAACACATTGTCCAAACCAGCTGATACTAAGTATTTGGGGAAAATTCATTTCGAAGTTCAAAAGAACAAGAGTTGACCTATGGCTATGCAGTGGCCTGGTATGCAGTTTAGTCTGTATTTTTAAGGGCATATACCTTAGCTTGGTTGGCACAACCAAACCATCTCAATAAATTCAAATCTCAAAAATTCACTTCCATGTGACTTTAAAAGGCAAAAAATAAGGTTATGTGAATTAGACCCTTTTTATAATCTATTCCAAAACCATGTAGCTTACAAAACAAGTGTTTAAAGTGGTAATGAGCAGAATGGCACTAGATGCACATGAACACAATCCCACATTGGCAGGAATGCACATACACTGACATCAATGGAATGTATTCTTTGACTTAGAGAAGGAGAAAAAGGAAGAAACCGAGGTTAAGCCTTCACATAGTAAACTTTTGTGTTTCCTTTGTATAGATTTATCTCATAAAAGCCACTTGAGAAGATGGTTACCCTTGGATCTATCACTAGAACATGCCTCTTCCTGCTTTCTCATGAAACTGGTGTAGATTTAATGATGACTGCACTGAGATTGGCATTTATAACCAAGCCGAATAATCATTTGTATCCTCCTCCTATCCGTGACACTCACTTGACAAAATTCATCATGTCAAATGCTTTCATGGGAAAGTACTTAGGATAAAACAACTCCTTCAAAACAGTCTGCAAAAGATAAACCTTAGTTTAGGCCTTGGTTGATTAAAATACATACTCACTAAATTCCAACAATATCCCATAAATAGATGCTACTGAGATGATACTATTCCATCAGTTTACAATATGTCTAATTCCCCCTACCAGTCTTCCTTGGTTGCAGTTCTGTTTGTAGTTTCCTGTCCCGCTTACCCATCACTGGTAGAGCTGCCATACACCCGGATTTTCCCAGACATTACTGGGCTTTCAAAGGCAGAAATGACATCCAGGGGGGATTTCTGAATTTTTGTTCTGGATTTTAGGCAAGTCAATCGAAAAATCACATTTTTGGGATGTCTTTGTTTTTACTTTTTGAAATATGACAACCCTAATCACTGGAACACTGCCAGGTTCCTGCTGTATCTAATGTTTTAGTGAGACTGTTCCCGTAGAAATTGTGCTGTTCTTCTTTGCAGTGCTAGAATGCATCTTGCTAATTCTCAAACAATTGACAAAATTATGCTTTCTGTGTGTATAGAAATACAGTGCACTTCACTTAGCCTTTCAAACTATTTTACTGGACACATAGTCTGCTCCATCCTGAGGGTTCAAAGTATGTACAATGGTAATTAGCCTACTCTTTCTTTCCCTGCCCTGAATTAGAACTTAATACCTCTCCCTGCCCCCAACCTCATAATTTTCAGCTCTGGTAGACTCAGTTCACCCTGTAGTCAGACACATTTATGTTATTATTCATTCAGTTTATATCCTGCCCTTCCTCCAGAAGGAACTTTTCAAAAATTCAAAGTGTTTCACATATATTAGGCTACTGTAATGTACAATATGGGAGTCTCTCTGAAGATGGTTCAGAAGTTTTGGCTAGGCACAGCTTCCTGGCTGTTTGTGGGGACCAAGTAGTCAGAGTATAAGTCATAGTTCTGCATCAGCTGTGTTGGTTGCTGATGCACTTTCAGGCCAATTTAAAGTGCAGGTGGATATCTTTAAAGCCACAAATCACTTGTGACCTGGGTATTTGACGGTTCGCTTGCACTACAATGAACCTGCCCAGGCCCTAAGATCAGCTACAGAGACCTTTGTTGCCAGCTAGTCATCAGGGTCAATTAGATTAGTAGGCACATGAGAGACAGGCCTTATTGGTGGTGGTCCCATCTCCATAGACCTCCGCCTCTCAGGAGGTGTGTTTTGTACCCATTTTAGTTGCTTCTACACAAACCTTTAAAACTTCGTATTCCAATCTGTTCTTATTTTGCTATTGCTGGTGGAGTTGTAAAACTGTTGTTGCTCTGTGTTTTACCTTTGCTCGTCTACATCAGGATACTTCACTGTCTTAAATTTACTGTATTTTATATGTGATTGGTGTGCATGTGTGTGCATGTGTGTGCACCTCTCTCCCTCCATATATACATATATGCACATAAATAGATATATCTCTGAACGAGCTGGTGTTTCTTGGCTGATTCACACATTCTTTGCTGCTGGGTCTCATTAAAGGTAATTGGCTCCCCTGTGGCTGCAGACTCCCATTCTTTGTTGCTTCTGCTCTAGACTAACAGGCTACTCCTCTGGAATCCTCTGCACAATGAGGTTGCAAGCGGCAGTCATGCAATGCTGTGTCATCTGAGTCCACCCTTGATATCAGAGGAGGAGTTTCATTCAGTTGCATTCACAGAGTTTGTTCCAGGTTCCATGGTTCTCATTACTATATTCCGTAGGCAGATATCAAAGGGCCACATAAATTTCAAAGCACAGTTTTTCAGCCAATCCTAAACCTGTAGGGAAACCATATTCATGGGAGGTTCCCCCTCCTCACCTTCCCTCACGTGCCCCACCCACAAGTATGCCCTTCTAAAATGCTAGCACTTATGAATAGCATTCAGTCAGCATTTTCACACACTCAGCTTGCCAATTAAAAGAGGGCTTGGTACTGAGTTTACAAGTTAATTTAGATACCCCTCCTTTGGGTAAAGAAACGCTTCAAGGAAGGGTGGTGTGCGTACTTATATTGTATCAGATGTCACACCTGCTTGGCTAAGACGCCATGACTCATTAGGTAGCTGGCACTGGGAAAACACAGATTGGTTTCCTTCTGTTTCTGTCACAGCCTGTCATTAAACAATAAAGAAACCAGGCTTCAGTTAAGAGAAAAGGGCATGCCTGTGCCTTAGAAAGAAACTGTCTACATGTCACCTGTCATTTTATTTCATTTTTTTCAAGAGGCAGTCTGATATAATGTCCCAACTGCCTCAGGTACCTCTGAACTAGTCTGGCATAGGGAAAAGGGAAGGGGGAGGGAGAGAAGAGGGAGGCAGCTACAACAATGGGCAGTTGTTAACTCCTTAGTCCCTACCAAACAGCTTAACCCAAGGCAAGTCCATTCATGAGCTTCCCACATTGCTGGTTTGGTGAGTTACTGGAAACCGGGAAAAGCTGCCCTTTCTACTTTTCCACAGCTGTGTGGACTGCAGCCCTATTCATACTGACTCCACACAGCTTCAACTCTGCTGCTTAGCAAGAAGAAACCATTTAGAAACAATACATTTAAACAGTGGCGTAGCATGGGTTGTCAGCACCCGGGGCAAGGCAAGTAATTTGCACCCCCTAACCCGTGGATTTTAGCACTCGAGTGCGAGCGCGCGCCCCCCAGATGTTGCGGCCGGTGCGGCCGGCCCCCCCTGCACCCCCCACGCTATGCCACTGCATTTAAATTTCCAACCCCACCTCAAAACAGTAAACAACATAAAGTTTCATAAAGCTCCAACATGAAAGGCCCAAGAGTTGGAATTAACCTACATCTGTAATATCCTGCAGATTTGAGGATAGTGAAGACTGCATGGATACATTGAGGACACTACTGTAGCAGCATGCAAAATGTGCTATCGCAGACCAATCTTGCAGGCATACTTCAGCTGAAATTAAAACAAGCTTGTGACTTGTCAGTCTGAGCATAGCCCACAAACCCTATATGGTAATTCACCAAGAACTCTCCTGTAGCTTGTTAGCATCCATATGTCTTGAGAGACAATGGAGTGTGCCTCCAGGGGTGAATCCAAGCCACTGCATTAGCAGCACCAAAATGACATCCTCAGGGAGCAAGCCTGGGCAGTGTGTCTGGAGGTCCTGGGATGCCCAGACAACAAGACCCCCCCTCCCCTTTCAGCCTCACTGATCTGGACCAAATGAAAGCAGAGCAATACATTTTGGACCAGCTGGGCTGATGGAGTTGTCGAAAGGAGGTATACAAGGTACCATCCAACCATTTTAGCAATTCCAGTCCAGATTTGTGTGGTATTTATTCCTTAGTCTTTTCTTCTCCTGAATATATTGTGCAAGGCAACAGAGGTTTAGGACCAGAATTCTCCTAAATGGGCTACTTTCCCAGGTTGATGAGTCCCATCAGCCCCTCATTTCCCTCTAATGCAGCCTTTCTCGATCTTGGGTCCCAGATGTTATTGGACTAAAACTCCCATCATCCCTGACTACTGGTCCTGCCAGGCTGGGGTGATGGGAGCTGTAGTCTAACAACATCTGGGGACCCAAGGTTGAGAAAGGCTTCTCTAGTGTATGTGCAGAAAGCGCCTTCTTGACCATTGAACCCAGCATTGGTCTTGTCTGCTCAATCTGCCAGAGCTTGTCTTTGCATGCAAAGGAAATCCTTAACTCACCAAGAGTTTGAGACCCATTAGTTACCCTCACCTGGTTTAGTTGGCCAGTCAGAGCCATTCCTGGGATGTGGCCGCTATCACATGCTGATAGCTTCTAGGAGCCACAGTTGAGAACTGCATGCAGAGACCAAAGGTGGACAAACTACCCCAGAAGGAGCATGATGTGCCCACACCAGAGGTACTACCCTTCCCCTAACACCCCATACACCCTGACTGCCTATCTAGAACTGCAAAAGCTGGGGGCGGGGGTTGCCAAGCACCTGGCTGGCAAGCTGAATAGGGTTTGATGAACAGGGGAGGGCGGGGCACTCACTGCCCCACAGGATTCTGCTGCCCAAGTCCTGGCCAGAGGAAGTGGACTTTGTAGCACCCACATTCTTTTAGCACTCCCTGTTCTTATGCATTAGTCTTAACAAAAATAGCACTTTTTCCTCCATGGACCTCAGAGTGTCATATGTAAGGTTATGCCAATTTATCCACAGAACAATCCTATGAGGTATCATATCCACACCATGCACTCTTATACCAGTCATGCCTTCCACATCCCCAAAGCAACCTGGGAACTATAGTTTGTTAAGGGTGCTGGCCTCACAGACCTACAGCACTCGTAACAAACTAAAGGTACCAGAATTCTGCATGACTCTTAAAAAGAGACCCAATTGTTGCAGGTTCACCCACTGAGCTTTGTGCCTGAGCATGGATTTGAGCTCATGTCTCTGCAGCCCAAGTCTAGCATATTATTCACACCATACTGGCTGTAAATGTGACAGATTTTCAACTCACACATTTAGCTCTGCAAAAGGCATGGCTGGTTTTTGTATGTGGGAAGTCACACATTTTTTATTTTTTAATGTGGGAGGTAACCTGGAACCTGTGTATGCAAACTTATCTGTCCCTGTGATAATGCACCATCCTTATCTAATTTGTCAATGCTGTTGCCATAAGTGTGAGCACAAATTGGGTCTTTGCACTACTACCTTTAACCAGTCTGACAATCTGGGTTATGTATTTACAATAGACAATTAGCATATGACGCCTTTTGACATTTCCTGTCTTCTCCCTGCCCTCTTTGATCATGGCGACAAAACCTTTCGGACAAGCAGAAAACAGCAGCTTTATTATTTCAGATAATGACACCAATTACTTTGTCTTGTTGTGAATAATCTGATTTGGGAAATACCACGTTCCACCCATCACTCAAATGACACAAGGTTACCGCTTGCCTTCAGCTAACGACATAGACACTGACAATGTACGTCAACACTTCCCACCTTCTTGTAAAACTTCTCAGGAAGCTTATACAAGAAGAAACCTGCCTTCTTTGCACTGCCTCCCCTTTGCAATGCCATGTAGTAAAATTCCAAACACATGTAAGTTCATGCAATGGAGTTCTCTCTTCGTCTCCTCCCCCCCTGCAGTCCCCTGCAACCAGTAAAAAGCCTCTGCAACCCAATGTCCCTGTTGCAAATCACACAGCACATAAACTGTGGAATCATAGAATCATAGAGTTGGAATAGACCACAAGGGCCATCGAGTCCAACCCCCTGCCAAGCAGGAAACACCATCAGAGCACTCCTGACATATGGTTGTCAAGCCTCTGCTTAAAGACCTCCAAAGAAGGAGACTCCACCACACTCCTTGACAGCAAATTCCACTGTCGAACAGCTCTTACTGTCAGGAAGTTCTTCCTAATGTTTAGGTGGAATCTTCTTTCTTGTAGTTTGGATCCATTGCTCCGTGTCCACTTCTCTGGAGCAGCAGAAAACAACCTTTCTCCCTCCTCTATATGACATCCTTTTATATATTTGAACATGGCTATCATATCACCCCTTAACCTCCTCTTCTCCAGGCTAAACATGCCCAGCTCCCTTAGCCGTTCCTCATAAGGCATCGTTTCCAGGCCTTTGACCATTTTGGTTGCCCTCCTCTGGACACGTTCCAGTTTGTCAGTGTCCTTCTTGAACTGTGGTGCCCAGAACTGGACACAGTACTCCAGGTGAGGTCTGACCAGAGCAGAATACAGTGGCACTATTACTTCCCTTGATCTAGATGCTATACTCCTATTGATGCAGCCCAGAATTGCATTGGCTTTTTTAGCTGCCGCGTCACACTGTTGGCTCATGTCAAGTTTGTGGTCAGCCAAGACTCCTAGATCCTTTTCACATGTACTGCTCTCAAGCCAGGTGTCACCCATCTTGTATTTGTGCCTCTCATTTTTTTGCCCAAGTGCAATACTTTACATTTCTCCCTGTTAAAATTCATCTTGTTTGTTTTGGCCCAGTTCTCTAATCTGTCAAGGTCGTTTTGAAGTGTGATCCTGTCCTCTGGGGTGTTAGCCACCCCACCCAGTTTGGTGTCATCTGCAAATTTGATCAGGATGCCCTTGAGTCCATCATCCAAGTCGTTGATAAAGATGTTGAATAAGACCGGGCCCAAGACAGAACCCCACTAGTCACTCTTCTCCAGGATGAAGAGGAACCATTGATGAGCACCCTTTGGGTTCGGTCAGTCAGCCAGTTCCAAATCCACTGAGTGGTAGCATAGTCAAGACCGCATTTTACCAGCTTCTTTACAAGAATATCATGGGGCACCTTGTCGAATGCCTTGCTGAAATCAAGGTAGGCTACATCCACTGCGTTCCCTTCATCTACCAGGCTTGTAATTCTGTCAAAAACGAGATCAGGTTAGTCTGACATGACTTATTTTTCAGAAATCCATGCTGACTATTGGTGATCACAGCATTCCTTTCTAGATGCTCACAGACTGTTTGCTTAATGATCTGCTCCAGAATCTTCCCTGGTATTGATGTCAGACTGACTGGGCGATAATTATTTGGGTCCTCTCTTTTCCCCTTTTTGAAAATAGGGACAACATTTGCCCTCCTCCAGTCTGCCGGGACTTCGCCTGTTCTCCAGGAATTCTCAAAGATGACTGCCAGTGGTTCTGAGATCACATCTGCCAGTTCTTTTAATACTCTTGGATGCAGTTCATCTGGCCCTGGAGACTTGAATACATCTAAACTAGCCAAGTATTCTTGTACTATCTCCTTCGTTATTCTGGGCTGTGTTTCCTCTGCTGAATCATTTGCTCCAAATTCTTCAGGTCGGGCATTGTTTTCTTTATCGGAGAAGACTGAGGCAAAGAAGGCATTGAGGAGTTCAGCCCTTTCTGTGTCCCCTGTTTGCATTTCACCATCTTCTCCTCTGAGTGACCCCACTGTTTCTTTGTTCTTCCTTTTGCTACGGACATACCCATAAAAGCTTTTTTTTGTTGCTTTTAACCTCTCTAGCAAGCCTGAGTTCATTCTGTGCTTTAGCTTTTCTGACTTTGTGTCTACACGTGCTGGCTATTTGTTTGAATTCCTCTTTGGTGGTTTCCCCTTTTCCATTTTTTGTACACATCCTTTTTAATCTTAACTCAGTTAAAAGTTCTTTAGATAGCCACCCTGGCTTCTTTAGGCACCTTCCATGTTTCCGTCTCATTGGTATTGCCTGAAGTTGTGCTTTTACTATATCCCTCTTAACAAACTCCCAGCCATCATGAACTCCCTTTCCTTTTAGTATTACTGTCCATGGGATCTCACCCAGCACTTCCCTAAGTTTTATGAAGTCGGCTTTCTTAAAGTCAAGAAATTGAGTCCTAGTATGCTTGGCTGCTCCTTTCCGCTGTATAGTAAACTTCAGAAGAGCATGATCACTCGCGCCTAATGATCCTTCCACTTCTACCCCACTAACCAGGTCATCAACATTGGTTAGGACCAGATCTAAAATGGCTGTTCCTCTTGTTGCTTCTCCCACTTTCTGGACAATGAAGTTGTCTGCAAGGCCAGTGAGGAATCTGTTTGACCTTATGCTCTTGGCTGAGTTTGACATCCAACAAATATCCGGGTAATTGAAGTCCCCCATTACTACTATCTCCCTTCCTTTTGCATGCTTGGCCATCTGTTCCAGGAAGGCATCATCTATGTCCTCCGTTTGGCTTGGGGATCTATAGTAAACTCCCACAATGAGGTCACTGTTATTCTTCTCTCCCTTAATTTTGACCCAAATGCTCTCACTTTGGCTTTGAGGTTCTAAATCTTGGATCTCTTCACAGGTATACACATCCCTGACATATAACGCCACTCCTCCTCCTTTCTTGTCTGGTCTGTTTCTCTGAAATAGATTGTATCCTCCATTATTACATTCCAATCGTGGGACTTATCCCACCAGGTTTCAGTGATGCCTATTATGTCATATTTAGTTTGCTGTACCAAGAGCTCAAGCTCATCTTGTTTATTTCCCATGCTTTGTGCATTAGTGTACAGACATTGAAGTCCATTAATCATTCCCCGTGTCTCTTATTTAAGGATTTTTCCTCCCACCACTAGGTCTGCGTGCTGTTTGCTCCATTTGGTCTATGACATTTGGATGATCATCTTCATCAATTGATAGACTCCTACCTTCAGGAGCACTGTCTCCCTCCCCACATTAGTCAGTTTAAAGCCCTCCTGATGAGGTTTCTGAGATTTTTGGCAAAAACATTTCTCCCAACCGTTGTGAGGTGCAGCCCATCGCTTGCCAGAAGTCCATCTTCAAGAAACTGCAGTCCGTGATCTAAGAATCCAAACCGTTCCTGTTTACACCATTTGCGAAGCCAGCTGTTCACTTCCACTATTTTTCCCTCTCTCCCTGGGCCACGTCGTTCAACTGGGAGGACAGATGAGATGACAATTTGTGCATTTAATTGCTTCAATTTCCTGCCCAGAGCCTCGTAGTCTCTTTTGATCTTCTGGAGGCTATTGCTTGCAGTGTCATTGGTTCCCACATGAACCAAGAGGAGGGGGTATTTGTCAGTGGGTTTTATGATTCCTTGCAGTCGTTCAGTTACATCTTGGATCTTAGCCCCGGGAGACAGCACACTTCCCGAGACATCTTGTCAGGCCCACAGATCACTGCTTCTGTTCCCCTCAGTAGGGAATCCCCTATCACCACTACACGCCTCCTCTTAGGTTTGGTCGGGGTTCTTCCATGAGCTGTCCGTTCCAAGGTCGCCTGCACATTCCCTGAGGACTGACTTTGCTGCTCGTCTTCATATACCTGATCGACTGTAATGAGGGAGAGATCCTCAAATGGAGTCTGTTCTTCGTCTTCCATGCTAGGGGAGAGGACTTCAAAGCGATTGTGTATTTCTAAACAATCAGAGCGAACCCTGGGCCTCCTACTTCTTTGAGTCACGTTTCTCCATATATCTGGCACCTGTGTTGGTAAACTAGCCTCCTTCTTAGGGGTGTCCCCTGTCTCCTCCTTGGTGGAGACGGTGTTCTCTGTTGCTTCCAAGAAGAGCTCCAGCTCTCTAATTCTTTGGAGCGTAGCTACACGTTCCTCCAGTTGCTGGACTTTGTCTTCTAAGAGGGCAATCAACATACAATTGCTGCAGGTAAAGCTGCCTGCAACCTTTGGCAAGATGGCAAACATTGCGCAGGAACCGCAGGTGACTGCAGCTGTTCCCTCACCCTCCATCTTGAAAACGTGTCGTTTGGGGTGGCTACAGTGGTCCTCCATCTTAAAAAGTGTGAAGACAGGACAAATAACCCCCCCAAAAAAAAACCTAGGTCTCCCCCAACAAACGTTTGAGACTAGCTCCCCTAAATCTAAAAGATGGATCAAACTGGGAGAGCAGCTAATCAGCCACAAGCACACACACAAGAAAACCCTTTTGCTCCTCCTTCAGCTGCTGCCCTGCAAGCTCTGATAAGCTCCTCCCACAGCTAATCACCTGACTCAACAGAAACCCTGCCCCCTCTGACCTTTGCACAGGGAGAGCAGCTAATCAGCCACAAACACACACCAAATTGCTCCCACAAGAGGCAGTGCTGGCCACGGGCTTGGATGCCTCTAAAAGAGGCTTAGACAAATTAACAGAGGCTACGTTCTGCTTCCAGGGTCAGAGACAGTATGCTTCTCAATACCAGTAGCTGAAAACATCAGGAAGGCAGCTTGCTGTTACAATCAGATCCTGCTTGTGGGCATCTAGTTGGTCACTGTGAGAACAGGAAGCTGGACAAGGTGGTCCACTGGCTTGATCAAGCAGGGATGTTCTGGTGTTTGATGTTCCTGCATTTTGAATGCAATCATTCTCAGGCCCAATGACATTTGTTATGCACACGGCTGTGCCATTTATGTATAAAACTAGTGGTTTTATACATTATACCTTAGCTAGTAGTGCTGGTATACTTTTTACAATAAAGCATGCATGTGTAAGAGGGGAACTAGAGTCTGCTTTCCCCCTGCCTTACTGCTTACATGCTATCAGTGCCAACCAGCCCTGCCTTTGACATCATGTGCTGAAACTAGTACCATTTTCTGGGAGTCCATATGTTACAGCACATGCCTCTGCAAGAAGGGGAGCTTCACATGTACAACTGTGGAAGTGAAGGTTTCCACATGATCTCATACCCCAATTGCTCATGGAGATGTGCTAAAGCTCTCTCCCTGAAGATGTCCACAACGTATTTGAGCATACAAATTTTCTGTAACTGCACTCTATTCCAGGCCTAGGAATTGAGAAAATGTATAATGACATGCATCTTATCCTCAGATAACTCTGTAAATAAATTTAGCTTTGGAATGCCCTCCTCGAGTAATTCAGGAGGCATAGACAACAAAGAGCTTTAAACACTTCTTAAAATTGTGTATGCTTACCTAGGCTGTCCCACACTCTAACTCTTAATTCCTTATTTATTTATTTTTCCATTGTTCAGCTTCATTTAATTCCATATAGTCTCATTGGATTTATTTATTTTTACTCAGTCTATATAATTTTTACCGAATCTTGTTGTATTAAGTACAGTATTGTATTCATATTTAAGTGGGTGGGATGTTTTAATGTATTTCTCTTTCCTCTTGGCTTTAATGTATCTAAATGGGGTTTATTGTCTATTTGTTTTGTTGTATGCAAGTCTTTTTGGGTTTTGCTGGACAAGATAAAGTGACTGACAAATATAATAAATAAATGATATTGGTATTTTCCCTAATATTTACCTATGGCTTATATTTTGCATATTTTATGCAAATTGCTTAGAGAACCTGCTATATTAAGTGGATACAAATTGGATGTATGAATCAGTAATTGTGTATAAACAAAGTAATAGCTTTTTCAGGCTTTCACTCCTTGTGTCAATTGAATGCATGCAAGGAGGCCCTACTCACCAGCCAAAGCATGTGCATTCTGTAGCAGGAATTTAAAAGGTTACGGTCAGAGGTTTATCACGTCCATTTTCCCATTTTCATTTATGTGTTTCTGTCTTGCACAATTTCCCAGAAAAAAGTCAGGCCTAAGAAATTTGATTTCTACAGGTTGTCTTCAAATTCATGACTCACTGCTGACTTGAGCTGAAATAGCTACAGACCCAACTACAAGATGTAACAACCTCCCAGACTATGATTCAAGGGGGAAAATCTGTCATTTCTGAATAGTTCAAAGCCAGCTGTTTTCTTTTCTCCTGTGCCAATAGGTTGTCTGTGGTTCTGTCCATTTTATTTCAACACATTCAGGCCAGGAGTGGCAAACCTGTGGCCCCTCAGATGTTGCTAAAGTTCAGCTCTCATCATTCCTAGCCATTGGCCATGCTGGTTGGAAATGATGGGAGTCCACATCTGGAGGCCAAAGATTCCCTTTTCCCCAGTTTTATCTACTTCTTTGCAAAATAGAAATCCTGAAAGATCAGCTTCAGAATAATAGAAACCATAGTGGTGAAGACAAATCTATTCTTCCTCACCCACTTACCCTCCACCCATTATAGTCTAAGTTAACTTCTCTTGATACAATACTTTGGGACGGTGTTGTCTTCTGAAGACATGGCCTGTCTGTTCCACTTGGATTTTCATAGATGTCTGCATTCCTTTTCTTTGACTTTTCATCACATAACCATTTTTCAAGACCAAATCAAGCTGCTTTGTGTGGTCACATGATCTTGGCAGGATGTCATATTGGGTGCTAAAAGTACCACACTGGTGGAGAAGCGGCACTAGCATTGGTGCCGGCTTCCAGAAAGATCTCACTAAAATATTGCAAGATCTCGCCAGAGGTTGGCATCAGTGTTGGTGCTTCATGCCACTGCTGTGCAACCTAGGTATGAGATGCTTCAACAGGGGTAGGTCAGCACTTCTCATTTTGCCTCAGTGTTACTTTTGTGCTTCTAGGATTTGCTGAACAGCTCGGATTTTGTTAACTTATTATTTGAGCATGTATTGTGAGGTAATGATCATTTTTAAAAAATAAATAAATCTGTTTTTATTACTGTTTGTTAGCTCCTTTAGTGCCTTTGGAGAAAGAGGCAGCACAGACATCTTTAACATTTCCATTTATTTACTTACTATCAGGTGTGCTTGAGGCTGCACGGAATATAAAAAACAAATCTACACAAATCCTGTCTAAAACACTTATACAGTGGTACTTCATGCTGCGTAACCTCCAGGTTACGGAATCTTCAGGTTACGGCCGCAGCAAACCCGGAAGTGGGTTTGCTGCTCGTGCGTACGCAGACGTGGTCCTCCGGTTACGAAATTTTTGGGATACAGCCAGGCCTCTGGAACGGATCCCTTTCGTAACCAGAGGTACCACTGTGTGTCTTTTTACAGGTTCAGTAACCACTTTGAGATTGTTGTTTTTACAGTCAAGTGGTATAAAAATTTTATGAAATAAAATAAATTCTGATGAATTAATGCCGATCTACAAATCAATGGAGAATGGGTACTTGCTTTTTCTATGTAGTTCACACATAATCTAGATCTAGTGCATTATTTTTTTACCCTGAAAGGCATTTCTTGAGAAACAAGCTTCATTTTAATAATAAAAGCTCCTTGCAGAGTGATTCTGCATTACTCTGCAGTGTAGTGCAGCTGAAAGCAGATACCAGCGGTCCTGACAATGGAGCTACATCAATACCTGCCCAATGGTGTTGTAAGTGGGTATATATCAAAATTATGATCATTTCTTGCTTCATTTGCCTTGGGCATGGGCAGGGAGGAAAAGGCATGGATATGGGTATGGGTAACCATACCCACTCTGGTGGATAGCAGGATCTAGAATCAACCTAGATCAAAAGAAGCATGTTAAAGATCAGCATGAACTACGTTTTTGTGCTATAGAAGGGCTGGTGTGTACACAGTCTGAGTCTGCTGACGGTACGTTAAGTCAGATCTGTTAAGCAAGAGAGAAAACCAGGACGAGACAGACAATGACATATGAATAACAGGGATAGGCAAGGTGAGGTAGGCAATAAAAGAGCAGGTGTAGCTTATTAGAGTAGCTCTAGTTCCAGAAAGGCTTTGATAAAATCTTAAGCAGTGACTTAAAGGAGGAGAGGGAAGCAAAACTGAAGGTGTATTAAAGTGGAATAAAATTTGGAATACAGATCCATTGTTTTACAGAGCCACTGATCTTGACGTGAACCTTCAGAGGCAGTTGGTAACAACTTCTGTTCTCCAAGCTGTCTTGAAGAGTTTGTCACAATTAGTCATGAAATTGCACTGATCAGACTTGCTGGCCTGTTGTCAGCTATGGAATGAGGATGCCTTTTACTTCCACAAACCCAGGGTCCACCCTCTCCTGACCTCCTCCCTCCATGTACAATAAAAGTAATATGGTTGCACTCTGAGATCCCCAGTGAGTCAAGGTGATCTTGCTTGTTGGCTCAAGAGGGAGATGCTCCTCAGAATGCATCCTCACATCCCATTCATTTTCTGGCAGAGGAACAATGACTCATCCTGTGATGAGGTCAGACACTACTTCATAGTAACTGTCCAAGTATATTTTTTCTCTTGTAGTAATACTGTGGTGTTTTACCACAAGGATGGTGTGTGTTGTTTTTAATGTGACATTAAAAATTGGATGCTGATTTAAAGTAGCACAGCAAGTAAACTGTACAGAGACCCAATCTCTTTCTGCCAAGAAGCTCAACTAAATAGCCATTTCTGGCATTCCCCTCTACCTAACTGCAACTGCATGTGAGGGGAGAGCAGGGATGATTCTGCTGACACCACCCCAGTTATTGCAACCCCACTGCACTCCATCACTCTGAGCCAAACCTACCTTACAGGATTGAGATGAGGATAAAACAAAATACGGCATAAGCATCTTGAAGGACACCGTGCAAAAAAAATATTATAATTTACTACATAGAATTTATAAACTATCTTTTTCCAAAGGTCCCAAAGTGTACGCTGACTATGAAATAATGTCATCTACAAAGCACAATCAATTAAAATAAAATCCATACAGTACCATACAAATATTAATTACAGCATCAAGGCAATACAGACAGCCAAAGCCCAAAGGCAGAATTAGTCAGTTGCTCCAAAGGCTTTTGAGAAAAGATATTGACTGGAGAGCGGAAGACCCTTAGTAACATTACCATCTATGACTCTTAAGGGGAGAGAATTGTACAGACATGGCACAGTCATCAAGAAGACCTGTATAAAACTGTTGAATAACAGGCCTGGTGCAAGTGTGGAGGACTGCCTCTTCCTCCTCCTCTACACCACTGCCACCTCATCCACCACTGTGCCTCCTTTCTCCTCCTGGGTGTTGTGGGTGGCACTGCTGCCATTCTACAACTGTCACCTTTGCTGTTGTATGTGTAAGTGTTCTTCCCCAATAGTTGTACTGTAGCAACTGAGACAACCTCTGGAGCATTTGCTCTGAAGAAGGGCTGCTTTCAAGCAATATCATACCACTTTAAACTATACCAGGCATAGGCAAACTCGGCCCTCCAGATGTTTTGGGACTACAACTCCCTTCATCCCTGACCACTGTTCCTGTTAGCTAGGGATGATGGAAGTTGTAGTCTCAAAACATCTGGAGGGCCGAGTTTGCCTATGCCTGAACTATACCATTTTGTTTCCCTCAGGCCATCCTGGGAACTGTGATTTGTTCAGGGTGTTGAACACTGAATTGTTGGGATGCCTAAATGACTGGGAATGTGACATAATTTCTCCATCGATCTGTGGCATCACAGGTACTCAAGATTTTCCAGGTAACATAATGTAAAGATGCCAAGGATGCAACTTGTTCTGAAGCATTTGTTCAGCTGACTTAATGGATAGACTTGATTACATATTTCTTGTACTTGGGTTCCAAATTAGCCATACTAGAGCCGTGTACTCTTATAGAATACAGTTCATGTATACTTATTTGTGAGTACGTAGATTTATAATGTAAAGGTCTTTAATGCTTAAAGCGTCACTGTTCTTTATGGGCAGGAAACTGTAATGTTCAAAATCCACATCAAACACTCTCAGTTTGAATAATTATTATGCTCCTGGTGTACACTTGATATAAGTAGCAGCCATGAGATATATTTAGAAATTGTCCATGCAAAGTACTTAAATAATTATTACTAATCTGCTGTGTCTCAGGTTGGACGCTGTAAAAGTAGATGACCTACTGTCAGAAGAAATCTAAAAGAGACCTCAGTTATATATACGCAAGGGTGTGATCTACCAAGCATAACCATCATGTGTCTCCATGTGAGGTCCAAATTAGACAGAATGTGAAATGCATTACTGTATTGCACATATATCTGTCAATAAATAGCAGCCATGGAAAGTGGTTGTGATCAGAATTGTGGCATGTAGGAAGAGGGTTAACTCTTTCCCCATGCATTGCAGTTCCAATACAAATCCTCCCCACCAACTGCTACATACCTTGGAAGGAATACTACCATTTGCAGGCTTTCCTCCTGAGGTTAATTACAACTTCGATGCACTGTAACTTCAGAGCTGCTATTTTGACAATCAACAGCAAGACAGATATGTATAATGCAATCAAACGTTTTATATATAGGCCCTGTTCACACAATATGGTAAGCCAAATTATGGCTTACCAAGACTACATAAACTCACAGGCTCCCAGAGAGGAGGTCACAGCTGTTTTGCTTCTCCCCAGTCCTTCAGCTTAGCTAAGGTGTGGCATAACTGCATCACCCAAACAGGGGCTTGTGTCTTCTCACTTGGCTGCAGCTTGTGGCTAGTGAAGAAAGAGCTCACCCACTCCTGTTCTGTCTGCATTCTATTGTCTCCAGAGTCAGACTCTGGCTCTCTTTGTACTGGCAATCCTTCATCTCCCAAGTCAGACTCTTCCCAGGCATTCGATTCAGCCACATCCCTGACATCCTCTCTTTTTCATAAATCTTTAATCCACCAACACAAATAACTCCCTAGTGGCAATATATACGTATGGCAGGAGTCCATCTACCACAAATACTCCTGCACATTATTAACAGTTGGCTTTTGGAAATGAAGAAGGCAATAATGCATTCATAAGCAAATCTGAATGATTCAGGTGCTAAAAGTTCTTGAAACGTAAACAAGGAGATTTGTAAAGAACAAAAGTCATATGGGAAAGAAAAAAGTCATTTTCACCTAGGTAGTCTTAGCGCATTGATTTCTATCTGGGTGTAGTTCTTGCCCAAGATTAAAGGTCATACTTTAACGGAAGGAGGAACAGCTTATTCTAATAGTAGCTCATTATCCTTATTTAGCTATAAGATGAGCATAACTGATAGCTTTTGAGTTTCATTTATTAAAATTTCCTTGATGTACCTAATGACCCCCCAGGGGTTGCTGTGCCCACTTTCCACACCCAGTTTCTGAAACTTCACGCAGAAGATAAGACTCATAAATGATTGAGAAGGTGGTGACTTATTGCCCTCACATCCTTAACCTAATATTATGACTGGACTTAAGAGATTAGACAGGTGCAACTACACCTATTTTAGCCTCTAGTCGGCACATAAATATTCTATGACTAGTTCAACATGCCCCAAAGGGATTTTGGACTTTTATTTTCCCAAAGAGCAGACCTCCCATGTGGTATGCTAAATTGTTTTTTTGAAACTGTGGGGTGTTTCAGGAAGAATTGTGATATAGCACAGATATTGCCTATGCAAAGGAAAGCATCAAAAATCCCATTAGACATAGTGAAGCCCTTGGATACATATGTCTGTGTGTGTCAGAGAGACAGAGAACACTTGTTATGGTGTCTTTATAATATGGGTGTAATTTTCAAAGTAGAGCATACTACAATCAAGATAGACTCCAAAAGCATGTGGCACAGCCACTGATCCCGCTTCAGATTCCCTAAACAACAGCATGGGCCCTCACAGCCTGGCTCCTTCCAGTTCAGCTATCTGTAGCTGAAAACTCTCCGTGCTCTCTTGATTTGTTTCCAAATTCCAGCTTGGCCTACTGTCTTCTCGACAGCAAAGAGACAAGGGGAAGAAATCATAGGTTTTGTGCACACCAACAATCAAAGTGTGACAGGCAGGGGCAGAGGTTTGATCAAGCGCCACGCCTTCATTGTGTACAGTTGGAAGACAACATGGAAGAGGTTGCTGCTTCTGTCACATCAGAATCCACCTTTGATCTCACACACATAAGGAAGCAATATTTAACACCACATCTACTGAAAACAGTGGGTGGTTATATACTTTCAAAAAAAAAATCCATGGAACAACAAATACCATCAAGCCACTATAAATGCAAGATAAACCTCTCAGTTTTCTGTTCTAGCTAAAAGGGAGGGGAAGTTTAGTTTATGATACCTCTCTCCATTCAAGGAACAAAGAGAGCTTGTGTGTCAGCTAGAACACTTATGCTTTTCTCTTTACTTTTAAGACTCTCACTGCACAAGCTTATACATACAGTATTTGCTTGGAATAAAGGCTCACTGAGTTCAGTGGGATTTCCTTTAGGTAAGAAGGAATGGGATTGCAATCTAAGAAGCTGCAACAGTTGCATTAATGACAGGGCTGGCCTGCCAAGGTGAGGAGACCACCTCAGGCAGCGGAATCCACAGGGACAGCAGATCCCAGTGTCAAGCTTTCTCTCCCCCCCCAACCCCCAGTTCCTGATGTGGATCTTCCCTCACACCTTCTTCCCTGGTGAGGAAGGGGGTGCCACTTGTGGTCCACCTCAGTTGCCAAAATGTCTTGGTACAGCCCTGATTAATAATTACCATCCATCACAAAGCAACGTAAAACAAATGGAACCTCAAAGTCTCTTTGGTCCTGATGTATTTTCATGTCCAAATGGATATATTTTTCCAACATATTTTACGCATAGTTTTCTGTGTTTGTATGAGATTGAGGGAGATGAAGCTGTGAGCTCTCAGTACTGGATTTTTGTACTAAGAACAAGCCCCAATTTTTCATATCCAAAGTAGATCTGAGAACTATCACTCTGAAGCTAGATATTAAGTACAAAGCATTAGTCTTGACATGTTCAGTGCCTTAGGGATTCAACAGTGTGCACACTGGAAAGAAGAATGCCTTTGTCCTTTAGCCAAGGAAGCAATTATTTCTGCAGCTGATTATTTGTATAATGATTGGTTAAAATAGGGTGTACCTGCTGCAGAAGCTCATGAAAACAAGTGCTTGGCTTTAATTTTGCAGCTTCTACTTTATTTGATGGGTTAAATTCTTCCAGTACTGTTGCTAAAAATACCTGTTTTTGGAATTTTTACAACAGGCAGTGTTTTTATTTACAGTGTAGTCTTCATTCCACTCCACCCACAAAACACACACTACTAGCATTTAATTCACCCCTTAAGAAAAGAGGGGGCGTTCTGAGGCATTAAGAACAATCAGTTGTAAAACAGATGTTACATAAAATTCTTCCCTATCCCATTTCTGACTTCCATCTTCTCCATATTTTTTGGAAAGCTGTTAGCTTGTGATGCATTTGGACACCTCGTATGATATCAAAATCAATTTTTGCATGATTTCTGAGATGAAAGAGCAATTTTGCATATAAGTTGATGCCATTTTGAATCAAGTTAGTGGACTGAACTTCTCCAAACTGAACTAATTTTTATTTTTTTCACTTCTCAAATTTCCTGAGTGACACCAAGTATGAGGCTGCTATTACTTTATATATACAATGCTACATATTACGTATAGACACCACTAACCAGTACATCTGTGCATACTACATTCCTCTGTCCCTTAGGAGAGAAATATACTATAGGTGTTTGCAGTGTTCAAAACTCCCATTGTTCTAGGTGCATTTTGTGACAGGGAATTTCATTAGCGCAAGCAGTTTCTGAGCTCTGGGCACAGTACTGTGCCTAAAAATTCAGATTAAACCTGCAGAGTGGATGGAAAGGAGGACCTTTTTCTGCCTCTCTACTTCCTGCTACTCTCTGGAGAAGAGAGCCTCTTAAGAATAGGGGGTGGGGCAGGGGAAGGACTAGACCATGTGAAAAATTAACATAATATTTTAGCTGTAGTTCATTCATTTTTAGCTTTGTATTTTTGTTATTAAAAAAAACACACCTCCCATAACCGAGGTTTAAGGTGCCATTTAGCCATTTGTTTTCCTCAAGCACTGTAAACCAAATAATGCTTTAATGAAAAGTATAAGAAGCACCTGAAAGACATTCCCAGTAAGGAAGAAAATTTCTGGGAACCTATATTAGCACCCTCTGCTGTAGTTCATAGGCACTGGCTGATGCGCTGGGAGGGGAATTGCAGAACCAGGGTTCTGCATAGCTCCCTTCAGAAGACGTAAAACTTCAAGTAGCTCTTGCTTACCTCTAAGCATCGAGACCAATGTCTGAGGATTTTCTTGTTGGCATCCTACCCAGTGGCACAGTAGTACATCTTTAAGTTCAGGAGCTCATCATAACAACCCCCATTGCCGTGTTCACATGGAGAATCCAAAAATACAGGCAGTTATACATCAAACAGCAACAGTACATAATACCAAATTTATTAGCCTCAGCATGCCTAAGGAACCTGAGTAAAGAAAAGGAAATGAATATCCAACCTCTGCTCAGTTATCTTTGTCATTCTCTGATTTCTAGGTTCTCACAAACAAACTTGAAAGCCTTGTGGTCACCATCATTCACTTGGCAGATCATGAAGGGTCCACCCAGTATCCCAGTGTGGATAATATCACCCATACTCTGAAAAATAGGACTTAGAGCTGTGCTTCTCTATGCTCCACTATTCTCCCTATGCCACCAAATAAATATTCTGAACTGGATAAATAAATGGTAAAATATTCCGTAATGGGATGCCCAGAAGTGCCCACAGCTGTACATTTTCCTTGAGCAAAATTATATTTTTAAAAAAGATTAGCCTTGTGGGGTTTCAAGACACATATGGTTAAATGTTAAAAAATACATCTTCTTATACAACACGACATATAATGGCTGAGAACTGAATGTGTGCCAGAAGGTATGGGATTATTTTGCTGAGTGCAGTGCAATCTTGGGCTGCATACACACTGTATCCTGAAAGCATGTTCAAAGCACATTTCCCCTCTCTGGGCACTTGAGTTTACCCCTCGCAGAGCTTCAGTAGACAGCCACCCTGAATAGACTACAGTGGCCAGAATTCTTTGAGGAAGGAAATGTGCTTAAAATGTGTTTTAAAGGTACAGTGTCGGCAACCTCATCAAAAACAGTTTGGCTTGGCTGGTCTCCTTTGACAGCTGTCTGCAACACCAAACCTGCCAAGCAGCTTTTCTCGGGTGGGGACTTGGGTGAATAATTAGCCTTGAGCAATGAAACTCCAGAGCCACACCTTGCTTGACTCTCTGATTTCTCCTCTCACTGCTGGAACCACATTATGACAGGGATGCTACAATCTTGATCATTCTCATGATCAAAGCATTGACACTGTTTATTATATATGTGTGTATATATATTTCTTTTGTGCCAGTACAGCTGTTGAAGCCGTCAGCTTAATTGTGCTGGAAGCCCAATACTTCGTTTTGGTGTGGCAGGTTCTTTGGAATGCTTTGGTATTTACCTCCACTATGAGAACTTTCTTATTCTTTTCAGCCCCACCTCAAGAATCCAAAATTGTATGACACATACTTCTGTGATAACGCCATCAAGAATACCTGCAACACACCATCTGAATTTGTCTTATTTAAAGGACAGCCTTATTTTAAAGTGTTAAAGAGAAAGGCAAATCTTTTAATGAGCTATTATGATAGCCTAAACGTGATAATGTTGCTAATGTCTTCTACTTCATTAATCTAAGACAGGAATTTAAAAGGGATATAAAGTCTCATATCCTAGAATAATTTTTTTCTGAAACTTAAAAGGGTGGGTAGAAGAAAAAAGAAGAGTGTCTCATCACTAGCTCTGGCCCCAATTAATTTTGGCTTTGGCACCACCCACTGATGACTTCAGTCCCACCCATATTTGGTATTTGGCTTCTAAGAGATTTACCACAAGATAATGCAACCCTTTGATTCAAAAATGTTCCCAAGTCCTGTCTTAAAGGGCTGCAGTAAATGTTCATTGGGAAAAACTAAGCACAAAAACTAAGTCAGGGCCGTCTTACCCATAGACACTAGTGGTGCGGGGCGCCAAGTTCTGGAGGGTGCCAGGCGAGAGTCCAGGGAATACCGAACGAGCACGCTGAGTGAGCAAGGGTGCGTGAGCTGCTACCGCCAAGCGTTGCCTCGGTTTTTTCCTTTTAGCCTGCAGGCACCGAATTCTGTGGGGCGCCAGAAGGTTAAAGGGGAAAAACCGAGCTGATGCTCGGCAGGAGCGGTGCATGCGCCCTCGCTTGCTTAGCGCAGGCCCGCTCGCTCGGTATGCTTGCTCGCCCAACAGGTTGAGGCACAGGCATGCACAGTGCCCCTCCTGCTAGCCATCTTTGTCTTTGAGCCGGGTATCAGGCACTGTGGAAATCCACGGGGCCGGCTCCCCAGGCCCGCTCACTGCCCTCACCTGCTTCCGCCATGCCGCGCCAAAGGAGCGTCACGCCCGGAGCCTCCGCCTGCCATGACCATTGCAGCATGAAGTGGCCAGCTGAGCCGGGAGGTGCCACGTCCAGCCTCTGTCTCTTCCCCACCAGAGGAGCCACCCTCCAGCTGCTGCCCGCCTCCTCCAGCCCCGCAAAGCTGGGCATGTTGCTGGCAGCACTGTCCCGTCCCAAGAGGCTTCCTCCGCCGCTGCTGGTGTCTCCCTAAAAAAAGGTTGACAACTCTGGGAAACGGATGGGGGAGGTGTGCCGGAGGGATCTTTGCACCACAGGACTGGATATGCTTAAGATGGCCCTGAGTAGAATGGTCTCTATAGTGTTTTGTTTCATGGCCCAATTACATGTGTGTAACTTTCCTTTTTAAGTCATATCTAGAGACATAGAGAGAGTTGTATTTAAGATACCTGTCAAAAATATATAGTTGCAAAAGAGGGGGGCAAAGACAATGGACCAAATAATAAAAGAAAGTGTGTATTTGCTTATTCTGTTGCCTGCCCTGAGATCACCTGTTGATGAAGGGCAGGGTATATTTTTTTAATAAATATATAATTATAAATAACCCAGAATATGGGTAAGTAGCTATAAAAGAAGCGTTAGATGTCAGAGGGCAAACCTCTCCAATTAACTTTTGTTAAAAGCAACAACAAAAGCCCAAAATATCATAAGCCAGCCAAAGTTACCCCGGTTCCAAACCCTGCTCAGAAGGGAGGCTGCTGAATCGGTCGAAGCCAGGCAGAAGAAAAACAAAACTTTAAAACAGAATTTGACACACACCATCATTTTTGCCAGTGTGACTTCAGTTGGGTTGCTGGGTCAGATGACTGAGATATAAGGAGTTTGGAATAGGAATCCGTCTCCCCCTGCCCTGTCCCACCACTGCCACACACACACATCTAAAACGGCCCTTTTCAGGACTTTTGCCAGACTTCACAAGGAGAGATGAGAGCCAGCTGAGCTAGGATGGAAGATGGAAATGTATCTCCAGCTGAGCCAGGCAGGGGAATTTGGCTGGCATAGCCCTGGCTGAACCCAGGCTCAGCTGGAGATGCACTTATTCCAAACTGCCCTTAGAGGTCTGTGAGCAACAGAATGGGGAGGCCATGTGTGGACTGGGTTGAACCCTTTCCATTCCAGACATTTTCCCAGTGGCAGACCTTTGGGTCTCAAATTTCAGCGGTGCCCTGTGTGGTGCCAAAATCCTCCCACCTGCCTCTCACCTTCCATTCTACATCATAGTTGTGGTGCCCCCTGTGGTGCCAGCTCCATGCCCAGTGTGACCAAATCACCTCCATTGCTCCACCCACGTTTTTCTATGGCCCACCCACCACAAATGTGGCCTGGCAGGTTGTCTGTGAGGGAGTGTGGTACTCAGGCTAGAAATGTTCCCCATCCCTGGCCTGCGGCCTCTTTGGTGCCAGCTCCAGCAGCTTATCTCAATAATCCTGAGCTAAAGAACACACCTTCCCCCATTAAAATTCAAGTACACTTGCCCATGGCTGTGGCATGTCCCTGACAATAAACACCCTTAACCTTATCTTCTCCCACACACAACAACAACAGTGGGACAGGCTGCTATCATTCCTGCATCTGTAAGCCAGGAGATGCATCTTCTGTTGCACTTCCATATGCCATGCAGTTACTAAAATAATATGCAAATAGTGGCGACTCCAAGGTAGGAACTGAATCTGTCTCAAGTTCTCCAGCCTCCTTGGCTCTTGAGGAGAGATTTTATCAGGATGCAACAGCCTGAAGGGTGTAATTGGGGATTGGTCTGAGCTGTAGGGTATCCCCCTGGGGGAGAGAGAGAGAAAGAGAGAAAGGTCTGCTGGAACTTAGGTGCTGACATAATAACCTTTGTAGCAGTGAGAGGGGCAATTTAATATATAGCATGTAGTGGCACTTATGCATTTGGGGACATCTTTCTAATGCTGCTTAGTCCTGGGGGCAAGGCAGGGCAGATGATTTTCATTCCAACCTCAATGAGGGAGTGAAGACAGAAGGTTCCCCTGCCCATGCACTGCCTTCACCTTAAGAATTGGGCTCCCCCACCCCCGTAATTAGTTAAGAAAAAAAACAAGTTATGTAGCTGTCTGAAATGTATATAAGTGCATGCCTAGTTTGGTCCTCAGAAGCATCCAAACAGTTGATTTGGTTGCTGTCTCTTTTAGGAACTTCAGTATTCACGTTTGGGAGCATTTCTGCTTTGAGAGTCTGCAAAATTGCTTTTCTCTCCTGTTCTGTGAATAGCTACAGATGGCATTTGGTGGTCTATGTGGCAGTGGATTAATGATGAATCCTCATAGCATCTTTAGTTTTGTTCCAAGTTCATGGTCCTATTGTTATCATAAAGAATACGAAGCTATATTTGAAACGGTCTGAAAAGTAACAGTGGACAACTTGCTCCCAGTAGTTGCTTGATCCAATTGCTTCAGACAAATATCATGGCATTCCCGTCTAGTTCTGTACCCTTGAAGCCTGAAGTGATGCTCTTTGGGTGCTGATTATCTTTTTGATCACTTCTGAAGCCTAAACCTCCCTGTTTCCATAGCTATTAACATAAGAGGGGAGGATAACACCTTTGGAGATACTCTGACAGAAATGCTTCATAACTCAAAGAGTTCACAGAACACAGCAGGACTTCCAAACATGAAGTCAAAGCTCTTTTTGCTTCATTCTGGTTCCTAATATAAATTTAAAATCTTTGCTGGCTGGAGAACTGACTTTCCAAATGCATCTCTTCTGTATTCTTTTCTGCATTGGCAAATGACATATTAACATAAATAGTGTGCAAGAGGCTCAGAGGTGATCCAAGTCTGACATCTGGAAATGCTGTGCAAATATTTGATTACGTCAGTCCAAATCAGAACTGTCACCAAGTTAAATATATCTTAGAGTTGTCTCCAATGTTAGTCCTATTCAGAGTGGATCCACTGAAAATAGTTCATTAAGCATGTTTATTAATTTCAGTGAATTTACCATATGTAAGAGTAACATTGGATCCTCCCATAAGAGTTGTAGTCAACTAAGCCCTACTCAGAGTAGACTCATTGAAATTAGTAGACCTAAGCTAGTCATGTCTGTTAATTTCACTGGTCCTAGCATTGAATACCACACTTAGTATTTGAGTGGTATGAATTTTAAGCTGTTATCCTATGCATTCTTACCTGAGAGTAAGCCCCATGGAACACAATGGCCCTTATTTCTGATTAAATGAGCATAAAATTGCACTGTGAATCAAGTATCATGCAACCCTATGCATGTTTACTCAGAAGTAAACTATAGTGAATTCAATGAGACTTAATCTCAGATAAGCGTATCGTATTGCAGCCTTAAATTAATTAAGTCTGCATGTGAGTAAATCTTTCTGAAGGGACAGGGAAAGACTTCCTCCACATAAACACTTTGTTGTTGTTGTTGTTAATTGATTAGTCTAACAAATTATTAATTAGCAGCAATTACAAATCATCACAAAGGCACCAATGATTCTGGCACTTGCCAGAATCATTCCAAAGGCACCAAAATGGCTTTGCCCAGGCCACAAATGAGCTATTTGGTGGGGCCTGAGTGCAAACCCTGCTTTCAGCCCATCTGACAACATAGGGCAAGTCGGCATGGCTTGGCTAAAATGGCCTGGCAGACCTTATTAGATCCACAGGCCAGAAGTTCCCCGTACTAATCTGATTCTGTCCTAATTCCAGTATATGTATGTGTATATATATGTGTGTGTACACACACACACACACACACACACACACACAATTTCAAGAAAGAAGTTATAACTATATTTGACTAAAATCATTAATATTTCAGAATGCTGTAATGAAATTAAATCCTGCTGATGAGATTTAGATATTCATAACATTCTCTGTATTACATCACACATGGGATGTGTGTGGTGTGTGTGCGTGTGCTTGATTCTCCAGAAAATCAAGGTTCTGTTTCCAAATTGTCCTGCAAGTGAAACCTCCAATTAACAACAACAACAAAACTAAGGCATTTTGGATGTATTTGTTATGACCTGGCAGATAATATCCTGAAATTAAGAGAGGTTATTTTATACGTAGAATGGAAATCATGCATTGAGCCTGCAATTCTGTACCCATTTATCTAGAGTAAGCTCCAATGTACTTGATGTACAGTGGTACCTCGCAAGACGAATGCCTTGCAAGACGAAAAACGCGCAAGACGAAAGAGTTTTCCGTTTTTTGAGTCGTTCCGCAAGACGAATTTCCCTATGGGCTTGCTTCGCAAGACGAAACGTCTTGCGAGTTCTTGCGAGTTTGTTTCCTTTTTCTTAAAGCCGCTAAGCCGTTAATAGCCGCTTAAAGCCGCTAAGCCGCTAAGCCGTTAATAGCCGCTAAGCCGCTAATAGCCGTGCTTCGCAAGACGAAAAAACCGCAAGACGAAGAGACTCGCGGAACGGATTAATTTCGTCTTGCGAGGCACCACTGTATTGTTAGAATGTTGGATTAGGGACCAGAAGACCAAGGATCAAACCCCCACATGGCCATGAAACTCAGTGGGTGACCTTGGGCCAATCATTCCTTCTCAGCCTAACCTCCTGCAGAGGGGTTGTTGAGGAGAACCATATATGCCACTCTGAGCTGCTTGTGGGGTGGGGTGGAAGGTGTGATATAAATGCAATGAATAAATAAATAAATAAATGCTGCTAAGTGGGTAAGTACAACCTATATTTTAGTAATGTTACAGTTAGAAGATATATGGTTAGCTCAAGAAGTTACATGTGAACATCCTAATTAGTCAATGTGAATGTGCTTGTGCAATTTAAAATATACAATAAGAACTATAGTTACCAGTGCCTTTTTATTAGTTTGGCTGCCAAAAAAAATTCACAGTATTTAATAAGTTCAAAAACAGGGATTGCTTTGAAGAATTAAAAACTTAAAACATATGCCAAGCTTTTTTTTTTTTTTTTGCTTGACATCTCTTTTTTCTTTTTTTTAAGAAAGCAGTATGATGTAGGGGTTAGTGTTGAATTAGGACCTGGGCAACCAGAGTTCTTTTTTAAAAAAATATAATTTTTATTAACAGGCTAATCAAATCACATTATTTCCAAATCACATTAATTCCAAATTATACAGCCAAATTTTTAAATTTTCTTGGGGGTACCCATACTTCAAGCTCTGAACGGGGGTCCAAGCATCACTTTTATTGCTGCTTTAATTAGACAGTTCTATCCAGTTCTATCCGGATAGTCTCTTTATTACTTTCTTCATCTTCTTGTTATTATCGTATATTCCTTTCTTTGCAATCTCTGATAAACTTCACAAGCGGGTTGGAAGCAAACATCCTCTGTGTGGGTTTTACACTCTCCAAAAATCATATCACATAGGGACAGCCGCCATTCCACACCTCCGTAAAGAATTTATCCTCGGTCTGTCCATTAATTTTCCCAGGCTTTCCAAGTATATCCGAGGGCTCTGCCAGGTTTAGATCACATTCCAATCATCATTCACATTCCGATGATCCTGGTCCTCCTCCCCCTGTCTTTCTTAGACAAGCCTGTCTTAGCGAGGCGCCATTTAAAACTGCGTCATAAAATTTTCCTCCGTTCTCCGGTGTTTACCAATCGTCTCTTTGATCCATAATTCTCCCCACGCAGTTCTTAAAATCCTGCTTGTGATTAATAAAATGCAACGATTCTTCTTTTCTGGGGTGGAGGGTTATTAATACTCACATAAGGCAAAGAAAAGAAAAGTTTTTTCCTCCACCCCCCTTCTGTTTCACTCCAAACATACCAGTCTCTTAATGGTGATTCATCACTTGATTTATTTGTCCCGCCCGTTGCTCCGGTCCCAGAGATCCATTAATCAGCAGTCTTAGCTCCCAAACCTCGCTTGATGTATGTGCTTCAGCTTCTTTCCAATTATATATTTCCAATTATATTTTCGAGCTGAAGCGAACCAGTACGCTGATTGGAGAAAGCGTCAGGAAGAGCCGACTTCACCGAGGGCTGGTGCCAAGTGACCGGGCACCCCCTTCTTTCGATCCGGGGGTGCATTATGGACACCGCTGGCAAGGCAGTCCCCCCCATCTCCTTGGGGGGTCGGGAAGGCTGCATACTTCCCATAGCAGCCTCTTAATTACCTCGGGTGTGTCGGAGAGATGTTATTGTCAGCCATCTTCCAATGCGCCACCTAGTGGCCCCCCCGGGCGACCAGAGTTCATACCCCTGCTCAGCCATGAAGCTCACATGGTGGCCTTCGGCTAGTTGCTGTCTCTCAGCCTAACCTACCTCACAGGGTTGTCATGAGGATAAAATGGAGAGGTGGAGAACCATCTACATCACCTTGAGCTCCTTAGAGAAAAATATATTAATTGCTAAGTGACTGTATAGAGGTCCTCACACTCCTATTTTTTGAAATCTCAATAACACCTCCAGTTTGTGCTTTGGGGTGATCATTCTTAACAAATTCTGAGAGATAAATAATCTTTCTTTAAATTGGCTGGTAATTAAACTCTTGGTGTAGACATGACGCTGTAACCCAAGTGTGTCTATTTCCTTTGCACTTCCTCTTTCATACTAGAATGCAATAAGTTTTAGTAAGTTATTATCCTCTTATCAATAATTGGGCTGGATGCACACCCATCATTTGGGGTGTGGTTCTATATTTCAAAAGGAATCAAGCCACCTTTGTATCCAAACTCCAATTAGTCATCTTTTCCATCTCTTCTTTAACAATCCATGCAATTCTTGCAGCATAGTCATTGGAAACTGTGTGATCTGATATTTGAATATGTTTAAATCTGGTTTTGGTTAGGAATTCTTTAAATATGGAACTAGTGAAGTTTGTCCCATTATTGTCACAATTATGTATAATCACAAATAAGGATAGTCCTTGGGTAGCAAAGCTTTGTGTAATCCAGAAAGTGCTGTCATTCTCAATATTTAGTTCTGTACTCCTGACTTTTGAGGTGGCAACAGACTTCTCAAAAGGAAATATATCTGACAGCCATAGACACAGAGAAAAATTACTTTCTGTTTGTCCTCATTTGTGATTTCACGTTATTCATTGCTGGGAAGAAACTGAAAGGAACTAGCAAGAATAGTTGAAGGGCCAAGTTGTGGCCCTGCCCTGTCAGAATGACAGTGTAAGTTTATGTTACATTTTCTAAAAAATTATTATGTTGACAAAAAAAATACAAACAAATAAAAAAATGGTTATCATTTACTGCCAACCTAGAGCGCAGGATTTGTTTTGCTTCCCATTAATTTCAACAAAATCCAGACCAGAGCTGCATTCCTACGCTATCAGTAACCTAGTTCAAAGTACAGGACCGAATGTTTAACTAAAGTTAATCCATGTACATTTGGAGCTTCACATGCCTGATGTGTCTTTTCTGTATTTGCTGTGGAAATCCATTACATGCTTCACATATAAATTGTGGTGGTTTACAAACTATAAAAGATAGAAAAAAAATGAATCAAATTATATCTTTTAAGGGAAAAATCACACATTGCATGCTATTACATGAAGCAAAAGCCCCAACGTTTTTGTTGCTGCTGCTGTTATTTTTCATGAGAAGCTGCCTCTGGAGACAGTGATGTTGTTGTTTTGTTTTTAATGAAAAGCTGCCTCGGGAGGCTGTGCTTTGGAGCAAAAGAGTAATACAGAGACCAGGTGCCTAACCCTTTCCCTGCAGGTCACAATTGTCCTTGCATTGTATAATTGTCATTGTAAATATGCACTTGGAACCCTGTGAAGGGGAGGGGAGCAGCAGACTGGGGAGCAATTTTGCATGGGGAAACAACCAGCGGCTAAAAGGGTTGTTTATTTATGAAAAGGTTTTGTCCCATGCTTCCTGTAAAGCGCTAAGAGTGGCATACATATTTCTCCTTTTATCCACACAACAAACCTGTCGGATAGGTTAAGCTGAGCAATGGTTACTGTCCCAAAGTCACCCAGTAAGCTTTGTTGCTGTGGGAGGATTTGAGCCTAAATCTCCTTGGTCTAAGTCCAACCCCCCAACTGCTGCGTTACACAGGCTGTGCAACTCCTTTTCTGGCCATTCAAAATTAGTATACCCTCAAGCCTATTATTTTTCCATTTTGACATATCAGGGCTTCCTTGCACACGTTTGTATTTAACATGTAGGTTGTGTGCATGCCAACTTATTTCTAATGCAAAATCATTCGTGCTCATCCTCAACGTGCTTCTTTCAATCTAGATTGATTCTAGAACCTGCCATCCACAAAGGGTATCATGGTGACTTGATATGCACTTGGAAACCCTCCCCTTGATTAGGTTAGCCAAACCTTTTTCTCCCTGCACATGCTCCAGATGAACGAAGAAGGAAGCGGTAATGTGCGCGTCCCACAGCATCATTGCACAGCTGTGGCAAATCCATTGCCAGGACCACCTACATCTGTTTTCAAATGGACACACTGAGATGTAGTGCAATAGATCTAAATTCTGTGAGGACTACATGGGTAAAAACAAGTGCTCAGTCTCCATTGATTCTAGAATAAAACGTCATGTGTATGCTGGCATGGTTGCCCCCCCCCCTTTATTTTAAACAGTTTTTTGTAGCACAGAAGTCTGCATGATTTAATGCTACAATTGTTGCTAGGCCACTGTATGGCTACTAGTAGGGCTGTGCTGACACCTGTTCTCCATTTTCTCAATAGTTTTCTTCCTCTGTGAAAGAGGTGTCCTTTCTTCTCATTCTCGCTTTGGAATTTATGTGAATGTGAGATTTTGACCTTAACGGTTGCACGGTGGCCAGGGGTGGTATGGGTGTGTTTCCTTTCCATCAAACATTTCTCCAGGACTCTGCAACCTCCCTGGCTGCCTACACTTCCTGATTTGAAAAAGTCTAATGGGAGGAATTTCTTCCTGGTGTATTCCACTGGAAGGCAACCAGGAAGGCTGTAGAGTGCAGATTCTACCCAGAAGAATTACACAAAAACCGTTTTGCTTTGATAATTTTCCAATACATTTATTTGTATTAATTGTATTGATGGAGAGTGAAGAATGGCTCAGAGCATTAACATTCTAAAAGTCCTTGTCTCCTCATTAGATTTATGGGGGGAGAGGGAGGGTGCCAGAAGCCATAGCTTTGGATCCAGCACATATCAAGACATGTCTGTCTTTCCAGCTTCCCTCTCCAGCTTCAGACTAAACACCAAGACTAGTTCTCTGGCTCATTGTTTTCCTAACTCTACGATTACGGTACATGAAATCCAGGCAGGTAAGAGGGGAGATGGCTTACCCCCTCCTCATAACTCACTTGTATCTGTGGCAACATAGCAAACACTTCAGTCATGCAGTTATTTGTGCCAGCTAGGCCATCAACTAAACACAGAAACTGGTATGACGGGTTTAGCAGTTCCTGCTACTACAGGCCCCCATCTTGTAGATACAAAAAACACAGGTTTGTTGGCGATTCACAAGCATTATCAAAACCAATCCGCCCAAATCTATAACAGTACTGATGATGTACTCTTTATATAGCCAAAATTGTACCATCCACACACAAGAGGGAGTTAGTGGCACATTTAGGGTAGCCACAAGTTTTGCAAAAGTAAAAATAATCTGAGGAAAATACCCTAAGAGGGGAACCCCCTCCCCCATTGCCAAGAGCCCATTGAGGACTGGCCAGACTCAGTGGCCACAGTGTCTATTGATAGCAGTGGTGGGATTTTAAAAAAAAGGTAGGAGGATGCAATTGAATATCATTGAAAGGGGCAGAACCTGCACAGAACCTGCAGGTTCCACATGTAAGCAGAAGAATCAGTTCTCTATGTCCTGCTGTTGGGCATCCAAGCCTCTTTGAAATGAATAGAGGATGCACGGCCAGGCTTGTGTAGCCAGAATAAATGTTGCTGTACTATTGCTCTGTTCCAGCTCCTGGTTTTACAGTGTTTGAATACTGGGCTTTGCCAAATGAAATATATATGTAATGAGTATGTTATAAAATAATAATAATAATAATAAACAGTGTCCTGCGTGTTTTAAAAACTGTAGTGATGATGGCTGATTTATGTTTTCTGCATATTTGTAACCTCTATGGCTGTAAACTATCCTTCAGAGATCATACTATTCCTGGTTGTCTTGATTTAAGAGTTTAGCAAAGCTAAGATCTGCACATATGAACAAACGTACATGCGCAAATATATTAGTAGGAGTTAAGTAAATTGTCAATTTTTTCTGCCATTATTATCTCACTTAGTGGAGGCTGCTACCATCACAATTACTAAAATAGTTTCTTAACATAATTCCTGAACTTAGACCTACTTAACTACACATTGTTTTATACAGATAATTGTAGAGTTCGGATATATTAGCCCTTATGGCATTCTGTTTTTAGAAGTTTTGCTTTGTACGTCAGTGAAATATTGAAAAATAATCCTTTACCTGGGTAAAATGAACATAAGCAAATAAATATTTGCTAAATATTCATTTGTTGGTTAAGAGTTTAGAGAAATGGAAAAATGCAAACAAGCAATAAAAGGACAAGTGTCAAAAATGGTGCCGTGTCAAAAATGACCACAAGTCATATTTCACCTTTTCACCTTTTCTCCACCCTCCTTCCCAAGTAAGCCCATTAAATCCCGTATCTAATTTCACCATTGCCCAAGTGGCACCATCTGAACTGACAAATATGGATTGTTTGACCTGCCTATATGGTGCAGGAGCATAATATGTGCATATACTCTGGGGGCACTGAGTACAGTTTTTGTTTTATTCTCCCATAGCTTTTTGCACATTTGGGTTATATCCACCCAGAAGGCTGATCCATATATGGAACCCTGTATGACCTTCACTGAATTGCAGTGGAGAGAGCTGCAACCCACAACCAATGTAGTCAAGGCAGCAGAGCTGGGGACAGGGAAGGAACGCCCTTTGGTTTGATTGGTTATAAACTTCACCCAGAAGTATTCATTTTACTAATAGCAATCAACTGCATTTTGATTTTTTTTAATTAAACTGTAGTTATCTCTTGAGTTTCAAAGCACTTTGTGTAGCTCATTCATGGGAAATAAAAGCTTTGGGTCAAAAGAGTTTTTTAAAATTCCTTTGACTTGAAACGTGGGTGTTCACTTTGGCTGCTTCCCAAGCAAAGAGAACCAAGGGAGCAAATTATAGTCCACACCCAGTTGGGAACTTTCTTCAGGTATTTCACAGACATGCCTTGCATCTGAATTGTTCATATTTTTTCTGCAGAGAAAAAAGCTTCTCCAAACAACATTGGGCAGAATATTTCTCTTTCAACTGTTTTGTTTTGCTTTTAAGCATATTAATTTTGTGTGGGGTTTGGCAATGTGTGAGGCAGGGAACCTATTCATGTTTCCCTATGAAGTATTTTTTCTACAGTTTTGCCTTATTTAATTATTGGATTATTAACAACAACAACAACAACAACAAATTTTTACATGCCCTTCAACTTCAAGTCCCAGGGTGAGTTACAACAATTTACAATTCAGAAGTAAAAATAGTTAAAACAAATTACAGTTATAGGAATAGGGTAGGTCCTGAAAACACACCTCAGGTGTCAAAAGTGGGGATAAAGATCTGCATCTACAGCATTCACCAAAAGCTGTACCATGAATATGCCAGATGCACCTCTGTGGGGATGCCTTTTCCTGTGCCTTCTGTGGAACTAATGAGAGCCCCTATTGCAGCTGTGAACATCCAAAAGTATCTGTAGGAAAGAAGGTGATCTTTCAGATATTTGTGGCCTAAGTCATTTAGGGCTTTAAACACTAGTGTGAGCAAATTAAATTGGGCCCAGAAATGAACTTGCAGTCAATGACAGTTTTAGAACAGGGTTTATATGAGTTCTAAATGGAACCTCAGTCAATAATCTGGCAGCTACATTTTGAACCGTGAAATTTCTGAGGGCTTCAAGGACAGCTGCACATCAAACACATTGTAATAATCCAGTCTAGAAGTTACCAAAGCATGGAGTAGCAGTTATCTCTGTCCAAAACGGGCCATACCTGGTGAACTAGCCAGAGCTAGAAATAATCAAACCTAGCCACCGAGGCCACCTGAGTTGAATACCCTCAAGCTATAGTCCTGCCCCTTCTAGGGCAGTGCAAGCTTGTTCATAACAGGCCATCTTCCTGCCCACATCCTCGACTCAAGAACTTGGAATACATAACACCTGTTTTTTCAGGGTACAGTTT